TTGTTCAATTGAAATATACGGTAATTGCATAATACGTCCAAGTTGGATCGATTAACTTGACAGGTTAAAGGCGAAAGAAACAAAATTGTAGCGTTTGAATGAGACTCTTTTATATGAGAGAGCTCTTGTTAAATCTCTATTTTACCTTGATGGCTATAAATGATGAATTGCAAAAAATTTTCTTGAATAAGGATCTTATTGATTATTGCTATGATAGATGTCGTAAGTAAGAAAAGGCTAAAAAATCAGTCGAAATGGTTGTTATGCCCGTGTATTATCCTATGGGTTAATGCACAATACGTTAACTATAGTGTGCTATTTAGGAAATGTGATCGATCGCGATAAATAGGGGATTATTATATCGATTTCCATATCTTCAGGAAATAATAACCTAGCAAGTTACACCATTTCAAAAAATAAGTCACTAGAGCCAAAGGACATAATATGATTCAGACTTTTTATCAATGGAAATGGCTTTCTTGATATTTTTGTTGTATTTTTACTAAGTTTGAAGTACTTTTATAGTTCTATCTATCCTACGAGTACTATATCATTTTTTTTAGATTGCAATTTTAACAACGCTCATTTACGTTGGTTACGGTTAAGTAATCGCACAGTAATCGTCATAACAAGCAGAAAAGGTACTTGCTGTTAGCCTATTTGTAGTTGATACTGATCCATTCTGAATAACTTACCCATTCTAAAAGCGCAATGTGAAGCTGCTTGTTTGTCATGTTGACATCCAGGCAAAATGCAGTTTACGGTCGAGAATTAATTAATAGAGCCACCAAGGGTGTAAGTATTTGACCACAGCGAGGGTTTTCCTTTTTATGATGCCAACTGCTATAATAAAAGTAGAGGATAAACCACGTGAGAATGGCCTTACAGTTTTGTTAATAGCAATAGTTTAACCAGGAGAAAGCCATCATATTCTTTATGACTAACAATGCAATACTACTGTATAGACAATTAAAAGGATCGACAACAACAACAACAAAAACTTTCTCTTATCCTTTTACTGGAATTTTATTTTTTTTACCGATATAAGCCCTTTCAGTAAAGGATATTATGTCGACTAGCACGTTTTATAGGCTGCTTGATTATGATGAAATGGGTCATCGATCAAGTTATTAGCAGATAGAAACGTGTTGAAAATTGGAGAAAGGAAATACGCGCGTATAGGAAAATAGCAATTTCACACATATACGCGTACAGTGTCTATAAAATCAATGTTTCCGCTACAATCTAAAAATAAAAAGTACAGTAGGATACTACAGTCAATTTTGAACAAGTCATTGATATGTTGATATTGTAGTGCAAATGGATCATCAATAAATGGCTTCGAGATTGGTATACGGACTAATGTACAAAAAGAGATTAGGAATAGACTACTGGATTTATAGTCATCCATCGATTAGGCTTCATGACAAATATAGTTAACTATGATCATGATATCTACTGCAGCCTATTGACGTTGAACATTTTAATTTTACGGAAAAAAAAGAATGGACACCGATGTTTAATCATAGTCATATTTAGTAATTTAAAATGTATTGTGGACATAGAGTAACTAAAGAAAGATAGAATGTTCGTTTATCGTTGACATACAGTAGAGAAGTTGATGGATAAATAATACGTTAGTATGCCTGCTTTGAGTGGTTGTTGAAAGCATGTAATTGCTTTCTACTACAGTACACTAAGTCAACTTGTACACTACTGTACCAGTAGAGCAAGTCAAGAATTGCTTGATAAGTTATTGTTGTGCTTGTGTTGGATGTTGTAGGAAAATGGATGAAGATCGATATTTTATCCATCATTATAATCAGTCAACCCTTGAATGTGAGTTATTGTTGTGCTTGTGATGGTTGAAGATCGATGTTTTATCCATCATTATAATCAGTCAATCCTTGAATGTGAGTCATTGTGCTATTTCATCTTATTGAAAATGGAGCAACAGAATAGAATGTCAATAGTAGAGATTGAACTCGATCATGGAAGTCTACGCGTATGATGGATGATTGATCGGAATGACAATATCGACATCCTGTACAACTAGTGATGTTTGATTACTTACTTAATACTCCCTTATCAAGTTATGCCTCCCATTTACTATTGGAGTCGGGGTGTATACTAAACAGAGTACAATATATCAATATCGGTTATATTGATAATATACGAGAATGTAGAAGGAATAGAATGTCCAAAGAGTCATCGATATGAAGACATGACGAAAAATAAGACTAAGTGAAAGGGTATTGTATTGGCTAGGGATGGCAAGACGAATGCAGTACGTATCCGTGATAGCGATATTTTCGACGATAACGTTATGCTGTTATTCTTCTAGGCTTGTTATTAGGCGGTCTCCCAATTTCAGTTATAACACCTATGATTGATAGCATAGAAAACTTGAGAGACTATTACAATCCAAGCCAAATGGATCACTACCTATTCTCTGGAGAAGTCGTAAATCGATACGAGGCGTTTTCAAAAATCTCCTTTCCAATTGTCAATGAATGAAGCTCAACAAGAACCATCTGTACCTATTTAGCGTCGTTTAACAAATTTCATTTACAGTCTCTATCCTCGATACATCTCTCTCTCTACACACACACATTAACAATCCATGAGCTACCTTAACAATAAGATATCCTAGTAGAACGTGATGTGAACATTGTTGCTATTGGAGGTGGCCATTTCAATTGCTAAATCTTCTCCAAAATCGATGAAAAGTTTTGAAAACTAGATAAACCAACTGGTAACAATAACCGAATTAACGTAACATCTGTTGCAACAATAGACAATAGCCAAAAGGGCTAGATAGCATTTTGAATTTGATGAGCATGCGTGTTAGACAGTTGCACGCCGTGAGCCGTTATTAGCGATTTTTGCATTCAAAGGCTAAAACTCGAAAACTGTACAGTACAGTACAGTACTGTACAGTATGTATACTGTACACTGTACACTGTAAAAGACGACCTTTGGGCTGGAATCCGGCCCATAGCAGGGCTAGTTTGCAGTACGTAGACTGTAGTATGAACGACTTTCATGACTGTTCAGTTCTTTCATGGCCAAAAATGTGGAGGCTGCCTACTGTATTTTACTGTGCACAACCAGCGATAGTTGAAATGACCAGCAAAATCGTCAGCCAGTTCAGCTTCCACATTTTGCAGTCGTTTGGTGTTCACAGTTTGAAGTTTGAAGCCATGTGTGACGTACAGTATGTGTACACTGTACGTACAGTACTAACATTTCCAAAATACTGTACTGTACTGTACTGTACAGTACTGTACAGTACAGCCTCCACCGCAATCTACAGTACCATCTACCTTGAGTACTGTACAGTACTGTATAAGGTACTGTACTCCCTAGCATGGATTACTAAACTACACCGCGTAGTCCATGCCCGCAGGTTTCGATCAAGCCGCTGCTAGTTCATTCATTAATAATTAATTAATTATATAATTTAACTATGAACTGTGAGGTTCAATTTGGTAATCGATCCGTACAGTTAAGAGAAATTTTACTCTGGATGTTTTCTTTTGGTTGAGCCACAGATACGCCTACAGTACTTTAATGACGATGGCAGAGGAGGGCCAACCAGCCGCGTTCATTCTTCTCTTCTGTAACGACTTAATTAATATCTCTCGTCGTTATATGTATACTGTATACGCGTATGTTAGTGTATCTATGACGGACTACATCATTAATGCTATATATATATATATGCATATATAATTGCGTAGCCGACAAATGGCAATACTATGGGTAGATACGATTATTCGTTATTTGCTGAAGAGAAAGAAAACAAACTTCGTTTAGTCCTTTCCAGGCTTACAGTATCATTAAACACTTCCTTAAGCAACAACGTGGCTATAATATGTATATAGCCGGATCGAGTTTTACTCATGGCATCTATGTTATATATATATATATTATTAATTCGGAAATTGAATAAGGTGGCATATTTATTATTAATTATTATAATACCGACGTGTAGTACACTACATTGTTGTAAAAGGTATTACGCATAGTGTCAAGGCTCTACCGGTTTACTAATATATACAGTAATGATAATAAATTGTAACTTATCACAAGTACAGTAAAGTGAATTGGCAGCCAATACTGTAGATAGCAGGTATCTTTAAAACATTGTCAAATCTTCTTTTACGAATTTACTAATTTCCAATACCATATGTTATGAGACAGTCATTAGTACTACACATCAAGCTGCAAACAAGGACCCGGTAGCTGGTTTTATTAAATAAGAACGTGTTATGTCCCGCATAATTAATGAAGAGTAACAAACACTACTGTATTATTTCATTGTAAGATAAACAGAATTAAACAGAGGGTCTCTAGTGCATATGTAACGGGGTATTAATAAAACAGAGCCTATGTATATACGAGTAAGATAGAAACATACTATAGTAACTCAATAAAAGACTTAATGGTTGGTTATTCATAGATAGTGCAGAAAAAAAGGAAACTCTAAAAAATTGCAGCTAATCAATGGAAAGTGCAACTAACTACGTGAATACTGCAAATGACGTCCAGTATTGTAAGCTACAAGTGACAAGCTAACTTTAGAATTTGTAGATAAATATGAGGCAATATTACCAACGCAGAACATCTAAGTTATTGATTCAAAATTAAATTAGGTTAATAAGGTGATACATAAGATTTCTTAATACTGTAGAAGTTAGGTAGTTGATATATCAGCCTTGTCCAAGCTCTTATTAACCAAGCTATTTCACGGAAGTTTACAGGAAAGGTGTTTCATACAGTAGATACGATAAGGAAGGTTACTTAAAAGTGATACTGTATCATGCTTAGCAGTAGTATCAAATGGTTAATATATCGCATACGAGCATATATATATACACACTTTAAAATATCTTACTAAGCTGTACTGCAAATAAATATATATATATACGCGTATATGTAACAATCAGCAGATAATTTACTAATTTAAAAGGCATAAACATTCTTTATTTTTATTATTTTTATTTTGCAGATCAATCTTTCGCAGCTAATATCGTATAAACGTTGTATACATTACAATACAGTAAAGAACTCCTAATACGATAAAAGCTATGCAATTATCCATTCTTTTAGATAAACAGTGACTTGTAAGCAACCATTAATTTATATCTTGTTGTTGTCAGCAAAGCCAATTAGGTACCGAATAGAAATATGCAATATAAGCAATAAGAAAACTACACCATAAATGTATTATGATTAAAATGCTAAGTTAATTCCAACTTAATCACTGGTTATCGAAAGATTTTCTTTCAGTTTTTTCCTTCTCGACCAAATCCAGATACGGTTTTAAGTAAAATTTATCCTATGAGACAATCACAACATATTAATTGCATAGTTGTAACACAGTAGAACATGAGGCATTCGTTTACAGATGTTGCTACAATGCGATAGCTTATTTGCGCAGATCATCTACAACAACTATCCAAAGATTGAATATTTATATTGAAATGGTGCAAAGTAACTTGAAATGTATAAACGATAAGTTGAATGTCTTCGATATTAAGTGATAAGATCTTAACATTGTAATAGACTAGATAGCTTGCGACTTACATCTTCAACCTTCGTCCATTCTTCTCTAGGTAGATAAGTATTTTTAAGAGAACAGTCTAAAGCCCTCTTAATTCTCCACTGTCTAGCCATGTATTCATCCTCTGGTAATCTACGTAAAGCTTCGGCAATATTTGGTATTTCATCGTTTAGCAAGTCCTCTCTCTTTAAGCCTGAGAAAATAGAAACACGGTATTAATGTTACCGATTTTGCTCACGATGTTTTTTACGATAGTACAGTAGTTGATAATATTCTATGCTTTATCATTCACTCTCGTACTCCAGTTTGGAATGCAGCAACGTATAGACAATAATTAATAAATGCACTAATGATACCGCAATTAAGAGTCCTGGGCTATGTTTCGTTCAATCGATTCAGTGATTACTGATTTTTACGTGTGATTATAATTATAATTCTTCAAGCGCTGATGACTATACGAATGAATGAATAACTAAGTGTCCGTGGAGATTCGTTTACGAAAACTCCATGTTTCTGCTATTCGAAATATCCGCACGTATGGGATTATGAATTCACGTTACAATCACTTCTTCAAAGTTGAATGGCATATTACTAACCGTATTTTCGATAACCCGAAGCGTTTTGCCACCACTCTGCTACAGCGGCAAAAATACGCCGCGATAATGGCAGTTGCCTCGCAATTTCAGCACCTTTAACCACCTTGTTAGCCATATCACAAACAAAAATGGCCGCCGCACACGGTGTCCTATAACAGTATGGTCTGCGTTAGCTCGAACTCGTTTACACACTGTACACTACAGTATTATACTGTACTACTGTACTGTACTGTCCAGTACACAATGTACAGTACACTTAAATTGTACTGTACAGTATACAGTAGTACAGTACACTGACTGTACAGACAGTACAGTACAGTACAGTACAGTACAGTAACTGTACTGTACAGTGTACAGTACAGTAGAGCGATTTCTTCACTGTACAGTACAGTACAGTCATATCATACCCGAGCCCGCTTGTCTGTATGTCTGTATACTTTCAACGAAAAACGTATCCATTTCCCAAAATTAACTCAAGCTGTCCAACAAGTTGTTCAACATCGTATGCTGATCAGCGTTATTGACAATGAAATGTTGAATGAATGCTATGTTAAAATTGACACGAACGGCAGAGTAGTTTATTAATATAGTTTATTGAAAACAATAACCTACTCAACAGCGGGTGAATAGTAGAGCACACTTTAGTAAGAATAAGTCGCTTTTATAGAATCCGTAACTCATAACAACAACAGGAAAAAATATGTTGTATAGAATATTGTTATGAATTACAGTTAGAACATCAATATGTCCATAACCTACGATAACAACATGACTAGGTAATATTGCTAATATGGAACATGCATAAACTTAGAACTTACTTTTCTAACCCGAAATGAGTACAATCGCTATATAAACACTATACCACAACAGTAGTTGTATAGTTGTTATTGTGTCAAATCTCTCTCTCTCTGTATTATGATCCGGCATAAACTGTCATACTATAGTCCTCTACTTATCAACATGCTATGTTGTACTAATTTGCAGCATTTTATAAATCATAACCCAAGAAACGCTGCGGATGTATACAGTATATACTCGTCTATATTGTGAGATCCGCCGCGTTATATTGGTAGTCGAATGGTAATGGAGAACACAGTTATTAGTTGAGTGAAGCGATTTTCCAGTTTTGAAATATTTACTTTATTAATACAGTCATCTAAAACATGCATCAGTAAACGTAACTCGTCGATACTAGTTGATCTTTTATTTTCACTACCAACGATGGCTACAGTGCACGGGCATCTCTATTCACTGCTCATTGCACTTTAGAATAATAGTAAAATGGAGCTTACTAATTCGATTCAATTATGGGTGATTTATTTTGATTTTGCTGCTGCTTTGTAGAAATAAATTCTAATTGTTAACAATGGTGCAATTGGATCAATGATCGCACCAAATGGTTCATATTTTGCTCTCCTCCCATCAGTGTTTTTTATTTTCCTTCTTATTGTCCCATGAGTCAGGACAAATGGAGATGCAAAAGCTATTCTAGTCTTTGAGCGGGTTATTCGTTCCACAGATTGTCAGTAAGCAAGTTGAAGTTGACCGTTTGACGGCGTTATTAGTGTATACTGCATAGTAAAATGGAATATTTTCTTCAAGACGCACTGGCGCTTGGCTGTGATAGTGCACGTGCAATGAAGAGTTTTGGATGCACCGCACAGCAGTTGAATCATTTAGGGACTTGAACTAATGGACATCACGGGCGCTTGAATGGATCGATGGACGTTCTGACGATGAATGTTTTGGAGGACTACCACAACATTCAACATTATATAATCAACGACGCTGCACTGGAGGACATGGGCTAAACCTGACGTTGACAGTGTGGAGGAATTCGACCTGACGTGGAATACTGTATACTGTACTGTACACTGTACAGTACAGTATATTCTATTGTGTCTTGGAGCACCCCTGCGCTGTGGTTGGCCTAGAAAGATCATGTGATTTTCTACGTATTTCACACGTACAGTACAGTATATTACTGTCTCGAGTCCCGGAAGTTCAACAACTTCATACTCTCGAGCACCCCTGCGCTGTGGTTGGCCTAGAAAGATCATGTGATTCTCTACGTATTTCATACGCACTGTCTGCAGTCCCGGAAGTTCATCCTACCGGTTAGCTTCGAATGCGCCCCAAAATCACATGGCCATCAACAGGCATACTGTGTACTATCCAGGCAGATACTGTTACACTTGTATGGTACAGTATAGTGCTGCATAGCCACCATTTCATGCTAAGGAGTTGTGGAGTAGAAGGATGTGTCACATGACCCACTGTGACCTTGCACCCGCCCACTAAGATGATTTGTATGGGAAAATATTCAAATTTGACCGCTTTCCCCTACAAATCCCAACAATATTTACACCCCTGGCCCTGGTGCAAAGCTTTGGTCTGTACTCTACAGTATACTGTACAGTTGGACATTCTTGACAATGCCCGACACCCCGGTGTACAGTATCGAACTGTACATTGCCCGGAGTGTCGGGCATTCTATACTGTAGTTAGGGTTAGGGTTATACTGTACAATGCCCGGCACTCCGGGCAATGCACCGTGACGTAACAGTATACAGTATATAGTAAATATTGGCCAAGGTAGGTTATGAAAGTAATTGCCAACCAACCGACCTTAGAGTGACGCACAAGATGGACGTCATCCTGTAGCACGATTCATTCATGGTTCACATGGTTTTAAAGGTAAGAAATTGCTCCAATTTTCAAACCATTTCTTCTTCAGGATAGTGCTCAGCATTACAAGGGTTAAACCTTACAATCTTGTCCATTAGTGGCTTTGAAATGCTTGGGTCATGTTACCCTAGAAATGATAAATACTCTTTGACATGCCACTAAAAAGGCGCATTTTACATCAGAACAAGAACCATTTGCTCATTGGCCTGATCTCCACTCAGCAAAAGAAGCTAGCAAACATGGTGGGGATCAGGCCAATGAGTAAACGTTTCTAATTTTATTATCAAAATGCGCTACTAGCGCAAAAGAGGGCCAATGATTTCCATTCTAGTCGTCTATATAGAATTATACAGATGCATATACTTTTTATTAGCATAAGTAACGGCAATCCCCTTCTATCCTCGGTCCTCCTCCCTTAACATAAATTCGACAACCTTGCAGGCAAAAAGTACCCTTTTTTCAAAGGATTGTCCTCCCTTAACAGTTCGGATTGACAGTAGATACTGATTACCTTTTACTACAGTACTTGTACATTTGACAACCTTGAATGGAAAAGTACCCTTTTTTCAAGGGACTATCCTCCCTTAAGAGTTCAGACTGACACTACGTAGATACTGATTACCTTTTACTACAGTACTTGTACATTTGACAACCTTGCAGGCATAAAGCACCCTTTTTTCAAAGGATTGTCCTCCCTTAAGAGTTCAGATTGACAGTAGATACTGATTACCTTTTACTACAGTACTTGTACATTTGACAACCTTGAATGGAAAAGTACCCTTTTTTCAAGGGATTATCCTCCCTTAAGAGTTCAGACTGACAGTAGATACTGATTACCTTTTACTACAGTACTGTACTTGTAGATTTGACGACCTTGAACGGAAAAGTGCCCTTTTCTCAAGAGATTGTCTCCTTGACAGTGGAAATGAACAGTCGATACCAACTACCTTTTTCCTGCACTACTTATAGGAATAAATTCTATCATGAAAAAACTAGCTATGATGCAGTAGAATTGGAAGGCAAGTCTTGATGACTTTTAGCCTGTTAGAAATATCAGCTATTATTAGAATCGATCCTTTCAGATATATTTTAAACCCTCCCCATCCTCCCTTCACAGTTCTTCGGACAAAGCTCGGATGATTTTCTGCAGTATATACTCATAGGGATAATAAAAACTAACTACTGTACAGTATAGTGCAATTCTAAGGCAAGTCTGGATGGCTTAAAGCCTGTTATTAATTATATATTAGATCCTTTCCAGATGTATTTACCTTGAGAGTTCTCCCCTCTCGTGACGAAGCCCTGATATTATTCTGCAGCATACTCCTACAAATAATAAAATAAAAACCTTAACCTCCGTTCTTGCGACGAAGTCGTGATGTTTTTCTCCAGTATACACGTATACTCATACAGATAATAAATAACTACCATGCATGACATACGTACTGTGTGTGCCAGGGGGATGCAATTTACAAAAGTAGTCATAACTCTTGCAGGAAATACCATATCTCTATTTCATATTTATACAGTACATCCAAGTCGATGCTGTATACTGCTGTACTGTGCTTAGATCGCTGGACTGTGTCATTTTTTGTGGCATACTTTGCAGAGCCAACGACGTCTAAAGAGAATTTTCTCTTACAAGTCCATGGCCAAGCAAGATTCTACTGTCCAGTGAATTCAATACTCATACTATGCATTTGTAGACAGTAAATAAAATGAATCGGTCGATTAAACGAATCGTAACAGTGGGTAAAGGAACTAATGCAAAACCATCAGTGTATGGTACATCATCGTTTAGATGGACCCTAATCATAGCATGCAGTAGATATCGATGCGTCTATTCAAAGTGTCAAATTGATCCAATATCTTCAAATCGAGATGCTAATATTTTTACAAAGTGGCAGCATACACCGTGCTGCCCATCATGGACTGTTATAGTACTCCTACAGTATAATTGGAGTAAACTAGTTCTACGAATGCAGTACATCAGCAAGCATAAGTTACCGTCAGTAACCGATCAACTCCTTTCAAAATGGAACAAATTGTTTTAGTTTGTATAAAAGTAGGGATCACCATATTGATCCGAAAATATCATAAAACAACTTGAACATTGCCTGTATTGCTAAAGATTAATGATCAAAAACGACAGTATACATGACAACAAACTTCTGGGCCATTCTATTTTAGCAGAAAATGACGTACAGTGCAAGTGTTTAGTAGCTTATTAATAGTTCGGTTAGGGTGATAAATGGATATATCACGGTCAAAATAAGTGCTGTTGCAAACTTGAATACTATCGAGTTTACTGTAATACTAAACAGACATTGTCAAATCACCGATTGGAGTATGGTGGGCTGCTTTCGCCTTAACCAATTGCTACTTTACATTGTTGAGATGCTGCTTGAAGTTTCCCGCAGATGGTGAATGAAATCGAATGTTAAACACTAGTAGTGTGCCACAACTGTACAAAAAGCAACAGTCGTCTACATTTTGACATTATATACGCGTATATAGTATTTTTATTTAATGCCATAGTTAGGCCCACTGACTATTTTGAGTTTTCAAACGATATTGGTCTTTGTTGTTGATGATGATGAAAATATGAACTATGGGAAAGTTTATATTTGCATCTCTACCCTGTACTTTTATAGACAATATCTATGATTAAACATTACTGGATGATCAGGGACTACCCGTCTCTGTTATAACATGCAGATCAGATTACCGAGCTTACATAATAGTAGAGATCCAACTATCATAGATTGGATCGCCGCTTTCACACTATGCAAAAATACCTCTGCGGATACTGTTTATGAGTCTGTAATATATGGTATTGGTGAAAAGTGTACTGTAGCATGAATCAAGACAACCTATAAACTGCCAGAAGTCCTTTTAAGGAAATATTTTGCCAGTGCAATCATGATGATCATAACTTTTTCCTTAATATGTATCCAGAAAGAGAGAACAAGAAAGTGGCTAGTGTGGACGTGCACTTATCTAGCCTTGTCGTGCAGTTCATGCTGTAATAATACTGTACTAACCTTACTTTTCGTTCAGTTGGATAAATATAGCGATAACGTCCAATTTTCTTAGCTTCCATTAAATGAACTAGTACTGTGACCTTCAATTTAGTACTCCTATACTTTAGTATGCTCAAAATGATAGAGTAACTTACTTGAAGAATGAACAAGAAATTGACTGATCGTATATTTATGTTATATGTTGTACCCGTACTGTATAGACGGTTTCAATGATGGTCTCTTTCTAATGAAGACCTTAAAATTGGCTTTGGACCGGACTGAGGTTGGTAGCCATGGTGTTCTCCTTTTGATATAAGTTACATGGTAATAGATCTCGGCATGCAGTAGTTGTTTATCACTTTCTACTAGGAATCTCTAGCCTTCTCCTACAGTACTGTACGCCTAGTAGGCAGGAATCTATATAATGTAATACAGTTGTTTCTCACCTTATCCAAGCTATCAATGTTATACATTGCTATATATTTGTCGATTTCAAAGTATGAAGCATTAAAATGTACATACAATATAGTAGAAAGTTTTAAGCATCAAGTGTAACGCTTAGCAGCAAATCAGTAGATACAGACATAGTAATAGTTACATGCCTCAACATACTGTACTGTGGATTGATTTGTATAATTGACAGTCAATAAATTGTAGAATTGTGCGCTAAAGTTTCTAACCGGTTAATAAAAGTTTCAACTCGATCGTCCTTGAACATTATAGTAATGTATCATATCGTTATATCAACTACAGAATAAGGTCTTTACCTTTTCAACGATATAGCACTATAATTATGATATTTCTGTGCTAGCAATATGTAACATTTATGATAGAATATTTTGATATAATTTTTTTTACAAGATTTAAAGCTGTCCCCATCCTTGGTAGGCTTTTGGATTAATTCTATGGTATGTACGCTGGTATAGTACTTCAATTTTCGAATCGTGTTCAATGTAGCTTTTATTTTGCAAAGCGTCAGATTGCTTCTGTAGTTGAAATAAATTTCATCTGCTAACAGTAGAATCACCTTTTACTTTTAAATCGTTTATGTAAATAGCTAGTATCAGTGATTAACATTGAATAATAGCATCCAAGCACCGTAAACATTTATTTTAAACTAATTATATTATTAGACCCTTTCGACTTGAAATCGAATTAACCAAAGTAGTAACATACATTCATTTATTGGGATTATTTACATCTATCCCCCGCATTATTAATTAATATCAATAAGTTTTAGCATATTACGAGTGATTCGAATTGAATACACATTAAATGCGTTTTGGATAAGATTGAGTTATCAAGTTTGAGATTGTATGTCATGTAAATTAGTACAGTTAAGCATTTCCAATCTTAGTAATAGCAAATACTTTTGAATGCTTAACCCTTTTAAGCCAAGCTACGTCTGATTAAATAATGTCTAGCTTCGTTTAGAACTAGAATTAATTTACAATTGCAGTATGGTAGTACATTAATTAGTTACGATATTACATTTCAACGTAATCTTTTTACATTAAGATCATATGAGAGCAAGAAAAAGTCGGTAATCGAAAACTATAGTGTATAGATGGTATTTCTTAAATCACACCGAGGGTAAATATTAGATGCTAAAAGCATGTAAAACCAATGTTTTTGTATATGTAACATTCGGAATAATGTGAACGTCAGTAATAGAGTTGTATTGTTTAAGAAAGAATACTTAGTAAGAGAACACAAGTCGATAATGAGCGCAAATACCATAGGTACAATGATGATTTGGTTTTGGAAATTTTTCCTGAGCTGCTTATGATACCGTATCGAGTTATTGGTGTTCTTTCATTCCTCTTGTAAATTGTTATGTAGTGAAAGGCTGAACGATCACAAGTAAAGTTTTGACTACTCCAAAATATCTACATACGTATAGCCATACTAATAGAATAATGTAGCCGAAATAATTAAACTAAACACATTTAATTGAGTTCATTAATTAATAAACAGATACAATGGAATGCTCAGTATGCAATAAAAAATACAAATTGGCCGAAATATATCCTAATAAGATATCACAAGTAGCAATGTGCAAGGTACGACTTTAATTTGATATGATGTTTTGTATTGACAGTGATAAACTTGATTTTTCCTTGTAAGGCATGCCATGATTTCTCTTATAACTCTGAATGTACGCTGGATGAAGATGGCCATTATGCACAATGTGCTTGGTGTGGAGCTAGAAACGAAATTTTACTATGTAGTAGTTGTAAAAATAGTTTCTGCACTACATGCATTAGACAAAATTTTGGTAGAAAAGTACTGGAAGTGATTCAAAATCTCAAATTTTGGAGATGCTTTGCTTGCGATGATCCGTTCATAAAAAGTTCGCAAGAAAATTATGAGGGAATGTGCTTCGGTAGTAATTCGATAAAGGAAAGCAGCGTCGTGAAAGGCAGGTGTTGTGGTAAACCGAGCGACAAGGACTTAATGGAATCCAAATCAATCGATACAGCTAGTTATGCTCTTGGATCTGACGATGCCAGTGACGTTTCTACTAATGTTAGTGTAGGGGAACATAACTTGGATAGTAACGTTAATGAGGCGGTTTCGAATGTTGACTCTTTGGCAGTGGATAGAAACCAAGAGTTAAATCGATATTTAGCAGAAGATATGATAGCGGCTGATCAAACATATGACAGACATAGCTGTGTTGACTTTGAAATTCATTTATCTTCTGATGATTGGAAGAATGCACTAGACATGCATCGAACTGAGAATATAAATACAATTAGCAGCCGACGCCTGAAATTAGGAACGATGCCAACATTTCCTTGTTTTCATATAGTGGCTGTTGGTTTAGAAGATTTAAATATCAAAAAATTAAAACTGCTTTACCCGACGTATAAGATTACAGTTGATCATGATCCTTTCTTATTGGAAGATAGAACCGAAGATAAGTCTTTAGATAGCGATTATGATAATCCTGATATACAGTCAATTCATGATAGTCAAAGCGAAAGTCAGGAGTCCTCATTTTTAAGCAAGATAGAAAGAAAATTACTAGGGAAACAACATCCAAAGAGTCGAAAACACCGTCTTAAATCGGACATTTCTGACATAAGTGATGGAAAATGTAATCATTCTAATGTAAAACGTATGAAATTAGAGTCTGGATCGTTGAATTCTGATGAAGATAATTATCCATCATCATCTCACGATATATCAGATAACGAATCAGATGAACCTATTTCGAGTTGTAATGAATTCGATGATGAACATATCGATAGTGAATGTAATCTCAGCGATAGTAATGAAGCAAGTAACAACTTTAGCGACGAATCAATTTCGGATTCTGATAGCACGGTGTTGAATATGGAAGACCTGATTGGTGATAGAAAAGCAAGAGTGCGTCGATCAGTCGAGAAAGACCTTACAGATGCTGATAGTATCACGAGCATTTCAACGGATACCGAAAGTAATGCTACCAAGGCTGTGCTAAAAAGCGCTTTGCAATATAGTCCTACTAAATCAGAATCTTCTAGGCATAAAGCAACTGTTAAAGACTGTGAGATAACTCACCATGATAAAAGGCAGGTCTCTGTATCGTCGGAACGTCGTCGCGATAACCCATCAAGCCACTGTTCTTTCCGAAATGCAGATTCAGTGTGTGATAATTCGGTATCATCGGAACGTCGTCGCGATGACCCATCAAGCCACTGTTCTTTCCGAAATGCAGATTCAGTGTGTGATAATTCGGTAAAGATATCTTCGACATTGACTTCTGTCAATGAGCCTGATAATCAGAGTGAACATGCAATGGAAATTATTGCTTCTAGTAAAGATAAAGAAAATACTCACCACACTAATAACGTCGAAGATCGTAAATCACCTCCAAATGCTACGCATGAAGATGATTCTCCTTCTACAGTATGTTTAAAAAAGAACTCTGCTGGTCGTAAGAAAATACGCCGGGTTCTTAACTATTTTGAGCTAGATCCGGAAACCCGAGCTGCGGCGAAGGAAGAAAAAAAAAGATTAGATCGCATTAAAGATCAGAAGCGTTCGAAAACTACTTCTTCTGCAACTAATAGTCAAGTAGATGACTTTATTTTAGAGAAACATGATAATAAAAAGATTGTTTACGTCCAATCATTCATTAGTAAGCATCTAAAAGCTCATCAGAAGGAAGGTATAAAATTTATGTGGACAAGCTGTATCGAGTCAGTTGATCGAATTGCTGAACCTGGATCTGGTTGTATAATTGCACATTCGATGGGCTTGGGTAAAACGTTACAGGTAGCTTCTAGCATTCGTATTGTTCCGGTTCATACTTTTAAACTTATTCTCAACTAATCACTGGTCTAAATAGGTTATCGCTTTCATCGATGCAGTATTGAACTATGGTAATGAAAGCATACAGAGCGTACTTGTAGTATGCCCTAAAAATGTTTTATTAAATTGGGCACTGGAGTTTAAAAAGTGGCTCAAGAGGGAAAATAGTTATAGTGTAAGTTATTACTAGAATTGTTAAAATATAAGAGAAATTATTAATTAATCTGAAAATATATGACCCTATATCTTGCAGGTACACACTTTTTCAGCTACCTTAAGCAGTACTAAGGACCGTTTGAGGCCTCTACGGCTCTGGAATGCTACGAAGGGTTTAATGATTATTAGTTATAATATGTATACGAGGTTGTTATCACCTGATAAATCTAATTTTGATCGCAGTTGTAATGATTTTCTTACACAAGTTCTGTTGGAACCTGGTGAGTAATGCTTACGCTTTACCTAATAACATTTATTTAACGTAACTTGGGTAAATTTTTCAATTATTGCAGGTCCGGACATTGTTATATGTGACGAAGGACATTTGCTTAAAAGTCAAAAAACTAAAACTTCTGAGATTTTAAATAGAATCAGGACGAAACGACGTATTATACTAACTGGGACACCTTTACAAAACAATTTAAGCGAATGTATATACTCCGTAAAAAGATCTTTTATTTACAAATGTGCAGATGTACTTTACTATATTTACATTTTTTCCTTTCCTGGATCTAGATCTTGACTTAACTTTTGAATTATTTTTGTACCAGATTATTATATGGTCAATTTTGTTAAGCCACGGTTACTTGGCTCGATGAGTGAATTCAAAAATAGGTTCATTAATCCAATTCGTAATGGACTACATGCGGATTCTACAAGGGATGATGTAAAATATATGAAGAAACGCACTTATGTATTGAATTTGAAAGTCAAGGCTTTTGTACAGGTTGCCGGTGTAATGTTTTGTATTAGGTTATATGTTGAAGAATTTCTTTATTAACTTAGCTCGTTATACATTTATGCAGAGATACGATTACGATGTGTTAGAGTCTGAGCTGCCTCCGAAACATGAATATGTTATTTATATTCGTATGTCGAGAAAACAATGTGAACTTTACAAATCTTACTTAGAAAAGTTTGCATCTGACGATCATCTACATTTTCGGACCTACTGTAAGTATTTTTCTCCCATCATCATTGTAACTATTTTCCTGCTATGAGGAATTTATAGATTTGGCTTTGTGTGTAGCTTTATTTGGTGATTTCTCGAACTTGACAAGCATTTGGACGTATCCTTGGAATTGGAAAAGAGATAATAATAATTCCATGACGGACATGGTTTCTGAAAACGATGAAGTCAGCACTGTTAGTGATGGAGGGTGCTCTACTACATGGAAAGATTCAAGTCTGGCTGAAGATTGTGACCATCTTCAAAATGATACCGGCATTATTGACGCTACGAGGCTTGATTTAGGTGATACGACCAAAGGAAATGAAAATGATTCAGCTAATACACGTGTAAATAGTGATGACGGAAGTAAAAAGGCTGTAACCGTGGATCAGTTAGTATTAAACACTACTATTAATTCAGCTAGTGATAAAGATGCAGTTGATAGACATAAAAAGCGCTGGCTGGAACAACTTGCGAAGGTTCCACAAGAAGATCTTATGACATATTGTAACAAAATGAAAGTCGTTGTGAAAATAATCGATCTGGCCTATAAATTACAAGAGAAAGTAATTATATTCAGCCATAGTCTATGTTGTCTGACATTGATTGAAGAAGTATTGAGAGAGAATTGTACACCTAGCTTGTCATATGAAGACTACTGCAGAATGGACGGAAGAACGTCTGCGGAACTACGTCAGCGTTATATTGATAAATTTAATAATAGCAATAGCTATCGGTAAGACCTGTGTACTTGTACTCTGTAATAAAGTATATTAGGTAATAAGATTAATTACATCATTTGTAGTTCTAAGAATTTTATTTGATCAAGGTGTTGATAATTTCTGCATAAATTAACTTTCTTAACTTTCTAATGTTTTTAGATGCAGAGTATTCCTAATTTCGACGCGTGCTGGTAGCTTAGGAATTAATTTGACTGCTGCTAGTAGAGTAGTTTTATTTGACGTTGGTTGGAATCCGTCTTATGATATGCAAGCGATTTTCCGTGCTTACCGATTTGGGCAAAAAAAAACGGTTTATGTTTATCGTCTTGTCGCAAAGGTATGACTGTAAAGTTGACATATAAAGTAATTGCATCGATATTTAAATGGGATGATATGCGTGCTTAGTCCTTCTTTACCCGAAACTGATAGGGTACAATGGAACAAAAAATCTATGAAAGACAGGTTGATGTTATTTCAGGAATACGTATAGAAATGCAATAAATCCAACCATGAACTATACATATGCCTCTTCATTGAATTAGGTTACGAAACAATCATTAGCTTACAGAGTTATTGACAAGCGTCAAATCGAGCGCCATTATACCATGTCAGAATTGCAGGAACTGTATGCCTTTACTCCTGAGCCGGATAATTTAAAAACTCCCTTAGTCCCACAGGTTTACGGAACTATATTCTTGTTCAAGTCTAGGGATGTAATGCGTAACGGTATTTGATATGGATCGTTTGTGTATAATTAGGATCAAATTCTTGCGGAAATTATACAGGATCTACATCCGAAAATCCTTTTAAGTTATCATGAACATGATTCTTTACTCAAGAATATAGAATCAGAAAAATTAACAGAAGATGAGCGGAAGGCTGCATGGGAAGAATATAAAGCAGACGAAACGTAATCTTTTGATTTGAGAATCAGTCATTGTTATCATTCTTCACGTGGCAAGATTAACTTAAAATTTTTTATTTTATTTATTTACAATTCTTAGGCGGCAGTTAAAGCAGCTGCAAGGAAACGATAATCCCATAGGTAATTCTAGTTATGTATGTTGAACCCGTTGTAGTTGGTATTATCATTACGAACGCAGCAGCTGAATTATAGGAAATAAGCTAGATTGATTGTTATGGATTATGCAATACTTTTATTTGCTTGCTGCTTTTTTATCTTAATTTGATTATAATAAAGCATGCTATGCATATTCTGTATTTATTGCAAAGTGGTATTCTGAATTTATGCGAAGCGAATGTAGAAAACTTATTCGATCTCATTATCTGCCTATTTTGGATTAGGACTCGAGCAGGCGCAAAACATGCTATCATTGAATACTAATGGAAGTTTTGGTAATAATCAAGAAATTGTAAATAGTACGACGGGCGAATTGCCGTCGCAATTGGATAATCGTAGTGAGATGTTACCATCAACTCACGCTCAGCTGAATTTCCCTGGATATCGATCTTCATTCGGTTACATGGCTTAGAACATGTAGATTGGTTGTTTATATAAATAAGATGTTACACGTTAAATAAAGTGTATTGTGAAGCATTGATAATTTTTCAATTATATTGTACGAGTATTTGTTTCTGGCCAAGTGGTAAGATTGGTAGAAGTTCGGCTGCTTTACTGTGGATAAATAGAAACGACTTCATTATAAAGCGTTCGACATTAGTGTATTATCTTCAAATTTTTATTTTACCTTTGAGATTAAAAGTAGAGCTATAAGAGATTTAGTCGTTCGCAGTTGCTATTAATACTAATTACAGTACAGTAGATATTCTGTTTTCGTATTGATATTCAGCTAGTTAATGTATGAAAATACTGAGTCTGTTATGTGTTTGCATATAAAGTTAAGTTTTCTTTGGTAACCCAGTATTATCTGTTATTGTTACAAACACAATTATAAATCTAACACTTTAAAGCGTTTTTTTATATGGAATAATGTTTGTGATATCAGTACTGTATGTTATGCTGACAATCCTGTATTACGGTCTAATATGTTAAGGAATGCAATAAATTTATTTTAGTAACTTAAAAAGCTATTCGCAAATGTAATTGTAGATAGTTTAAAGTTATATTATCAATTGATGAGATCGGTGCTTGCGAATGCCTTAGTCGTTACGGAAACATATATCTGTATAGTTTCGTGACATTTTGATTTATGTCAAATATAGTTGATTACAGACTTAACAGTAAATGAATCGACTTGATAACTACTTTGAAGAAATGTAAAATGACCACAGAAAATATTTGTATCATTTACCACTGGTGATACCATATTTATTTTCGGTAAGCGATGATACATTATAATTTATTCGAGCTATATGATAATTTCAAAGGGATGTTCTTGAATATCCTTTTGATCAAAACTTCACGTTTCTTTTCAAACTATATGCGGAATGGTAAATGTGTAATGTTCAAGAAAAAATCACTGATCATTTTGTTGCTGTTTCTTTTTTCGAGGCGATTTCAGCTTTCTAGCATTGCCCATTTTGCGCCAATCAGCTGCTAATCGTATATCTTGCTTTGTAACAGCACTAAAATCCAATTGCCTTAGATTAGGAAGGAGAGAAAGAACGTAATTCCTATATCCCTGTACGTCAACAATAGGGTTACCATGGAGTGCTATCGATTTCAGCTCAGTTAAAGATGCTAGTTTATCAATCTCTTCTATATCTTCGATTTTATTACCATGTAGATATAAAACTTTTATACATGGATAATTAAGCAAGACCTGTATATGTAGAGGAGCTGTTATTAGTTTAAATCTAAATTTTCAAACCGAATAAGTGTTTAAGTTGAGCTATAATTTAGGATGTAACAAAATACCGTACCTTGTCAATTTTTGTTATACTGTTGAAAGACAAATCTAGCCATGACAAACCATTTGGTTTATCCAGAAGTTTTTCTACTACTTCTGGAAAGCCGTCAAAGTTTTTAACATAATTATTGTTAATTCGTAAAGAGTTGGTATGGTGCTTGCCGGAAGAGCTTATCTAGCAATTTGGTGGCAATAGTCAGAGTTATTATATTACAGTAGACTAAGATATGAACAATATTTAGATTATGTAAATTCGAGTAACTTTAGCTTCATACTTTGTATTTGACTTTTCCAAGCCTGGGTTCTTCATTGCGGAGATCTGCAATATTGATTGGAAATTGTAATGCTTGGATGATAGTTTTACATTTTGTCTAAATAACTTAAAATTTACATTTCTTTCTAGCAATAGAGAAACCTTTGATAATTATATTATTTAGTGTGACAACATCAAGTAATATTTCTATTGGGACATTAAAGTATGCATTTCAGATCTCAAAGTATTAAGCATTAGCAACTTTCGATGAAAGATGCTTTAAGAGGAAATGACCATTGCAATAACAAGCAAGTATTACCAGAGAGCGTTTCGATGTGCTTGAAGGAGAAATCTAGTGGGGGCCCATTTTCAACATTACAATCAATGGCATGAACAATTTGGTGTCGGCGTGGACTGTTACTCATTTCGATATTTGTGCTTGTTAATGATACGAATTTTCCTATATGTAAAAATGAAATTGTGAAAGGCAAATATTGATCAGATTACTGTTGTAGTGATAATTTCGTGATTTCAATTTAATGATCGATATTTGTATCTATAAATTTGAGAGTAGTGATGAATTGTAAGTTATTGGTGTAAAATTAGTAAATAGTCAGAATACCTTTTCACTTGCAGCTGTTAGGGAATGCGTAGATTTGCTAGACGATTTATTTGATTACTAGAGTTTAGACAATAATAGATGTTGGTTTCTTCGTCCAATAATCATATCCTATTTCAATTGGGATTCATAGCCAATGTTAACGTTGTTGGTATTCCTTGAGGGATTATGAATTGCTTTACGCGTAGGTAAGAATATTAGGAAATACAGTGGAATATTGTGCTGCAATAATATATTATATCGATCAATTACATCTATCTGAAGAGGTAGTAACCAGTAACGTAACTAAGTATTAAGATATAAAATGGTTAACTTGGTATTTATCCATCTCTACGCCAATATATACTGTAGTCTTGCTAGCATTTGTGATGGCAAAGGATCGGGTGTTGTCATAGCGATAGTGTGTACCGTACAGTGTACAGTGTACAGTACCATGGACTACTCAATTATACTGTACGATGGCCCAGACGGCTCAGACAGTCAGACAGCCAAGACGGCAAAAATAGTTGTACAGTATACTTTGAACAATTGTATAATGTACAGTCCAGTCCACTTTTGCCAGTTCTACTGTACAATCTGATTATTTTCGATGTCTCCCCTTCGTTCAAAAATCAAAGTTGTATTCCGTTGAAATTCCAGTATAGTATTTATACTGTATATACCCGTAGAAGGATATCTCCGAAGATAGATTATCATGATAACATGAACGTACAGTATAGTACTGTACTGTACAGTTTTTTCTTACATTACACAGTACAGTACAGTACAGTACAGTATAACAGTACATGATGTACCGATGATTTAAAGTGTACTAATAGTACACAGTACAGTACAGTAGTCCTTGTCTGTACGCCCGTGCGTCTGTACTATTCTTTTAAGAACTACAGTACTGTACAGTGTACAGTGTACAGTACTGCCCTGTCCAGTACTGTAGCTACGAAAAGAGAAGTGCAGACATACAGACGTACAGACAAGGACTACTGTAGTACTGTATGTACTGTACTGTTAGTACAGTACACTTTAAGTCATCGGTATATCATATGACTGTTTCGTCACTCTTCTATCTTTCGGCAGTTGCCGATTTCGTCAGCGACTTCTATTTTCTCTCTATCAACTGTTGACTATATTATACTATTATATTATTCAGAGTAAAATAAAAATACTGAAGGTGAACTGTAGAAAGCAAGTGCTTAGTACTTTAATAGAGACGATTTCGTCATGCTTCCGACGGTACAGTACTGAGTACTGGAATCTACAGTACAGTACCTACTATACGTACAGTACAGTACCCGATCCAGTACAGTACAGTATTATACTGCATGAAAGAATAAAATGGACTCAGAGTCATGACAGTACGGTACTGTAGTCCGGTATACTGTACACTGTACAGTACTGTACTGTATATTGCTTCAGCCGCACACCACGCAGGAGCAGGTCGTCGGCAGTTCTCACTTGCAAGTTAGATGATTTTTGAATAGTAATCCTGACCGAAATCAGCTTCTAGGTGATCATCCAAACGGTCCATTGATCATCGGTTTTATACATCAATTGATTCTATATCTTTGCTGTAGAATTAATCACAAGCAGCATGGGCTGCTGTTTCTCCAACTCCTCTGATGAACGTTTCGATGTTCAGGTAACATGAGAAAGTGTCGAGTGTAGACGCGTCTAGATGACAGTGCTCTTCACATGCAGAAAAGAGTCATTTCCCATTGGAATATAAATTCACTTTATTCCAATGATGGAATGACTACGCTTATGATACTACTGTACACTCCAATAATGCTTCCAATCGAGTCATAAGTAATGGATAAAAATGCTCTTGAAGCGACGATATACAATGCGTCTCTTTTCAATATTGTACAAGCACTATCTTGAGTTCAAAAAGTCATTTTTGCCGCCTGTTGTATCTTGATTGTTTGTCTGATCGTCAGCGTATGATAGAATTCGTATATGTTGAACAATGTATTGGTTGCGTTGCTTGTTTAGTAAGAATAGTACTTATAATGTCTAAACTCTGTTAATGACATAATTAAATCGAGTAACCAAACGGTGTGATATTTTAGAATCCGATTATTAATGAGAGAACGCCTTTAATGGTGGATTCATCGGCAGTTCCATCACGTCCTGTATTTAGGTAAGTCACTACGAAACCTGATCATGGCTGGCATTTTCAAACTGTTAAACCTATATTTACGCGTATATCGTCAATAGAATAAAAGTAGCTAAATCAACTTCGTAAAATAGCTCTATTTTACTCGGTAGATAGTCAATGATTTGCAAATGTTTTTCATTAGCAAATTACCTAGCTTAGGTTTTGCACCGACTTTCAAATATTACCCAAAGTCTTACCTTTGTCGCAATGTTGTGCAGCATAAAGACTTTAGTCAGCCTATGAAACAGTGGACTTCATTACTCCGCACAGAGGACGATATAAGCTACAATAGTAGTAAACCTTTTATGTACTGTACTATATTTATATGACATCAATGTATCAATCTAGATATCGAGAGAAAGTTGTTCTAATTGATATAGTTTTCTATTTGATTGGAGAAAAATTCTTTTTTAGGCTGTAAATTACTTAGTATTGATAAGGTTCAATGTTGCCACCTATAAACATGAAATAATATTTACCTTAACAATAATAGAAATAACTTATGTTCAATAGTAATGACTTTGCGCCCAACGAATCTTTAACGTCGCCCAAAGAGAATGACGAAAAGGGTGCTGTAAATAAAATATTACATGAAGTTTCACGGTATGCAATGATTTACATACTACGTGGTATAAATTGAATCGATGCTATATCTTAAATTCTATGCTTTCTTGTGTGCTGGTATAAATTGAATCGATAAAATAACCCTATAATTATTTCTAGAAATGTGATAGATATCGCAAATATGGAATCAGGAGGTATCGAGCAGATAAAATATTCAGAACGGGAGAAAGTATATAGGTAGGAATTTAATTATTCAATTAGATTTACAGTACCATTTGCTAGGACAAAATTTATAGTTGCTTCCTTTAGCTACTGTAGATGAAAGATATCATGATTTGCAATATAGCTTCATGTTTGCGAGATTTGATAGCGTGCATCATGTATATCAGTTATATGGTCTTACAATTGATTAGAATACATGATAATAGCTTCGAGCAGTTAACTATACTAGAATTAATTTCCTTTGGTATCTTTAGGTTGATTTACTTACAGCTAATTCATGATATGAATGTCAATTAATTTGTATTTGCGTATATTGTATGACAGTGACTTTACTGTGCCATTTAATATGTCATAGCAGTTGTAATCGACAATCTACCTCTTTGTGATTGAGTTATCACAGTAACGATAAGTAATTTCTTGTCTTCCTACATTTTTAAACTTAGCTCAAAAGTAGCGGTGCTTGCTATCAAGCCAACTAGCAGTGCTAGAAATGATATTTTAAGTATTGATAGTGTATCTGTGGTCAACGTGCTAAGCGAAAAAACTACTAATGATAGAAAAATGGTGAGTAGCCAAATTACTTGAGCTAACAACGAGTCAACATGTATTAAGATTCTTATTGCTTGATGTTGCCAAGTTCTGCTTTGGCTATCATGGTATTTATTCATACTGATAGGTTTCATTTCACCTTATTAGATTACCGATAATATAAAGCAAGTAGCTTCGGCCTTTTCTTCGATGGGAATTAAAAGTACTAAGCCATTAGTTGTACAATTTGACTCAGTTCCTTAGCTATATTAAGAACGCAAAGTTATTAAATAAAGATTATCATAACTACCGTATCTATCGATATCGATGTGAAATGAAACTGGAATTAATATTATACCATTCCTATCGGTGACATTTTCGTTGCGTATTTCGGTGGCGTAAATTGACTGTTGGGTAAAATTGCAAAGTCAACGTTATAGCTAAATGGATTCCATCCTGTGATTAACCATAAATTGACTGTATTTAAAAAATATTACTCTTGTGAATGTAAAGGAGGCGTTCAATATAGGATATTCATTTATCAATTTTCCTGTCTGAAGAATGGCCGACAACACGTTGTAAAATTTAATTATCTTAAATGCATGCTATGTACAGATTAACAATTTCGTTTGTAACGAATCTACATAATATGTACATTTTCTTTTTATTATTAACATCATTAGAGATATAATATTATCAAGACTGATCTAGATAGTGATTATCATCGTAGTAAAATTTTCATGATTGATTGTCCTTAACCTATTGCTTGATATGCTCACTACAAATAGTATACTATGATAATAGCGTGATTGCTACAATATCTAGCTTTCATATACGAAAATTAGCTGTAAACGTAGGCATTTAACAAGTTTTAGATCAATTATTCATCAATTCTATATATTTATTTTGTTTCAATAACGAGATTGTAAACCTACTATTAAATATAGCTAACGAGAAAATATATATTCAAGATAGGAGCTCTTTGAAAACTATTTTCTTGCGGTTCATTTTGCCGTATTGAAATTTAAAAGAAATAAAATTATCATTGAACTTTCGTTTATTTTGCCTTACGTATATTTTAGTCACTACAGGTATTTTGAACTCATAGAGTAAAATAACGTCAACCTACTGTATAGGAGGGCATTTACTGTCTTGTTATTAATGTATTGTAAATCTCTTATTGAACTTTTGTTTATTTTGCCTTACGTATATTTTAGTCACTACAGGTATTTTGAACACATAGAGTAAAATAAGGTCAACCTACTGTGTATAGTAGGGCATTTACTGTCTTGTAAATCTCTTATTGAACTTTCGTTTATTTTAGTTAATACAGGTATTTTGAACTCATAGAGTAAAATAAGGTTAACCTACTGTATAAAAGAGCATTTACTGTCTTGTAAATCTCACGTATCATGCAGTCGTGTTTTCTAGTCAATAAATAGTTTTATGTATTATATACGTATTCCGGTAGGCTAGCTTTTAATCCTATGAAATAGGATGACTGTATTCTCGATCACGGTTGTAATTCTTGAATAGAATTCTTTCAAGAAGTCGTATCTGATTGAACTACAGACTTCCTTGGAATTAGTGATATTTGTCTATGGATGTGTTTCAAGTGCAGCTAAAGACTATCATGTCCGATAATAAAAATTAACCGAGTATCATTTATATAGAGTTAAATACATACTTGTGCTCGTATGCGACAAGATAAACGTAACTATTCAAGTGTGCTGCACTTTTGTTTGTTTCTAGTGTGAATGTTAGTTACTGGTATACTCGTATATTCACCGATTATAATCATATACGTATGTTGCGTTACTATGAATTAACTGTCACAATATAACTCCAAGAATTCATGTACACTTTTACAGTATGCGTATTATCCAATACAGTATAAGAACATTTAGGTAGAACTTTTTAGAATACTTTATATAATTTGTACTCGCTGAATTACAATTAAACTAGCCTATGAACTGTAAATATCTGAGCTTCGATTGTATTAATACTGTATGCTAAGATTTTCGTATTTTTGTTGTTTTATAGGCAGCAATATACTCGTATCCTTCTTGGTAACGAGGACTTTGGATTTTTTCTTTTTATCTTGTATAGAAAATTTTAGTGGAAAGTTTATTTTCCAAGACGTCATTATAGTGTAGAAATAAATAAATGTTAACATTTTTCAGTGGTGATACCAAGTAAAATTCTGTATAAGGATTCGATGGCATACGCATATATGGGAATACTGTAAGAGTAATCTTGAACAAGTATACAACACTAGACCGTAGAGTTGCAAGGACCACAGTATTACCGTTGCGTATCTAATAAGGTATTTTACAGTTATTCGCAGTTAAGGTCGAAGATATAGAAAGACGAGATCATTACATGGCAAATTTACCGATAGCATTCCATGTCTACAATATACGTACAGTAACGGTACAATGGCAATTATACAAACTGTCTATGTTAGTATTGTACATTCGAATAGTTGTATAGTCAGTGTACGTAACCAAATTTGAACAAGTGTAAAAATGCTGGCAGTCTGGCCAATTTGGAATTTCGTATGTCTTGATATTAGCGTTCACTAAAGCCAACAGTCAGATTGAATAAAACGATGGTAAAGGAATCCGTTTGTTTGGACAACGATTGACTCGATATCTTCCAGATCCACTTGACCAAAACGATCCACAGAAACAACTACTAGTTAGCGCGCATCAAAAACGATCACTATAAAGTTGAGGCAAGATTAATAGGAAAATGATTGCATTGCTCTGGACAGCGTTTGGGAATATACTATGAATAATGATAAAAGCACTAGAGTATAGCATGATTTTAGCTCAACTTACTTCTTTTGGTTCTTTTCTTATACAATATACGACAACCGCACTCACGACAACGAATTGGATCACGAGGTTTTATATCATTTTCCATTCGACAATCTAGATCATTTCAGATATGTAGCCATACGTGGTAGAAGAATAAAAGAAGTTGATGATTACGCAGGTGAAGTATCGTAGGCAAAATCATGCACTTTATTGAAGCTGATAATCATTTTATACACACAAAACAGCAGTAAAGCCTACAAAAGTAGCCTAGATCAATGTGATCTCTTTGGTCTAACAATACGAATAACGTATCAGAGTAGCGGTTGGCATGGCGATATTTTAGCCTTAACGTATTTCACTTGGCATGGCAAGATTGCATTACTCGTATAATCCATTCCGATTGCAATCAACAGTCAATGCCAAGATTTTAACAAACTCTTTGCTATCATAGTACTTGATATTGCTCTATCCGTCAGCATACCTCCACAAATATACTTGATAGAAATTTTGTTGGCATTAGCTGTAGAAGGCTGCGTGGATGTGGACGTACTTGCTGTTTGTTCGGTAGCTTCCATGTTGCATGCCGTCTATCTTTTTCAGCCTCGGACTTTAGTACAAGGATTATAGTAAGAAGAGATACAGTTGACTCCACATTGTCGCCACTGCAGTGCACAGTATAGTACTGTGTGTACAATGTACAGTACTACATAGCGTACTGTACACTCTGCACTGTACAGTACTGTACTGGATGTGGACCAGACTACCTGTACAGTACTGTACAGTGTATGTTACAGTAAGGAAAACGACTTCAGAAGCGCTGTCATTACTGTGTCGAGTACAGTATATCCCATTTCCTTCCTTTCTTGTTTTGCTGGAAAAAATGAGCAGGGACAGGAGCTGCTGACGGACAAAACGTCGTCTTTTATTAACTTGAGCGTAAAGTACAATACTACGGTGGCCCAGAAGGCTCAAACTACCTAAAAATAGCGTCCAAAATAATAATAAAATAATGAAAAGGAGAGTGGTACAGTATAGTACAGTAGCCATCTCCTGTGTCAGGCTGTGTGACCTGTACTGCTTACGTCACCAGTACAGTACTGTACTGTACACAGTGTACAGTCTTATTACCGTAAAATGCAATTTAGTACAGTAGGAGGCGATACGATCCTTTGCCTATTACTGTATATGGATTAGTATAACATTCATGTATCATCTATGATACATTGGCACATAACAGGTTCAAATTTTTGCATCACATCGTACAAAATGGATCGCAAATGCATGGTTTAAATATATCTTTATATCTGTATAGGAATGTGGATAGCCATTGGTCTTTTTTAAGCGTTTTACTTGTAGTTTTGACTATTCAAAGAAAAGAATAGTGTACAGTACAATAAGTATACAGTACTGTACACTGTACTGTACAGTACTGTACAGTACAGTACAGTACAGTGAGTGTACAGTGTACAGTGTACAGTATGACCTCGTCATGATGTACTGTACTGTGGATGCAGCGCTGCAAACTGAAAGCGTCCAAGACAAAAGGCTGATTTGACCTACTGTACTGTACTGTACGGTACACTGTGGAAACTATACTATTCACTATGCAGCCTTTTCAAGTTGACTCTCTCAAACGAGCGTGGTGGCAATTAAAAACCAACGAGTGCCACGAAGTCGTAGTATTGCCTGGAAAGAAGAAGAAAGGGTAAGGTAGCCATAACGCTGTTGGCTTGTAGAATGTTCAATGGATTCTTAGCCAGTGAAGGATGTGTTGCAAGCTTTTCACCTTAAAGTTTATTTTTTCTTTAATTCTTTTTCATGAAATTGGCGCATAGCATTTCTACCATTTCACTCAAGTCTACCATTTCCCTTTTTCATATTGGACAGCAATATGAACACGTGTTCGTATGCAATCTGCCTTTTGGTGCTATTGACGACTACCATAGTCTACTGTGATGAAGCATCATCACTGGAAGAGGAAATGGAGGAATCAATGCCAGTATCCAAGGTAGTGTTGTGCCGTATCGATTTGGACATGGTTTATCATTCATTTTTTTACACTTCGATCATCATGACTGTCTAATATGGATGAACTTTCTACTCTCCTTGTCATATTACTACTGTACAATACTGTAGTTGAATGGATCAAGTGAATGTTGTTGTAATAGACGTACTGTACAGTATTGCTAGTCATTGCTATGACTTTGAATGTTTTAATGGACTCAATGCTAGTCATAACTGCTGTTGGAGAGTCATGTTGGAAATAACCTAATGATCAATCATTGGATTATTATGGACTTTAGAAGCCTTACCAAGTGCCCATTTTAACTGATTATGATGTCTACTTATATGAAGCATTCCAGTCTGACGAGAGATATCGCAAAAGGTTAGACTAAAAATAAGCCTACAGTACACTGTAAGTTTCAAATTCCATTGCAATCTTGGTACTTGACGGGTAGTTCATGATGAGAGAGGGTAGCATAAAACTTCGCTTGATACGTATATCTATCTACAGTATGGATGAGCAGTACTCTACCTTGATCGATGCTTGTTTGCTTTTGATTCTCAACATGCGACAATGAAATAGGCCATTTTAATTTCAATTGACTAGTTTATGATATCAACACTGCGGTAAGCAGTAAAAAGCGAGTCGAGATTGAGGAACATATCAAGTCATGCATCATTTACTATTGTAAATTGTATATTGCTTTATCTTTCATAATCGATATTGACAGTAAATGTCTGTTGCATCAATGAATAGAATTCAAAATTTCGACGTTGGTAACATCTGTATCATTGTATTTACAGCTTCTGTATACTATCGGGCTTAGCAGTAACTTAAAATGGCCTAGTTGACTCAGCATACAGCTACCATCATCATTCTATTCATTAATTATATGTATGTACTTTATCATCGATTTCTAGTAGTAATGATTTCATCTACATTTTACTCAATACTATATGATATACGCATAGACACTCGATGTAGACGGTACACCATACTGTATGTAAATTGATATCGTTAAAATTGAACAATACACGTTTAATTAACTGCACATTATTGTTTTTCATAATAATTAATTTATTAATTAGTGGTATATACTCTATATTCGAAAAATAATTCAATTGGATAGAATCAATACATACTATCAAAGACAGTGAAATAGAAAAGATATTGTGATAAATTGACAGTGTACAGTTCTTATACACACATATTTATTTATAAGGTGAAAATTATTGGACAATAAAATAAATAAACTCGATATGTATCATCCTTTGACTTTGAAATGATAGGTGATCAGTTTGTATGTCCTCGGTAAATGGAGGTAGTAACTTACAACTTACATTATATGTTATACACCTACACAGGTAATGATGTTGTGTTGGCTATCAATTTATAGTCATAGTGGAATAGGATTTATATACGACATTGCTATCTTGAATTCCATAAGCATTCTATTGGATGCATTGCAATACTCTGATAATCTTAGTAGTAGCTTACGAGGATTCGAGTTCACTATGCTCACAAAGTAGGATTCTAAACTTGGTAATAGCTAATACGGATGAAATAAAGATTGCTAGATGAGTTAGCATTTCAATCTTGATTATAGCTTATTATTTGATTATAATGGATAAGTTAGTATTTTTGTTCTATCCATAGCCTATACTGTATTACGATTGACCATAGTCAATGTCTAACAATCGAAGCATATTATGTGTTTTCTGCTATTGTTCATACAGATAACTACACCTATTGAAATAGGAAAGATTGGCTAAGTAACTGTATGTATTCATGATTAATTTATACAGATGGATTGTATCGGAGGCTAAGAAAGATGGCGCTGATGCTGATATTGCTAAATATGATGGTAATCTTTCGTGTCATCGAACTTTATTGTAGACGTATTCTGACGCACTTTATGCTATTAAGAAATAAGCAAGTAGAATTAATCATGCATAAAACTGGAGTTATATGAATCCTTCTTGTGGTGTTATTTAGGTCAATGGGAAGTTGAAGGTACTAAGAAATTAATTAACCGTGGTGATTTGGGATTAGTTATGAAGGTATACATTTCTTTTAACTACACGTTGATAGCCCTTATAGTAATACTATAAATCTCCATCTGCTTGAAAATTGCGACAATAATGCTTGGTACTAAAGATATACTATCTTACTTCTACTATCATCTACAGTGTAGTTTTGTTATATTGGATTACCAATTATTAGAATGCAAATTTTAATGTAGAGTATATTAGATACTATGTGAAACGTTACTGACGTAAAAAATGTGACTAAGCCGTATCCGCCATAAATTATGGAGTCAAACTGCTCAGTTTGACGTAGTTATTGCAATACACTTGGAGTACATGTTACGCGCTCATTGAATTAGAGTAATCTTCATTCTAATTAGCGTGCTACAGTATTGTATATAATTGATGTCGGCTTAAATATTGATTGATTGATATTAATTACACTAGCTATGGTGGTTAAAGCTAATTATTGTCTCTAGCTAAATTACAACCTTTTGCTTAGATGGGACAGTTAGTGATTTCACTCTTTGATATTCTGCATTTTTTATGGAAATATAGTCAAGAGCAAAGCACTCTGCTATTTCAACGATGTTGGATCAACCATTCGTTTTCGACACCAAACCATTTATCGTTCAGTAAGAATGTTGATCATAATAATTTTTGAAAGTATCGTAGATATAATATTGCAATTATAGTTTTCCCTAATGCTACAGTACAACAGCAAATGTAACAAATATTGCTACATACGTTATCTAAAATGATTAGATATGAAGTCCAGTTTCAAGATTTTCAAGAATGTGGCGGTGCTTACATCAAATTATTATCGGCATCTGACAAGCTTAAATTGGTTAGATTATAGATTGATATTTTTGACCAATACGATAGCATTTATTTTGTACTTATTTAATATCTAATATTTTAGGAAGAATTACATGATAAAACTCCCTATACAATTATGTTTGGTCCTGATAAATGTGGTGAAGAAAAAAAGGTAGCCTGACAATATAATTTATCGTACATGATGCAATTTTACGTTTTAAAAAAAATTTTACCAAGGGAAATGAATATATCTTTAATATATATTATATTTTATTATTAGCTGCATTTCATATTTCGTCATCAAAATCCTGTAACAAATGAATTCGAGGTCAGTTGTGGCTTTAGTCTTATTAGAATAATTTAAATCTACTATTTAAGGCAAATTGATTACATATCTACACAATATTTATCGCATTCTGTATGTAATAATAAGGAAAAACATGCCAAAAAACCAGATGTGGATATTGGCAAATTTTTCGATGATAAAACACATCTGTACAAACTCGGTTCGTACCCTTAACAGTTCTTTAGATGTTGATGGGATGATTTATAAAGATTAATTATTAAGTTTTAATTCTTATTTTAATAAATAGCAATCTTTCCTGACAATACCTTTAAGATCTTTGTTGATGGGGAGTTGGTCAATTCGGGTAGTTTGCTAGAAGATTTTCAGTAAGTCGTAAAGTATAGCTTATTTTGATTTGTATTCAGTTACTAATTTGTATCCATCATGGTATACAACTTATTATCTGATTCACTAACTGATTTATTAACTCTATCTTATAGACCTCCTGTGAATCCTCCAGAGGAAATTGATGATCCTGATGATAAGAAGCCAGACGAGTGGGATGACCGGGAAAAGTATGTATACTGTATTGTGTTTGATAACATTGAAAATCAATTTATTATAACTATCTTGAAATTTTTTTAGAATTGACGATTCGGATGCTCGAAAGCCTGATGATTGGTATTTTGCTAAATGCTATTTTCAAATTTACAAGAAATAATTAATATACAAACGCTTCATCGATGGTTGCTACATATGTATAGGGATGAAGATGAACCTATGGAAATTCCTGATCCGGCTGCTGTAAAACCCGAGTCGTGGTTAGATGATGAACAACAATATATTGCTGATCCAACTGCTAAGAAACCCGATGACTGGTATATTGAATAGATTGATTGCTTTATCACTGAAGTGTATTACTTCCATCAAGATAGTCTTTTAGTGACCTTTGCAGGTAGTACAGTATGCTAAATTATCTACTTGATGAAATATCTTATAGGGATGCAGAAATGGATGGAGAATGGGAACCGCCTTTAATAGGTAGAAAAAGTTGACAATCAATAGGTCTTTCTACTGTAAGCTTTTATTTATTATTCTAATTTTGTTATAGATAATCCTAAATGCAAAGAAAGTGGATGTGGAGAATGGAAGCCTCCTAAAATTCATAATCCTAAGTTTAAAGGTAAATGGATCGCACCAAAGATTGAAAATCCTAACTATCAAGGTGAATGGAAACCGAAGAAGATCAAAAATCCGAACTACTTTAATGATGAACATCCTTTTACAATGACTAGTATTGTAAGTTTAATTAATCGATCATTATATGAAATGTGTGTGCAAATTATCCGATTTTATCAGCTCTAATTTATACCAAAATTATTAGGCTGCACTTGGCTTTGAAATATGGTCAATTAGCCCAGATATTTGTTTCGATAATATTCTAATCACGTCTGACGAAGCAGCAGCTGAGAAAGTTGCTGTCGAAACGTATGTAAAGATGGATTATTGACTTTTGAAGCTACTACACTGAATTAAAATATTACTCTTTCAGCTGGCAAACGAAAAATCAACATGAGAACTCTGTTAGTTCAGTAAGATTTAACAGCTTCATTTATGAAAACGAAATTATGATAGTGATTTTAATTAATGTACGTTTGATAATATTTAACCTAATACCTAGGGATCCTTCTTATCCCGATTTGCTGAAGCTGCTGAAGAGAAACCTTGGCTGTGGGTTGTGTACGGTATAGGTCTCACTGTTCCATTTGCCATTCTTGGATATCTTTGCTTTCCTAAGAAGGTCTGCTAAATATTTCGCAACTTTTTTATCAAGGATCAATTATATGCATTCGCCAGTATTAAACTAAGCATAAGTCAAGGATGATTAATAATAGATGATTCAATTTTTAAATAACAGCGTGACGAAGCTGCGGAAAGAAAACGAACTGATGCGCCATCTCCTGATGATCCACAAAGTAGCAGAGTAAGAATAATTTTTTTACCGATGGTTTATAACTACAATTATTACATATTAATTTAATTTAATATTCGAATAGCAGGAAGAACGAAGAAATGAGAATGAATCTACCGAAGAACAGGTAATTATTACTCTGTAGAGGTTATTCTATATAATTTCTTGACGTTATTCTCGATATATGTTGTCCAGCCTTCTCAAGCCGCAACTGGTGGAAGTGATGCAGGTGGCACAGAAAGCGTAAGTGAGGGTACTGCGGCCGCATCAGAGGTAACTGTAATGTACTTAATCGTTTTCACACATCACATTTTTTTAATATTATTGTTATGTAATGATCGATAGAGAGATAAGGAGGAAGAAGAATCAAAAGAAACGGAGAAGAAGAAAGTACCGGAACGAAAGTAATGGAATTAAAATATTGAACTGTTTATGCAGTAGTTACTATAAGTATTTGCATTCACGATAATACTATTGATTACATTTTATAATTATTTTCCTTTGATTATATAATTATAGATCTTCGCCACGTAGACGGAAAAAAACGCCAAAAGACTAAATTTTATTGAAACGTTTAGTTTAAAGACGTTACAGCCATATTTATCATGTTATACATCTATTTAGTTCAGCTTTTAATAAATTTGTTATTTTGCGTTTACCCTTTTTCAAAGTGTTTGCATTGGCCTTTTAGTTGGAATAATTATGATGAGTACAATTTTACCATGTCTTTAAATTTTACGTTAGCAGATATAAAGTAGTTACCCAATTGTAGATTTACAGTGATAAATTCCTAAAATTATCGCTGTTATAAAGTTATCGTCAATTACTGAATTTTGCGAATATTGAGCGTCACAGTAAAGTCATTGTTTGATATAATATACGTACTTATCTTATGTTAAATGTTTACGATAAGGCTATTAACTAGTTATTTACTTAGATATTCGTTTTATTTCTAATACCTATCTTATCCGTTGCTAAGCTCGAGCTTTCGGTTAAAATTATATATCAAGGCTTGCGTTATATAATAAATAAATAAATTGAATTGTTTGTTAATACAGTAGATTGTGATGGCACGAACAGTACGGTAATTAGCTTCTTGGCAATGAATGAAATTGTTCATTTGTAGATTGATCATAATTATTTATAGCTGCCCTAAGTAATTAAGATGATGAGCATTTCCCATTTTTACTTAAATTGATTTGTACAAATAATAAAATTAATTAACATACTATGTTTGATAAATAGTTTACATCATTGCTAGACTAGCATAATTTACAACACTGTGTAACCGCATGCATCATAGTTCTTAAGGTACCTGTACGTTGAGCACCAATATACAGCATTGTGCCCGTGGTGAATTCACCTAGCAAAGCTACGATTTTAAATATTTTCTTCGATTATAATTAGTAGTAATTCCAAAACTAAATTATATCTATGTAAGTGCAAAATTAACGAATCTCGTAAACTGCTGTAGAAACAAGATTAATATATACTTTTACTTCAACTGAAAATGATGATATTTCGATCAAGATCGCATCAGATCGATGCAAAAATACTGTTGATTTGTTATCATAAATATATAATATATATTATCAACTTTTCGCTAGAAGTGATGTCACCCTGGCATTTCTTACAATGTAATCATCTATTAGAAATTACTGATATAAAACCATTAAGACACAAAGTAAATTAAATTTAACTGTTTAATAACAAGATTTTAGCAGCCGTATCTACCATCACTAACAAGGTTTAATTCGAATCCCATTTATTTATTCCAGTAGCTAAGTCGAAAGCTTTACATGTTTCATATGCATTTGCTCAGGTAGGACAGAGCTCAAATCATATGGGCATATGACACTTCGTTTTCTACATGATTCATCTCAAATGCAAGAACAAATAATTGCCCTATGATCGAAATTAGTAAAATCAAGCTATCAATTATATTTACTGTACAATAAGTTGCTACCAGTAAAGTAGTCAATACTCATACAAAAATATTTATTTTTCTAGTAAAACTAGGGCAGAAAGTATAGAAATTATTTGTTCTCTTCGTTATGAAAAATATTAATTAGGAACCATAATAAATTACATTAAGGCAATATCTGTCTTGTATCATCTTATATAGATATTCCTAATAGCAGACGCATATCATAATTCAGGCATAGAATTGCCTTTCCAGTTTCTAAACAAAGTACCATACTTTCGCTCTTGCGGCGAGCATTACATCCGGTTATCCTAAACCTTGATATAGATCTAAACCAGAAATTTCAGTTAATACAATTAGTTATAATGTATCACACGATTTGCAATAAAATCAGTTTCATAAAAAGAGATATATTCATAATATGATATAATCGATGATGCAATACAGCTAAAGAAATAGCTCACTTACGGTATACGAATACATTTCACATATGTTAGAATTTTTAGAGAAATTCTTAATTCTTTTTTACTGCATGATAGTAGTATTAACGTGAGACTAAACTTCGTGAACACAGTTCATAGACTACACTTAGAATCCTGCACTGCTTCAGACGATACGTATGTTTTAAAAATTAACTCGAGTTCTTATCTTATTCAAACGCAAATCAGTCCGAGATACTACAGCTTAACAATGCATTTCAAATTTATGATGTAGTAATAATGTTATTACGTTGAAAGGTAACCTACCCATCCTATTATTTATTTTGCTATTTTATAACTATTGAAACCTTTCAATCAATTACCAGCATACAATAACATACTTTTCTGAATATAACCCACGACATCGAATTCTGAAGAATATTAATCTTGACTGACGATATCTTTCCCATTTTATTATTTTTAACGAAGATGTGATAAAAGTTTCCATGATTAAATTTTCCAATATTGACAAAATTTTCGGTTTTAATTTCTTTCCCGTCTTGTAACACTAGTACTTCGGCATTATTCAAAATATCACCTGGATGTTCACTATTGCCACTTAGGATACAAATACTAGAAGATAAAAAAGATACTATGCAGTTAGACGATATATTTGTCATAAAGATTAACATCATTACGCGCATTCAAACTGAAAAACAACGCACGAAGATGAATTAGACCTTAAAAGCAAATGTTGCAAGCAGCTTGTAATAAATACTGATGTAAGCACATAAAGGTCTGATAGCAACACTCATAAAGTAAGTATAGTAATATTAAAAGAAACATTTGAGAGTACTGTACTATATAGTACACGTATGTCTCACCAAAATACTAAAATTGCAGATACCTTTAAAATAAAGTCTGTAAAGAAAATTTTACCGAGTTAATTGCTTGTATAAATAATTTCACTCATACTTTTGTTTAACACATGTATGGCACAGATCAACAGCATAAGTGGCATCTGTTATGCACTTTATATAGTAACTATGGAGCATGTTTGGACTGAAACATGTTCAGTCGCCGCTTTTAAAAAAGTAATGACAGCTAGTGGTGGCAGGGATGTACTAAAAAGTCACCAGTAGCCTCTAATGGCAAGTGTTTGTTGCTTTACCTGCGTAACTCGACAGGCTTCAGCAATTGAATGTCTATGAAATCTCCTTTAATAGGTTTTATGCCCCAAAACATTCCTTTACCATTATAAGCAAATTCAATGGAATAACTTTGATGATGCTTTATGGTGGTTTTTATTTTAGCTGGAGGATTATTATGAGCCACAAACAGATTACCCATCCTAAATGATTTATCCTAGGCAAAATGAAATATTTTTAATCAAATAAGACAATAACCGAGAACTAATCACGTCAATAAAAGAAATCGTCTTCTCATTTAACAGTAAAGCTAAACTATCAACTCCACACACGTGCTAAATTACTAACGCTAGCGTCTTAGTAGTTAACAAATCCTTAATGAAAGCTGATATGTCGGAATCCTAACCTTCAATGGCTGAACTTTACCAGCTAGCGAGGAATGCTTTCCGACGTGTTGAAATAGTGAAGGTCGAAAACGTTTAGATAATTTCTGTTTCTGAAGAGAACAGTGTCGCTGGAAATTTATAAAGAAAATATTTTAGAAGTTCCATTTTAATAATACAAACTTAATCAATTCAAACTAGATAAAAATTCAAGACTAAATTGTTGCATGTATGAACGGGTAAAAATACTACATTCGAAATTATGCGAAGATCTGTTGACCAATACCATTGATTTATCTATTGAGCAAACTTTAGAATATAAAATATGATCTAGAAGCCAATCGCAAGGTTGGTCTTTATGAAACATTAACATGTAATTAACCATGTAAACTAAATTTTCAGTTCGGAACAATTTACCTATCAATACAAAAGATTATATATACATCAATTGTTAAGTACCATCAAAACATGTATCTAAAAAGAAAAACAACACAAAATTTGAAGAATAAATGCTACTCTATTCTTATAATAGAGTAGTTTGTATTTACCAATAAATCCTAATTGCGAAAAGAGCAAAACAAACCACTGTTGATTGCGTTGTTTCATAGCGAAATTCTTCATTTTAGAGATACAGTTAGGAGCAGAAATGACGTCATCTTCTAGCTAATTTGTAGCAGAAAGCGCGTTATTATAAACATCGAAAAACAACAATAATTGAGAAAAAATATGTATTTACAATTTATTCAACTTAGTAATATATTGTTAGCAAATAGGTATAAGTAGAGGGTACTAGCTGTAATCCATTTGATATCAAAATAGGTTCCTACTTTAATTATAAAAGTTAATAACCAGCTGTCACGGTGCGAACTACCGTGAAGAAATAGCTATCTAAATTTGGTTAATATAATATAGTGATATTATATTACAACTAGTTACTTACAATAGGAATTACTCTAATTATAAATGTGTTACAGTAAATTTAATGCTGTGCTGTAATGTGTACTGAAATGATTCTGTGAATGGACATATTGTAGTCCGACTGTGAAAAACTAGTTAGTAGATGTTCTCACCCAAGTATTTTTATAAGATGACTTGTGAATGTTAGCTGCTGTAGAAGGGTATATAAGCCCGTCAGATAGTTGAATAAAGCAGTTCTCAATTGTCTAGTTGAGTTTAACGTAGAATCAAAGGCGTCTAAATTCTTGTGAGTAGGGATACTGAATCCCGGAGACTATAGTAATTTAGAGATTTGTTTTACGTTATCCTTGTCACGAAGCTGGTTTGTGACACCAGCATTAGTCTGCCAAGGCAGTTGATGACGCTGATGAACACTTAGTTTTACCTGAACGTAGTAAACGCCCTTGTTCATAACGTACATCATAAGGTAAGCATAATCCAAATTTTGTTTAGTTCTCCATCTTAAGTTATACATCATAACATAATTTTTGTTAGAATATTTTTAATGATAGATGAAAAGAAGAGTTTAAAATTTTATTATTTGCTACCTAACACGTTGTATATTGTCTCCTAACGTCAACGGCAGATGAGTAAGATCTGGATAATAGTCAGCTGCAGGTGCAATCATTTCTAAAAGGCCTGATGCAATGTATTGGCTAAACCTTTGCAATAAATCATTAAGTAATGAACTTAATACAAATATGTAACACGCCGAGAAATGTAATATTGCTATAAAGATAAGAAATATTTTCTTACTTATCCGATAAGACTTTAGCGGTATCCTTGATAAATTTCATATTCGTCTATACAGTAGTTAAGGAGAAACAGACTTTCAATAATTCGTATATTATAATATAACGCTAAGGAACATTCCATACAGATATTTGTTGCTGTAATACCCGTATTCCAACATTAGTATATTGTAAGTAAATTTTAAAGTTACCTTTGTCTTTTAAATTGGTAAACTAGTACTCAAATTAATGAATTTATGATTGACCATGAAACAGATGAGTATTAAAAGGATATTAACTGTATATACTTACCTCGGCTATAAAAACTACTACAATAGTGATTTCCTTTTCTTCATCAGACATACTATTAAATAGGGATCCCAAGGTCTTAACCAAATAGCTTTCTTTGCTTCTTTTAACTGTTGGAATGCCAACCACTATCGTGGCTAAAAGCACAAATATATACAAAACTATTATGATGAAATCAAGTTATTTCATTGACCTATTTTGGAGTTGGTTTAGCGATAATCAGATTAGCAAGTCTTCTAGTAACTAATAAAGCTGCGTTTATAGTTTTATCCCATTTAAACTTATATTCGAAGAGGCTGAATATAAGTAGGACTACTAAAACTTTAGAGCTATCAAACAATTTATCCTCTATTGATATTAATACATTATATATTTTCAGTTTACATTATTCCTCATTCTTTCAAATAAAATATTTTTATCGTAAGGTACACCGAATAATACAAGTTTACAACTTGTTCTTTTCTGACGTACAAGCAATAAACAAAATAACTTGACGTCTCAATTTAAATTCATATCAGAGCACCGAACTTTCATTAGATTATTTATTGCCTTATTTAAAATATATTTTCCTGATTTTCGGTTAATAATAAATTTTTATTTACCTCCTAACTTATTCTTGCCAATTTTTAATGACGGTATTAGGGCTTGCGGTTTCTTCTTTAGATGAGGTAAATAGTTTTGAATTGATGGCGCATGAATTCGATTCGATAGTGACATATCAGCCGATTGTGCAGTTGTATTGCTCAATAGGTTATAATTATTACTGATAGGCAGAAATTTTTGCTGCTCACTAGCTAATCGATCCTTTAATTGCAAGACTTCATTCGATTTAATTAAAGAATTTAAGTCAGACTCTTGTAGTTGCGATTTTAATTTTTGAATTTCGTCTTCATACTTTCTGGCTGAACTACCTAGAATGATTACATGACATATATTTAAGTAATTCTAAATGCCTATCTACGTAAAGATATAAAATATGTATGCCACATAAATACAATTCTCATCATTTACAACCAGACTAGTTAACTGCCTAATGCTCTATATCAATATTAACTGTAAGTAATAATAATTAATCGTATAATAAGTAATTTTGATACCGCTACTAATATTGTGCGCTACATCTACTGTTATCTTAAGCATTGTATCGCCTACAAAGTAGTACAGTACAGCAAAGGCAAAATACTCTGATAATTATATAATTTAAGGACATTATACAGACATATAAGTTAATGTGATAAGATCACTAGGCTGTTTGAAGTCAAAAACTTCATGATGTTAGCATATACTACATTACCGAGAATAATTTAAATTCAACTTTCATGGCTATCAATTTATATACGCATATATATCTCTACAGTATTATTACGTAACACTATTTTCTCATAGCATGTCTAAGCAGCAATGAATTTTCAAAAATATAAATAGTACAAATTATTAATTGCTACTCAAATTGTATTTGAAGAGCAAGGGAAATGGAGAAGAAATGTCGATAAAGACGTAAAATAGTGATTGATAACGGAAATCATCTTGTTGGTCGATTTCAATTAACTATAGCAAGCATCAATTACTAGTTAATGTTCTATTTGGTGTCCTATTTTTAACGGTAGTAAAGGAATACAATAATTTCATTCAATTACGATGCGTTAGTATGGAGACACGAAGAGCGATTGACAAAGGGGCTCGCGTTGATACGTCGATGGTCGAGTTTAATTAACTGTAGTATGCCAAAATTACTACTCATGTTATATTTGGCATTATGTACTTCAATAATAGTAGAGGGAAAAAATTTCTTAACTTAATGTACAATTCATTGTATAGTACTATCGCTGCTACAATTACAACGTGTTAGCATGGACAAGAAATAGCGATTGATCAAGGGGCTCAAGTTGATGGTCAATTTTAATTAACTTTAGTATGTCAAAATATTATTAATGTTATATTTGGTATCATTTACTTTAATAATAGCAAAGGCATGAAATCTCTTAATTTAATGTATAATTGTACAGGACTGTCGATATTGCAATTATAATACGTTAGCATGGATAAGAAACAGTGATTGATGAAGGGGATCATGTTGACACGTTGATAGTCGATTTCAGTTGACTGTAGTATGCAACAATTGCTACTAATTGATATTATTTTATGGTATTGAGGATTATCCTGCAACAGTATTAGAATAAGCATCAAACCTTTTCATTCCATGTACAATTACAGTACTGTATGATCGGAAGCTGCAATTAATTACTACAAGGCGATAACATTAATCAAAATACTCGACCTTGTCGGAATATAGCGATCCATAAACAACAAATAATTATCACGAGTAGTATCAACATCGACGAATGCGCTCGCCTAAGCATGTTTTGTAATGGAAGATTTATCCTGCCAGAATGTGCTGTCTCTAGTGCATGTAAAAATTGATCCCAATGAGATTGTCCACCAATGCAAGCGTTAGTATTTCACCTTGGCTGCCAGTGTACCGGTAGTACCATGTAAGGAGTAGCATTGACCAATGACAAGGCCAACAATTTTTCTCCGTTTAAGAATATTATTATTTTAAATCATTCCAGTCAGAAATAGTTCATTCGACAGCTGAAATTGCTTGTATAATAATCCTTTTAACAAATTAAATTAATGATGTGTAAGCGCTTGAGAACTCTTTGAAAGTTAATCAAACTTGTTATTATTGATGCACTCAATCAAAGATAGACTTGGACACTATGACGTCGATTTAGGCATAAAGAATCAATCATGAATGAATACGTTAATGTGGACCATTAACTGAATTCCAGTTGGATCTTTTGGATAATAAAGTCGTTAGTAAGACAGAGTGATTTATAATTCCGTCATTGGAGCTTTTATTAAGTTGAAAATTGAAAGGATATGAGCGGCCATTCCCCGAGAAGACCAGAAGAACGGACCAGCCGCAAGTAGAAGTTTGCTTCCTTGACGGGACAGGCATACTTTTGATCGAGTAGCCCTGACACCCTGTCCGTCTGAATTTCATCGAATTGGCTTCCACTCAGTTAAAACCTGATACAGTACTGAATAAGTTAGCACTGTAGTGTACAGTATATAGTACTGTACACTACAGTAAGTATGGAGGGGCTGAGCCAGGGCCCGCTGAGGTCCTGCAAAAGACTACGAAAGAGAATCGAGAGTTGTTCCTGATTTTCAATTCGAGATACTTTTCAAAGTATTGAAATACTTTGAACGATGTTTTGCTTGTACCTTGTCAGACTAGTTAACAGCAGTCTGTGTTAATATTAAGAAATTGCAACTCGTCCGTTGTGCTGATACAGTTCGCCAGTTCACTGCCAACGGACCAGCTGCGTGCTCATACTTACAGTAGTCTGAAATCGAATCTTCGATATGACTGCCCACTTCTGCACAACAAGTTCCACCGCGGTTAGAAGTTACAACTGTACATATACTGAGTGTTAGTAAGAGCGAGAGAGAGAGAAAGTACAGTGGAAAAAATCTACCGGTTTTACTTGAGTAGTTCCTGGTAGAGTAATGTCCCGTACTAAACTCGACGATGGACTGATCACTCTTAAGGTGAACAGACACTTTCGGCCTCATCTCATCAAAATATTCGGACAAACACTTGGTTGTGATAGGGACTTAAGTATGCAGATGGTCCATTCTGAATTGACTGATTTTGTTCTAAATTAAGTAATATTACATTGAATCTTACTATCTGTTACTAAAGTTCTACTTAGAAACAGTTCTATAAGATCGTAAATGTTATTTAAATTAGTACTATTGATGTAGAAAACAGATATGGAAGATTCATACTACAGTAATTAGCGATTTTTCGACATTAATGCCATCATTTGGTTAGGAACTCCGTCTGTCTGAGGGAGGTGATCAGTCCAGGTCTCCTTCTAACTGTATGATACACTGCATAAACCTCTCTTCTTTCAATTGACTGATCAACTTTAGTCATTCAGTTTATATATTAAGAGGTGATTACGTAGTTCAGCTACGTAATAGCTTTATATCATCGCAACATCAACTTCATAGCCTTTAGCTTGGGTATTAAGACAAATATGTATATTTCAATCCTTTCCAAAAATTTGGAATCATTATCTTTAGTTGCATATTAAACCAATTTACTTTCCGACTACACCAGGTAGTATTGAGGCTCTTGGATAGTAAACTACTTAGCCCCAATTACAGCATTATTCATTAATCATCTAAATTCTGACTGATATGTATCTATCTGCATTAGCAATAATACTGTATGCTCTGATATTAGTGATTTTTACCGCCCATTACAAATAATATAAATGATACCTTCTGCAGTTGTAATAATTGTAATCGTAATAGAACCTAACCGTTTCTTATCTAAAGTACGATTTCGGACATTGCATTAGCACTACAGGAAACAATGGTTCATCAACAGTCCCACTGTAAATAGCATATCACAAGCTTAAAAATCATTTAACATCTGTCATTAGAGAATTTTTAAATATAATACAAAACATATTTAGTTCATCTACAACTAGAATGAAATACAGTATTTCATCTAAAACGCAGAATCCTCAAGTTGACCGGGCTCCGATGTAACAATATACTAAAGATGTACAAGTTGCTACTAGTAACAAAAGAATCGCAATTTAATAGCAATAAATAGACATCATCAAATAAAAACTAAAATTTTATATCCATAACATAGATATCGCTAAAAAAAGATATACATTGACTTCAGTTGCTTCAAAACCTCTGTTATATGACGCTCTATTTTGGTCTAAATGAGTTATCCTAAATTATAATAGAAAACAGGAAATTAATTCGTCAATTATTTAGTCACAGCTCTCCCAACTATGAACTAAGCTCACCTTCAATGTTTGCTTTTTCCCAGCTAATGACGAGTTCACACCCATGTGCTGGAAGAGTGAAGGTTTATATTGTCTTGTAATACCTTTTTTAGACCTATTACATTGTGCCTAATGATCAGGGACATAAACAAAATCAAAAAATGATACAAATTGAAATAATCAACGGTTCAAATAGTTTAGCTTACTGTAGAGACTCCAACCGAACAAACTTTAGATTCCAAAACATTTTCAATTATCCAGTCACACGGATGATCAACATGGAACATTATGAGGAAATCAATCATATAACCTAATTCTGATGTTTTAAACAGTCTTCCTACAATTGATTAACACAAAATACTTTTTTAATTCAGAAGTATAAAACTAATACCAACATCAATGGATAATTGATAATGCATTTGAAGTATAGATTTTTACCTATAAATCCTAATTCGGAGTAATAAATGACAAACCAATTACCAGATTGACTATCGGCATAAGAGATAATAGACGAAACAAATCCTTTTGCGGCAATTACATCATCTTCTAACTGCAGCAAAATGCGCAATCATAATTATATTTATAAATATCAGTCTTAAGTTTGCATTTGCATGACTATTGCTTGCAAGTATACTGTACTATGGGTACGCTACTATGTGTCCTATTTAGGCAGTACATAATGTAAGGCACCAACTGCAAACCTGTAAATAATATTTTCCTCTCTTCGTTGAATACATCATTATCCAAGCATAATCTAGATTCTGCTTTGTTCGCCACCTTGGAAACAACCATAAAACAACATTAGGCAAAAGCATAATTGAAATTTAAACATACTTTTTGTTCAGATATGGGTGAATTATCTATTGAAAGTCAAATTAGAACTGCTGTTGTCACTTTATGTTGCAATATTAAATGACTAACTTCACTCGGGGAAGTGGATCACCATAGGTTCTAGGCAAGTTCGTCATGTCTGGATAGTAAGCAGGAGAGGGAGATACAATTTCGATAAGTCCTGATTCAAGATCTGCCAAATACCTAAATTGAAATAAAAAATGAACATTCGTAAATAGTGTCTTATCCAGATAAATAGCATCCACGAAGTAGCTAATAAGTATATTAAATATAATTGCAACATATACGTAGCTCAACGTACTTATTAGAAATATCCGCCTTAATTGAAGCTATATATTCCGGATTTTTCTAAAATTAATTGAATGATATTCACAACTGCAGTATTAGTGTTTACTGGCACACACATAAATGGATACTTATCATCCATACAGGAGTTATTTTAAGAAACGAATCTACAATCGTAAAGACGACAATAGTAACCTCAGCAACAAAGATTACAATTAACGTTTTCGATTTTTCATCCGTGTTCATCTGAGTAAGTAGTGATCCCAAAGTTTGCATTAGATAATTCGCATTTGATCTCTTTACTGTCGGGATTCCAATTACTAAAGTCACTACAAAGAATGCAATGAACATAACCGAAGCACATTAAATGTGTTTAAAGTAAATATCTATGTTCCAATAAAATTTTAACTTTAGCCTTATAAAAGATCAATCAAATCCGACACTTGAGTTTACCTCCAGTTCTTCCTTTACTCTCTTTAGCAGCAGGCTTTAAAGCATCTGGATTGTTAGCTAGATGAGGTAAAAATTTATCTATGGATGGTAAAGATAAGTCGGCCGAGATAAGATCCGTCTTCTCTCTATTTTCCATAGTGTTTCCATTACTGACATCAGTGTTCACGGTTTTTACGTCTTCCTTTTTAGACTGAATTTTCTTATTTTCTTCGCTTATAACAGAAATATTCTGTTGTTGTTTCAATATTGTCTCTTTAGCTTCAACTAGGTCTTCTTTCAGATGGACAACTTCCTCTTTATACCCATTAATTAATTTTTTAATGGCTAATTCAGCAGAATTATTTAGTTTGGGCTTATCATTCTTTAAATTCTCCAAGTGTAGCTCAGCAATAGCGTGCTGTTGTTTATCGATCTTTTTATGCGACTGACTAAGTTCTTGTTTCAGGGAATTGATATTTTGCTCATAGCTTGCGACTAATTGCTTTATATTCTTACCACCACTTTTTATACCAGAGCTAGTTAGGTTACTATTCTTGGCAGTTTCCTCGATATAATGAATTTTATCTTTCAGGCGATCGATTTCAATTCGTAATCTGTTTGGCTTAGCTAAATTGAATATTTGCATTTAATAGATGTTCAATAGGAGTTCATTGATACGCATACTCTACCAACATACGAATACCTTATATGTAATATTATCCAAATAAGTATCGTAATTTACATAAACACACAAGTTGTAACACATAAATAATAATGTATCTACGATATTGTATCATTCGCAACACCGTCAGTAAATCACATGCCACTGCATATATATGAAACAGTCCTTAGTATATTCTAGATTGTAAGGATTACAAAATTAATTTAATTATTTGATAATTGGCAATAGTAAAATCAAAAGCAGATAGCGCCGCCATCTAACCTAATACTGAAGCTTAGGCCCAGCCTTTCTGTACATGAGCATAAATTTATAAATCTTTAATCGATTTATGGTTTTTCTCTTAACCCTTAAAGACACGTTTCGTACAGAGTACAACTGCACAAGTACGGCACCGTTCTTTAATTAGGGAATGAATTCTAGCTAGAGTATTACACTATCTGTTCTACAGGGCGTAATAGCTACTGTATAATGGCGATGACATTTTGATACAATCTTTCAACATGATAGTACATTTGGTAAAAACTTAAGCATACGCGCATACAGTACGTAATGATGTAACATCGTCAACTGATTTTGAAGATTACAATTTTTCGTCATTGAGTTCATGTACAATCAATTCTTACCTTGGCTATAAAAATAATAGGTAATGTAAGCGGCGGTGCTTAAAGTCATCAAGATTACAGCTAATCGCAACGATTCCCTTCTTGATAATCCTGGCATTTTGTTTGCAGCCTAGGTTTAAGCTCAACCACAGGTAAAGGGAGAGCTAGTAGAAAAGTTATGAAAATTTAATTAATAAAGAATTAACAAATATACTGTAGCATTTGCCAATGCATACTTGTAGCGATTCCATTTTAATATCAGCAGATACAATCAACTACTGAAAATAAGACCTCAACAACTGAAAAAGGTAGGCGTTCATTTACAAATAATGCTTTATTATGTACTGTATATACGCGTACATAGGTGAATATTCATTTAGTATGTTGCAATGTACTGTAAGCGGACTTGACTGTGATCAAGTGATGCTCTTGATCAGCATGTCATTCGTTATATTAGTACAGGCGCTAAAATACTAGATATGGGTAAATCATAGTAAGTAGCGTCGATACAACAGCTTGCAGTAACTTGCAGTGCCAAACTACTGAAACTGGAAGGAAAATTTTTCGGTTACGGCACATAAATAAACCATATATAATGACGTACGTAAAAAATGGAGAAAAAATTTAGTCAAGATTGTGCTCTCTACTCGAATGCGAATATGCGAACGAATATGCGTATATAACACACCGTTAGTGTCGGACAAGGGTGATATCTGTTCCTATAAAGTTATATGCAGATCTACAGCTGTATTAGCCTCGGTCGTAAGCATTTGCAGTTCCATCATACGATTGACGCTGAAATAATTCTGCAAATGACATTTTAAGGAGAACGTATACTGTGGTGAAATAAAATAAAATGAACAATAGAGGAATCTCAACATCGAGGCTTATTTAATCCACGTGTAACCATGACATTGTGTCAATTCTACGGTATAATATCCTAATTTTATAGTACTGTATCATAATGACATGGAAAATAGAATGATAGCGATTACTAAAGCGCATACTAACTGTTCTAATCCTAGACTAAATTACAACAATTATTCATCGAGGTGAGACAACGACAGCATACGATCCTTTCGTATCGAAGAATGGAACAATCGATAATAATCACCAATATCGCAGATGGTAGTTGTATTTATTACGAGAATAATAGCACAAATCTTGCAACGCGTGAATACTGAATAGTGTCATTTCCTACATTGAAATAGCAGCATAGCAACCTACGAATCAAAAAATTCTTTACAAATGTAGCCTATTTAAATTGGAGCGTCCATCATAATCTTGCCAAGAAAAATACTATTACTGTGGCTTTTATTGGGTGTGTGTTGATATGGGCTACAGTACTCGAAACAACGGAAACAACCAAAAGATGATCACTACAAGAACGACAGTACCGCTAGATTGCAGTATACTCGTAAAATAATTACATACAAGTATAATGATGAATCAGTCAGTGCCTGCATGACGATAATAGCTCAGTCATCAGAAAATGATTCAATCCTATTTCCTTAGCTAGCTACAACAATGTTAAGGATCAGGTATATCTGACAGAAATTCAGCTCAGCAATGAACATCGAATCCCTATTTGTAACTGTAACACCCGTAAAGACGTGTACAACTGCTAAAGATTCGAACTGATGATCTCCATAACTTGATATAAACGTAGAGTGAAAGATTACTACAGTAGTACTTTTGTACAATGAGCGTAGCCCTTTACCATTACTAACCAACTAGATGCTCGATCAAGACTACAATTACTGTATTCATTCATTAATATTATAAACTGCAAATTGGGCGATCATGCGTTATAATGGTCAACAGATCGAGTCAATTAACTTCAACTACCTACGGATATGAAGATATGCGTTCTGTATATCATTTTCTAGGATTTGAGTGCAGTACAACTCGAATAGAATGCTCGAATTGGACGTAAAAAGACACCTGCTACACTTTTAGCCTCTGACAATGGCGAACAGCCAACAATTGACATCATTGATAGTTAATTACGCGTATTTGAACAAGCTTCTAGCGATAAAATTGAAATATGAGTATATATATGCGCGATATTATTCATCAAGCCAAAGGTAGTACAATCATTTTTGAATAAAGTGATCAAAGTGAGATTACCACAGTAGAGAAAGACCATTAGGGTAGCATTCTTAACTGGGTTCGATTGTAATGGGAGAATTGCAGGGCAATATTACAAAAAAATTTAACGTTACTGTTCTGCAAGTGCGAATTATACTGTAGTCCATCATGCATCGTTTCCGTTATATGAACAACTTGATGGAATGTTGGCTAACACTACGATCGACGATTAGACGCGTACCACTGCATATTGCAGTATTCTCGATCAATTACAGTACTTGATCGTTCCTATAGATCGATACAACCACGCTCAATGTAAGAATAACAACATCTGCTAATGGCTTTACCTCTACAGCTGCAACTATTCCTCCTCTCAGATTGTCCACGCTCGCAAATCCCTAGCGATACTGTATGGGAAATTCAAAAGTTTTTTGCTAGCCCCCCCAAACTTGGATGGAATATTTTGCGGCCCCTCCTTTTCTTTCCAGTTTGTGCTGTACTGTACAGTACCACAGACTTCTGACTCAACGTTACAGTGTACAGTACAATGTACTGTGCTGAACAGCACGCTAGATTCTATTGGAGTCAACGTCTATAGTACTGTACTGTACATTGTATTGGTATCCAACCCTTACCCTAACCCTTACAAATTCATGTACGGTACTGTAACATCTGTACTGTAATATTAGGACCATTCAAAGCGTTGACGATTCTAGTTTGAAAACTTGGGTGCAACTGAGCTTTAAAAAAAACTTGGGTGCAACTGAGCTTTAAAAAAAAGGTGCAACTGAGCTTTAAAAAAAGGTGCAACTGAGCTTTAAAAAAAGTTGCAACTGAGCTTTAAAAAAAAGGTGCAACTGAGCCTTAAAAAAAAGGTGCAACTGAGCCTTAAAAAAAGGTGCAACTGAGCTTTAAAAAAAGGTGCAACTGAGCTTTAAAAAAAAGGTGCAACTGAGCCTTAAAAAAAGGTGCAACTGAGCTTTAAAGAAAAGTGCAACTGAGCTTTAAAAAAAGGTGCAACTGAGCTTTAATAAAAAGGTGCAACTGAGCTTTAAAGAAAAGTTGCAACTGAGCTTTAAAGAAAAGTTGCAACTGAGCTTTAAAAAAAGGTGCAACTGAGCTTTAAAAAAAGGTGCAACTGAGCTTTAAAAAAAAGGTGCAACTGAGCCTTAAAAAAAAGGTGCAACTGAGCTTTAAAGAAAAGTTGCAACTGAGCCTTAAAAAAAGGTGCAACTGAGCTTTAAAAAAAGGTGCAACTGAGCTTTAAAAAAAAGGTGCAACTGAGCCTTAAAAAAAGGTGCAACTGAGCCTTAAAAAAAGGTGCAACTGAGCTTTAAAAAAAAGGTGCAACTGAGCTTTAAAAAAAAGGTGCAACTGAGCTTTAAAAAAAGGTGCAACTGAGCTTTAAAAAAAAGGTGCAATTGAGCCTTAAAAAAAAGGTGCAACTGAGCTTTAAAAAAAAGGTGCAACTGAGCTTTAAAGAAAAGTTGCAACTTGCACCTTTTTACCCTTCCTAGCTGCATAGACTACTAGAAGAAGACCATCTACTGTAGTCCGTGCAACGGGTGTGAGAATGGGTAGTAGAACTTCTTTTTTAATATACTGTACGATAGTATTAATTGATTAATTGATTGATTGATGATGATTGATATTGTTAGTGTACAATACAGTGTACTCTTGTGCAAGACGACGGCTGTTCGACATAGAACAGGTTAATAGAACTTCCAATTTAGATTATCAATGAAGATGTGTAGTTTGGTGTTGTATTTGGCCTACGGTTCAACTTGCCTAACTGTTAATCACATTACCTACACTAATGAAGTTACTACCCATAGTTAATTGAATAAATTGAACAGTAAATGTACTCTACGGTAGCAACATGCTATTCAACGACTAGATGGATTAAATAGTTACTACCCATAGTTAATTGGATAAATTGAACAGTAAATGTACTCTACTGTAGCAACATGCTATTCAGCGACTAAGTAGATGGATTAAATAAATTTTACAATGAATGAGCAAATTTACAGTCTGACTAATGGAGGTAACTCGCGTGCTCCAGGTAAAAATGGAAGCACTGTGGTCCATGTCCGATAGAGATAGTACAGTCATAGATCTCTAGATTGCAAATGCTATACATGGTGTACCATGGTACAGTAAACGAGTATGGAGACAAAAAAAAAAAACACGTATCGATGGTATCCTGTTGGTACTGTAATAAATACAATTAGAATTAATAAAACATCTTGCGAACACACTTGACCGTTGCAATATAAATAAGGTCCAAATCGTGCAAATCGCAGCCAAGCGGCTATCGGTCAAGTCCACTAATACTTAATGATTAAGTAGTTGCAGATGCTACCTATCTACTTTATGATTTGTAAATATCTCTTCTATAAGAAACATAAATGAAGTTCTCTACTAAGGACAACGACTGCACTGTACAAACGCCATCGAGAGATTCATATCCAATGTCCAGTTATCAACTCATTGCTGATTGCTATAAACTAAACACATGGTGTAGTCTACAATGCTTTCTCTCTAAAACGATCAAGTACCATCATCAGTCGAATTTAGCAAGCTATCTTTAAAGAACTATACAACATGTATTGGCAACACGACAATACCTGCGTACCTTATTATGCTGAATTATTGTAAAGGTCATGTACTAGTCCTTCTTATAACCCCGTTATGTTACTGACGAATAGCGCCTTTTACAATTATAAACGTCAGTATTAACAATCTCTAACATACGAGTTATAGTAGTCAGTTCTAAATCAATTTGTACATAAATTCAGTCCAAATTACTAAAATATCATCTTTGTTACCTAAAAAGATCTCTACGCATTTAAAAAATTTTTAACCCAAATTTCTTTTTATATACTGTAATTTCTAGTTTTTATTGCACGCTTAATTAAATTAATCAATGCGTAAGTATATTATCAACCCTAATAAACCATAATTGCAAGCTTTTGCTAAGCATATTATTATTAATTATCGTCAACGATTTGGAAATTATCTACGAATCAATATTTGCTAGTAAAATTATTTCATTAATCGATAATACCAGTTAATGATTATTATAAATTAAGCAACAAAAGATATTACACGATATGGTAAGACACCTTACATTTGCTAATTTCATTACTACAGTTATCAATAGTGACTAAGGCCTTAATTAATTAATTTATGTGTTTTTTAGTAATTATAATTCCTAGAACAATTATCATTACTGTAAATAGCTATAAATAAATATTATCACGCCACTGCGGCCGTCTCTTGTAGTCATCGACGTCACTACAATAATGATGAAATTAAATTAAATTATTAACTATTGCATAGGCTGTATTGGCACTATTACTAACTAATCAAGTCAATACTTGGATACAGAAATAGGCGTTTTAGCCCAGGAAAATTATTTGTTATAGAGTAATAAAATCAATACAATATATCAAATTTTATATTAGCGCCAGCAATCCAATTACCCAAAAGCAAATTCGCAGTTCTAACTTCGTATTACATTATTCAGCGTTAAATGTTGATACACCAGCAATTTTAACTCAGTTATACTGTAGATTCTACATACGTACTTAGTAGCCGTTATAATTAACAAAGTGATAGAGCCACGCAATATGGCGAATCAAACTGGAAATTTTACTATAAAACAAACTTACAGTGGGGAAATTTATGTTTACGCTATCATCAGCGCTATTACTTTTCTTACCAATACTATCATGTTCTGCTTTATTGTCTTTGAGCGTAAAATGCATATCAAGTCTAATTGGATTTTGGCTAGTATGTTTTGCACTGGTATTATTTACGCTTTGGCTTATTTATTGCCCCGTTGGGTTATGTTTGTGCCGTGGGATCTACTTGATAGCTACGCTTGCCAAATTTTGCCTTTGTTAGGCTCTGCTTTAATTATAAATTTTAACTTGCATTTGGTATTAGTTAGCTTAGATCGTTACTGCTGTATTTTATTTCCCTTTCAATATAATATGCCTCAAGCTTCAGTCATTACTCGATGGGCAATTTTTGCTGTATGGTTAATCAGCTTCGCCTCGGCTTCCATACCACTGTTCACATTTTTAGTTCCAATACCTGGCATGTGCATCATTCAGCTTAATAGCCGCTCTTTTCATATTTATACCCTCAGTGCTTATATTGCACTTTTTTACGTGCCGATATTTATTTTAGGACTTGCTCACTCTAGAATCCTTTGGATTGTTAGTATTCATACCAAGCGCCGCCATGAAATTTTTGCAGTCAATAACTCTATTCCCGCATCTGTTTTACGGCGCAATCTGCGTGCTATTGCTTACATGGCGATTTTAATTGGACTCTTTTTGATATTTTGGCTACCATCTATGATCTACTATGCTATCCTCTTCCCAACAATACATTTAGGTATAAGCATAAAGCATGTTAGTATAGGAAACATATTGCGCTATATTTCTTTATCTTATCCAGCAATCAATCCAATTCTTCATGCATATTTTACTCCATGTATACGATCGGAGATCTCTAGAAAATTAGCAAGAGCAACTTGCAAAACTGAACACAAACGCAATGTATTTATCTGACTAGAATACTCCGAAAAATAATGTTGTATAGGTAGAACAGCTACCGTACTATTATAAATTAATCTACCATAGTACACTAGTTGTATTAGCTACCAGCGTCGAATATTTATACACCATTATAGTTACATACTAAATTGCAAAACCCCTTGATGCAAATATATGACAAATATCAACTCACTTCACTTCTTAGATTCCTTTGTTCCGAATAATCATCTATTAAAATGGCATTAAACTTAATTTTGCTTCACGATGAAAAGCAATTCCACGTCAATCATTATTCGATTATATTCAAGATATTTAAAGTGGTCAAACTATATGAAGCGAGCATATTTCTTAAAGAATGCATACTATCTTATTATGAGAATATGCTACAAGATCGAATAAGAATTTCTTTAAAATTCTCCGAATCTCAATTGAATCAAAGTCATCATTCCCGATATACTGTACCTATTAAATAGTTTAAAATTCAGGACCTTTTAAGGGCTTGCATTAAAATTTAAGTTAATATTTAATAACTATGGTTAAAAATTCCAAAATAATTCTATCATACCTGGTTTAAACTAATAATAAAATTTTGTTGATTTTAGATAATAAAAATATGGTCCTATCTTTAGATAAAGTCTCGATTAAAATAATTCATTAATCTTACCTAAAGATTAGTAAGTTTCAAGTATTCAGTTAATTATTGATTAGTACTTTATAAGCACGATTCAGTTCATGAATAAAGGTAAATTCGAATCGAAATTGAACCGTGAACAGTCTACTATCCGCCTGTAGAAATGCTTATGCTTATACATTTGTTTTAGAATCTGATCTTGTGGATTTACATTTAAAAAGTTTCCTTCTAATTTAAACTATATCATCATTAGAATTGTTTATAAATCTTAATGCTTGTCGACAATAAAACTATAATATTAAATTATGTATTCAGAATTCTCCGTTCGATGATTATCGCAGTTATTGCAGTTAGGATTACAGATTTCGTATCTTTCTCAGCTCTCAGGGATGCTCTTATTTTTCGTTTGCTATCTATTATTCTTGAGTGTTACATCTATTACTTGATGGCATGCGAAAGATATATCTTCAAGAAGGATAAGATCTTTAGGCAATTAGATTTATTGTCTCATTTTACGGCTAGATAAATTGCGCTATCATCATTTACATGATATCTGATATACGTACAATATCATACATCATTACCGTTGGCAATGAAAAACTATTATAACTAATAGTACATTCTTGCGTATATTTGCTACATTTATAAAAAGAATACCTGTGACTTATTTAGAAAGTAAAATTATACTTTTTTACCATTTATAATGTTTTGGCGTATGTTTCTATACTAACTATACAGTCCTATTCTCGTATACATACTGTACATACTTTAATAAAGCATTAGTATACATTTTAATAATGGCCGTATGCTGCTGAAATAACTTTTATATTGTCAGCTTGAATCTGACTAGTAAAATTCCATTAACTAAGCTCTAGTCATTGTCTATAGAATTTTTTAACCTTGCTATATCAAGCATAACGCTTAACTACATGTAAATTTTTAAGTTTTGAATCTGATTCTTGAAATATTGGATCGGAAATCAAGATTCTTTCTGCGGTTGCTTTATCGAATTGGATTTTCATTATATATCTAAATTGTTGCTAACTGTTCTATTGAGTAAGGCCTGATTCAATTACATTCTACAAGAGAAATATATATCTTTATTCAAATCTTAATCATTTTCGAGCGAATGACAGCTAAGCAATATCATGGGATGAATTTATCCGTTGCATAGAAGGGAAAAAATTAAACTAAATTTCATTGTACAAAACTGGTAATAGTCCATCGGCTCGATAGCGAGATACAGACTCTAGTAGTATACGGTAATCATCATAATAATGTTGATAATGAGCTACAATGAATACTGCATAGTGGTAATTATTGTATTTTACAGTATTCAAGCACGGTTTTTAAAAGTAGTTGTAACTATAAATTAGTTTAGAGAATAAAACAGGGCCCTGGTATGTGATCTTGGAATTATTAGTAAATTTATAAAAATCTTGTTAGTTTAAACTGCAAACAAGGTTATACGTTATTATCTAATTTATTTGCGAACTATTAAATCTTCACGTATCTATCCAATAAATATGACAGTACCTTTTATTTTCTAATTTATTCAATTTTCTTTACATCTCATAGAGTGACAAAAGAACTTACATCTTTCCTAATTTTAATAAGTCACTATGAACTTCATTCTTACAGTAAAGCGATACCAATTCCGATATTCTGAAAATTACTGTACTCGTTTTGTTACTTCTTGTCCTTTCGGATTGGTTATAATTTCCTGAATATACTGAAATACTCGTTAATGAATTTATCTGCAATAGCTTAGGATGGTCTCTGTAATTATACTTGATGTCGATGACGATAAGCGAGAAAAGTAGGACTAGCATAAGAACGCTTTACTATTGCCATTGAAACCAGATAATTCTATATTTGACGTGGGCCTTGAATAAAGTTCTAACCTTTACATCATTCCTTCGAAAATAGAAAATTTGAATTGAAAATTAATAATTCATCCGCTAGCATTTATTAATGTGAGTATGTTATTAGTATTAGCAGTGCATAACTGTTCAAATAAAAGGAGCTTTTTATTTCACAATAATGAAGATAAGAGGATATACTAGAATGTTCTGTGACTTATTGATTGGCAGAGCGAACTCCTTAGTATTAAGAAGGTGATTAGATGCAGTCATGCAGATATCAGATGCTATAGAGTTTCTTTTGATAAAGTAATGATAATGAAGTTTAGTTCCAAAGGTGCAAGCCTTAGCCTTGACTTACCTAAGAATATAATAATGGGAGTCAATAATTATTTACTTCAACCTCTAAATCGTGTTGATGAGCATTGCAAGTAAAATATCGTATCTCATTCTCGGGGAGAAGAGTAACATGAGTAGCGCAAAATTATTACCCCTAGTACATTCAATTGTTGTTTAAAATTCCCTTTTCACTTGTAAGGAGACATGACTTGAACCAAATAGAATCGAAAAGGGAGTAGAAATATCACAGCTACTGTGGGAAATAGTCACATAGTAGAAAGAAATTTCCAACTAGTGAGGCTATACGCCGCGCGTGTACAATAAAAAGGCATTATGCAGTACAATATCGAACGAAAGGAATGTCGAAAATAGTATCGGCAGTGTAATAGATTAGAGTTCGAGGAAGTAATGAGAGCCAGATAAGTTAAAGAGAGTTTGCTATAAAGATGGTTACATATGAGCGAATTTTCAGAGTCTTACACATAAAGTATCATCAAAGTATAATAAAATAAGAGTAATAGAGTGAAGAGAGAGAATGGCGTACTGTAATAATATTAGTTAATATGTAATAGGCAGGACTTAGAAGAGGCATTTTTGGATACTATATACAATTTGGGTTACGGGTATTAATCTGCATAACAAAGTAATAAAAATAAGAATAGACACGGGAGCTCAGATGACGGTAATCGTAGAGGAAACGTTTAAAAACTTAGGCAAGATTAAACTAATTAAATCATCAAGATCTCTATTTGGTCCAAATCGTATCCCCTAAAGTAAAATGGGATTTTCAAACGACAATTGAATTTACTATGGGGCTGCAATTTTGCGCTACGCATGTTATTTTTCTTAGTGAGAATCCCGTTTCTGACGCAATGTATGAATTTTTATTTACGAACATACGTTTATGGCTCGTAGCCTTTACAGAGAAAAAGAATTGAAAATGTGTTCCCTTACACGCGGTCCTTGCCTTAAACATCTGTCTATCGTTACGTACTTACTATCATGTACAATAATAGGTGGTACACTTATCCATGGGCTACTAGAAGAAAGTCTAGATAATCTGCTAGTATTACTGTATATTTCATATTCTTTAAGTTATTAGTATTATTTGGTAAAAACTTAGTAAGAATGACTTAGTAATATATATATTAAGAAAATTGTATTTTCACTACAATTACGACTCTTCGGAGGGATAAAATGATTAATGTAAATATCACAAAAAAATCGATGTCACAATAATTGTACTATTAATTATATTATATAATTACTACATTTAAGAAAAATTAAAGTACTTTCAAAATAAAAACTACATTATATTAAAAACTGACACAATTGATATGATATATCAACCACATGATTTTATTTCCTTTATGAAATTCGATATAAAATAGTGGTATAAGGGAAGCGCATCTATAACCAACTAGCAGCTCATCAGCATCATTACCATGAAATACTGGTATAAGCATTCAATACAGAGCGTACTCAATAACAAGCTTTCTTTAACAGCTACAGTATATTAGTTTTAAGTTAACAAGCGAAATAACAATGACTATTGATTAATTATTAGTGTCGGCTAAAATAAAAAGCTTTTAACGATGACATTCTGTAATACCACCAATCTTATCTTGACCTAAGAATATGAGAAACCTTAGCTTCAATTCTATTCTAAATACGTTAACTAAATTCAATCAATAAATAGAATCCTACATGACTTTCACCCTGAAATATAGTCAAATCTAAATTAAAGAGCAATGATCATCAGGGATAACGTCTGCGATGGCTAATATGGCATCTTAACTTGAATGCACTTCTAATTTACCTAAGTTCGCTATGTCCTAGGCTCCTAGCAGATACTGTATCAGTAACGACTAATAGCCTTTTTTAAAAATCTCCATATAAAAGTATTGAATAAGTGTCGCCGACTACTGACATCATTCTTCAGAGTAGTTGATCAATGTGATCTTAATAAAATATTCATATAAAGCGATTAAATATTAGTCAGCTTTGAAATACAAGTAGCAAACAAGTGCAATTTTCAGATGTGTAACGTTATCAATAGTACAAATAGGAAGAAATTAAAAATTAAAACAGATTAATAATTATTTATATTAGTAATAGCGAAATTATTGCCTTCTACAATACATTATTTTGTTTGAAATTGATTAGCTAATTTACTTAATTTGGCATGTTTGACTCTCGGTGTATGAATGATTGGATTCAATGCAGCATTGGTATAAGTAAATAGGAGAGTAATAGTTTTTATCCAAGCTGGTATTATCGCCATAGAATTGAGTATAACCGAGACAGTAAGAATAATAGTAAAAGGCGTCCAACAAATTATCATAGAGATAATGTTGCCTCTTAAAACTTTAACATTAACTAAGATATGCTTTTTGGAGCGAATTGATGCTAATCTATCCAACAGAATTCTTGATCGCCGAAATGCTCTTGCTCTGTAACGATATCGGGGCGTTGGTGCCTTATTTCTATTTGAAGAAGGAGATTCATTTTCGGTACAAAGTTGGCCATTATTTCGATGGTTTTTGCCTTCGAAATTATCTATAGCTGTCGATATCATGGAAGTACCTGTAACGCATCGTGCACGTGAAACTGGAGCCATATCTTTCAAGTCTGTTAACGCAATAGTGGTAGATGCTACCGAAACCGGCGTTTTATTATCATCTCGACCTTTAGCAATTGAAGTATTATCGTGATGATATTCAGGCTCAGTTTGAGTATCGGTTTTACTCCTTTCGATATTATTGTCGTCAGGGAATACATTGCTTTCTGGTAGTACCATTTGATTATTTGATGATTTCTTAATTTGATCTACAACTTCATCTGAAGCACTAGTGTCTACTTTCAAACGGGTACTTCCTCGACGGAGGCGACGACGATGAAATGGAGCGGTTACGGACGAAAATATAGACCAAAAATTAGGACTGTCATGATTTTGGGGGGACTTGGATGATTTCGAAATTTGATGAGATGGTATTACATTATCATCACATACATAATATGGTTGATCGCTATGTGAGGATCTTAATTCAAGGTGATCCGAAGTGGAATAACTACCTTTCTGCTTCATCATTTTTCGCAATTGTTGCCTGGCTGTAATAACGTTAGCTTTTATCTTAAGATAACATATTATTAAGATGATCAAGGGTATTAAGTAAGCTGCTGAATTAATAACAAGCAGTATAACTAGACTGATGGATTGATTACTGGACCACTCATAAAAACAGTTATTACCATTACTAGAATCGTTTGTTAATCGAATCAGGGGCAAGCTGGCAACCAAAAAAGCAAGCATCCAAATCGTAATTACTGAATAGCAACCATTGCGTTTAGTAAATATGCTTGCATACTTCATGGCACGAAGAGAAGCGTAATAACGGTCGAAAGCTACAGCCGCTAGACTCATGTTAGCAGCAATAGTTAAGACCATGTTAATGGCACCAATTATTTCGCACCCTGCATGACCAAATGAATGATTAGGTTGCAAAATAGTGTAGAGATTTAAAGGCATAATAGTGCCAGCCTTTATTAAGTTAGCGCTAGCTAAATTGCTAACGTGTAATTTAGATACGATGCTTAACGAATGACATTTTCGGAGCGTAGCAAGCATAAAAAGATTACCCAAGAAAGCAATAATTAGAATGATAGATAGCAAGATAGAAAAGACAATATGAGTAGCCAAGTTGGTATCAGGATAAGATAAATTTTGATTCCCAGTACTGTTAATGTCATCATTCGGGTTATAAGTAGTTCTTTCCATTTATTTTAATTATTCTGTTATTTTACTTTCTGCTATCGGAAGATTATCTTTCGAAATTCAATTGTATTAATACAGGGAATCTAAATTCTTGATAGCAAAGATAATGATATCGCTATTTGATGATGCTACTTTAGCTGACGATCTTTTTACCTCGCTCATTCCAATGTTGTCGATCCTGCAACTATCCAAAAATATATAATTTACAATTAATACTGAGTGATATTGACGTGATGATCTTTATTTATTTAATTAGCGTATAGAATTCTAACTACTCTAGGTTCTTGGTTATGTTTGATTAAGATAACTCAATTTAATGTTTTAAGACAGAATATGCCGTATTCGATTAAAGTTCTAAATAGGCTGCTGTATCATAGGCTATAAAATTTCTATTTTCAAATGGCTATGTCAGCTCTTTTTGGCAGTACTAAAATGCCGTGACGTTTCAGGAAAAATATTACAGTTATAGAACGGGAATCTTTTGTAAAGTTAAAAGAAATATTTTTCATTAAGTGCCAGGTATGACTAGCTCAATTGAAGCATTATACGTATAGCAACCGGCTACTTGAAAATATTCAACAGCAGGCTCTACATTTAATGCGATAATGTGAAATAATGTTGCTAAATATGTGTATCAAAGTAGCATTTACTGCTTAACTTGGGTGTATTGCTACTACTTCTTGAACCTTTCCGTCGTTTTATCTATTAAGTTAAATTGCGAAAACAAATAATTAATGCATACGTGCGTTAACTTATGAATTAAGGATTTCTTATGTTTTATCAAACAAGAGCGGATTAGCTATTGCGAAGAATTTATTATCAAAATTTTTCATAAATTTGATTTTTAAAATTAGCCAAGCGATGCTCAGAGAACGGATAGATGTGTTAATAACAATCATGCCTCGTGCAATACTCCATTCAAATCATTACAGAAATATAACTACGGGTATGCTCTTGTCGTAGTTCTTTTCTCGACAATAGTAAATCTGTAAGCTCTGCTGTAGTTTCAGAGAAAACATATGCGCTGTAGACAGTAGCATTATAAACTATAAGATTTCATATCTGAATATCACTTTTAAACATTCTAAATTTCTGATTAAATTTGATCGCTGTTAGACTATCAACTTATTAATAAGAGTATTTTACATCAATCACGTTACCGATAGAATGTTCACATGAATACAACAGTTGTAAGATTCTCTTGACATGCATTGACAAGAAAGATGTTATGGAAAAGCATTGTAATATTTTTGTGTGATGAGAAATATACGAAGAAATCGATGTTTACGAAATGGATTAAAACCATTATACTAACTGATGAAGAAAGAGTACGAACGACATTTACTATATGTTGAAAGAAAAGTACTAATTTAGAAAATAAAGGTTAGATATTATCATCTATTAACCTTTGATACAATTTTACATTCATTCGAGATGTGAGTACATATTAAGAATCAATTCAATATTCAGTGACAAAAGATTCTTTAAAAATGCCATAACTGACATTACTTATAATGATTGTATCTACCACGGTGCTACGAAGGTTACCAAATAGTCTAATATGAATCTCTTGAATAACATTGAAAGTGATATTTCATTTAATTTTTATCTATAATTATAATGAATCAATTATTAAAATAATAAATGGAATGTATTTATATTATAGTAAAATTGGAAATATCATTCAAAGTAAAATGGGTTGTAAGAATACGTTTAACTGCAGGCAGGCTAACACGAGTTAGAAAATAGTACAGCGATATAAAATCTCTTAATGCGTTAGCATTGAATGATTTGGTGAATGATTTATATGATATCGCGCCAGCGCTTAGGAAAGAAATCAGATGAACAGTTATTGTAAACTTTCTGTTAAAGAAATCAACTATAATTGTAATGTAAGAGTACATGATATTTAAATCTGATATAAGTAGCACTGATAGAGCACCACTGCCCGAAGGCTCGTAGATTACAATAAAGTCAGATATTTGTTTTAAAATTGTTGCGAATGGGTGATTATTAACGACTCTGTTAGTAATAGTTCACTCAAAAATGTATCCTGTAAGAGATTGCTTGTATTTACGATAAAATGACTCCTATAGCTATTTATGAGCATATAATAAAATAGTTTCATTTCTTAGTTACTATAGTAAAGTGGCAAATTATCAATGTTACGGACAAGATGCTCATTCAATCCCTTTATTTGCTGTCTATAATGCTAACGTTAAATATTCCAGAGCAATGTTGAAAGCGAAATGCAAAAAGATAACACCTAACCACGAGTTAGCAATATTGCAATATTCCATGGGTTTTTAGGCTTTAAGAATTGAGTTGTAATTATTCTTGGAGACTATGAATTACATTTCCGCATTTTCATTAGCCTATTATTCTGCTTGTGTAGTTTTCAAAATTGAACTTAAAATTAAAATAAGAAAAGTACTTCAAAGGCTGTAGACCATATACAAAAATACGGGTGATGTACATTATCTTTCATTCTCCAGGATTCGTAGTTGCTGTTAAATGTAATAACTGGAGCGAAATTATATGGAAGACTTTGTCAATGGGAAATAGCTATATCTTATAGACAAAGAGGTTATACTGTACTACGTACTAGTATAAAATTAAAATTGACGGTGAAGCAACCATTGCTATAGAAGATCAGAGGTTATGGAGAGGTGTTTTAAGAGCTGATAAAAATTGAGGAATAATAAATATTCGATAAAATCACTTACGAGTTAAATTTGTTTCACGGACTAGATATTATAAAGATATGTTTAAGAAATTTCGAATACTTAAGGAAGTTGATTTCAAAATACTATAAACAACACTTCTTAAAAATTAGATATTATCCTGGATGAACAGAAGCAAAATCGATATACGTACACGCGTGTAAAATCTGAATACTTTTCGATAGTTTCTTATTTCATCAATATCGTAAATTTTATAGATACATTAATATAAACTGTAGTTTCTTCTATCATTAATATCAGGATCGTCTAAAATGATGATGCATTAATTAAAGAAAGGTCAAATTGAAATAATCAGAATTTCAGAATTACGATTTTGTTGGTACTTTGGGTATTTATCATACAAACGACTTCATTCTTTGTAATCTATTGATACAATTATAATTATTATCAGTATCTGGTCGCCGGTGCTAAATAAATACGGTTTATACTATATCAACGGAAGATAGTCAGAATAAATTTGTTGAACACGTACGACCGAATGATTATATTAACGGGTAATTCCAAAGTGCAGTCATAGTCGAAGTTCGTTTTAGTAAAGATTTGTAATATTCTAAGTATAATGCCTTAAGTTGATTTAAGATAACTTCATGTGCAATTCTATGCAAGACCTAGCAAATGGTAGAAGATAGCAAATTCTATTTTATGTGGTCGAAGTAAATTATAGCTTTACTTCATTTATCAGGAAGGACTGAAATACGATTAAATTTAAGTGTGCAAAAGTGATCCGATAGTCATAGCTTACATTTTAATTGGATAATAGCAGATAATAATCGTAACTATGTAAAATATTATGCTGTATAATTGCTTATATTAGACAGTTTAAAAGCTAGAATTATCTAGAAATATTTACCTAATAATAGCTTGATAGAAGCTCAGCCATTAGACTATGACAGAAAAATTTGCCTCTTATAAAAATTCAGTCTCCAGGTCAATAGTTCAATTATTTCAATCTAAGCGCGAACGAAGAATTAAAGCAAAGAACTTAATTGAGTGTAGGTTGAAACTTTTCAGTGTTAATTTAATAATTTCCAAATCATTAGTATTCAAAATTTAAATTGCTGAAAATGATCTGAAAATAAATTGAATTACCACTGTTTTAAGCCTATAAATGATCAATTTTTCTGTCTGTAATATTGCTTATCAAGTTTTTGATAATATCCTGATCTTGAATTTAGTCCGTTTATATACTTTATAATATTGATTCTTATGTAAAAGAACACTGCTATTATTATTTTTCTTATTGTGTCTGTATTTAGGTTGAATGCAACTGGGGTGGAATATATGTGTATTGTACGATGTAACTGTGGTGGCTTTGTCTCTTTTAGAGTATACTTATAGGAAATATTGTATATTCACATAGGCAAATATGTAAATATGCGAAAGGAGGAAAGAATGAAAGGGTTCTATAAAGTATAATGGATTGACATTGGCTATTTCGATTATATTTTTAAAAATACGGCACTATAATTTTTCTATTACGATTAATAGATAAATGACAATTATTCATAATTTTAACCAGTCGTAGAATAACCAGGGGAAATGAATACTAAAAAAATTAGGAAAATATAAAGAAAAATGTAATAGACGATATTAATAGTAACTTAAACGTCTTAAAAATTTTTTGACCTAATCAAACAGATATCTTACTTGCTACCATTTTCTTCACTTTTAGACGTATTAATTATTTTCAATTATTATCGATGGCATTAAGACAATATTCTATCACGAACTTATTGAATAGTCATTAGAAAACGTTTGTTGCGATCTTTACCTTGGTTTTATTGATTGTTTATTATCATTGATCTAAGAAGACTGTATGGCAATATAATACTGTATAATTAGAGAAAATAATTTTTTATAGTTCATAAATATTTAAGGCGACCTTTTTCTTAACTACAGTACCCTATTTTAAATAAAGTCAGTGACTACAGTATATGCAGCCAAAGATTGGTACAAAAATAGGAAATATTATCAATAGTAATAGGGATAACAATAACAAATCGTAAGACAATATCACACTTTATCGAGGCATTATTAGTATTAACTGGTATGATTTTACTGTATCACTGTATTGCTATTATTATTCTTCACAGATGTTCTCTAACTTAATCGTTCGCTAATAGCTATCATATGATATGTCATGTTATCGTCAACGATTACTATCTAGTTTAAGAATATCATTCTGTTGCTTACCACAACTCGAGCTACGATGCGATTGACTTGAATGTCAACGTAAATTGCGTAGCTATAGTACTTACAAGTACTCTTACGCTAATTTTTAAAATCTACATATCGATATTATGGATAGCTCGCTAGGCAAATTATTTCTGTTAGAATGGGCAGTGTATTTGGTAGGATACGCTACTGAGTTTATACGGTAGTTAAGTCGTAGCATCTAAATAGTAGCGTATCTGTTTTGCTATCGTTGTATTTACAGTACATGATAATAATCTAATTGGAATATTCTCCTTCGTGGTTACTGTTTATTGTTCATTTGCTGGACTGGAGTAGATTGGGACTTTTTTCGTTTCGTTCATTAATTCAATAATATTGGGATCCGTTGCAATAGTATCCATAGTTACAATATCACAAGATCATAATATGGTACACTAACAAAATCAATATTGATCATGCAGCAGCAGTTTCGGTCAAAGATAGATCAATTATTTTGATCTAGCTTGCTTTAAAAGTTATCTTTTTACAAAGCAGTTCTCATGGCCAATAAAAGGGAAATTATTATACTCTATATCATTTTTACATAGTTTTGGAGATATTTAATAAAGTAGGGGTTGGATTCTTACTATTACTGATGTAAACTTTCATTGACGACAGAGGTCTGTAAAGCCTGATGAGCCTAGTGGCATCCCGTGGCGTCTTTCAAAGAATAATATCAAATCATGCTTTATGCATTAAAGTGATATTAAATGCGATCGCCTAAACAATTTTAGGTCCAGTTATTGCGTTTGATAGTACAGTTTAAGATCCTAGGCTGTGGAGGTTCGTATGCCACATAAAAGAATCTGTATCAAGTTAGTCAATTTTTTAAGAAGGGAGAACTTGGTATGCCAAGAACAAAGCACAGGTTTAGTAGCATAATTATTCTGCATTACGCGTATTATTTCATGGGTTCATATTATTATATGATGGGGCATATAAACAGTGAAAATCTTTGTTAAACCTACTCATAATTTAGAGAGACACATATGGGTTGCTAGCATATTTTATGGTGAGCTAAAACAGCGCAGTTTTTGCATCACATTGACGGTTTGATTCCAAATTGTCAAGGCATACTAGAAATGACTACGTACCCGACCTCTAGGTATTGTAAGCTATGATAGTGCTGTAGTTGGGATTACTCCAGTACACTGTATTTTGATCACATGCGTTAACACAAACATGAAAGATAGTTACTGAATACAATATGGATGTACACTATTACTCTATTTACGTTACCATTTTTCAGATTTTCAACTGGTAGTTGAGTATGCGGTTACAGCACTACCTGATTCAAAGATATGAATAGTTAAATAATTCTTCTTCAGTTGTAAATGCTCAAGGAGTCTTTGAATATCGGTAGAGAACAAATGATAGTACTACTACCGTACAGAAAGTACGTGGGCTATCTTTAACAGAATGGTCTGCCGGCTGGTTAAAGATATGAATGGTCGAATAATTCTTCTTCAGTTGTAAATGCTCAAGGGGTCTTTGAATATCGGTAGAGAACAAATGATAGTACTACTACCGTACAGAAAGTATGTGCGCTATCTTTAACAGAATGGTCTACCGGCTGGTTAAAGATATGAATGGTCGAATAATTCTTCTTCAGTTGTAAATGCTCAAGGGGTCTTTGAATATCGGTAGAGAACAAATGATAGTACTACTACCGTACAGAAAGTATGTGCGCTATCTTTAACAGAATGGTCTACCGGCTGGTTAAAGATATGAATGGTCGAATAATTCTTCTTCAGTTGTAAATGCTCAAGGGGTCTTTGAATATCGGTAGAGAACGAATGATGGTACTTACGCTGTTACCGCGTTTATTCAAAAATCCGTCATTTTACAAAATATCTTTAACAGAATGATCTACCAGCTGGTTAATACAGTATTACATTTGCCTTTAGTCCAGTTGTATAGCCCGTAACAATAATTTCAACTGCTGAGCCATAAACGGCTACTTCTACTTTCATTTTCAGGTCTTTCTTGACTAGATTAACCCTTCAATTCATATTCATGCAGAATCATGCAGACTAAGACTGGTGTTGGAAGTCCCTGCTATTATTAATTATTAGTGCTATAGCACTGTAATGCATAATATACTGAACAGTATAGTAGTATTGAATATCAACTTGGACACGACCATTGGCTTAGGCGCAACAATGGTGCAATATGATCTTGTTGTCTTAAGCTCATTTCCACTGTACAAGACTGCGCTAGATAAAGATCGATCCGTATCCAGTGGACTACTGTGGTTACGCTGACGTTCCAGTGTACAGTACCGTCAATCCATAGTAGTGTAAGTTGCAGGGAAACTTTGCAACTTTTCAATCGCTTCGATATAAATATGGTAATCCAAAAGTATCTTGTGCATAAGATTGATACTTTCCAACGATAGAAGAAGTGTTCTACTACAGCATTTTTCTGTCAAAATGATCGTCAAGAATTTAGATTGGACGCGAACAACTACGAATATTCTTCCTGTACAGTACTGTATACTGTACACTGTACACTGTACAGGATATTTTTATGTCCGATTTTGATACCGCTTTGGTCAGTGGCCATGTGTACAGTACAGTACTGTACGTACTGTACTGTACACATGACCTCCGTGGGGTACAGTACTGTTCATGTCTAAAAATATCCATTACATAACACCCAGGTGATCTGTCTTACCACCACTACAGAGGATGAGTCATAGTTAAACCGAGCCGAACCGCACCGTACCAATCCATCGCAGCCCTATGCATCTTATTCATGTACAAACTCAGGGGGTGACAATTGGGTTTGTAAAGGGTGTACAGTAGAGTACTGTACCTGTAGTAATAAGCTTCTACACTACATTAAAATGTAACTCAAATGCTATGGAATGTAACGACTCTTAACTCTTAATCAGTATTTGCTTATTAAGATCACTGGTCGACGCTTTTCAAAGTGACAAAATACTTTGATAAACACCCGTACAGTACACGGTGTTCCGTACTGTAGCCTACCGTACTGTACTGGACTGTACACTGTACTAGTTTTTCCTCGGGTTTTACAGTACTGTATACTGTACTGTACGATACAGTACCGAACTATACACTGCTACTCACTGTAGACTCAGTTCATTTAGAGAACAAATTTACCGAAAGGAATCATTATTATTGACTCTATTCTATACTTAGGGTCACCAGGGTGAAATTTGATTTTGATTCCCAAGTCAACTGCATCTTCCAAGATCCTTTTTAAGGTCACTGGTTGATGCTTTTCAAAGTGACAAAATACATACTGTACTGTACAGTACTTTGATACACACTGTACTGTACACGGTGTTCCGTACTGTAGCCTACCGTACTGTACTGTAGTTTTCCCCGTTTTCTACAGTACAATGTACAGCATACTGTACACTGTACACTATCTAAAGAGAAAATCAACATTGCTGCTACAGTGTACAGTGCACGGCGTACAGTACTGTACTGTACACTGCTACTCACTGTAGACTCAGTTCATTTAGAGAACAAATTTACCGAAAGGAATCATTATTATTGACTCTATTCTATACTTAGGGTCACCAGGGTGAAATTTGATTTTGATTCCCAAGTCAACTGCATCTTCCAAGATCCATTTTAAGGTCACTGGTTGATGCTTTTCAAAGTGACAAAATACATACTGTACTGTACACTGTACTGTAGTTTTCCTCGTTTTCTACAGTACAATGTACAGCGTACTGTACACTGTACACTATCTGAAGAGAAAATCATCATTGCTGCTACAGTGTACAGTACAGTGCGCGACGTACAATACCGAACTGTACACTGCTACTCACTGTAGACTCAGTTCATTTAGAGAACAAATTTACCGAAAGGAATCATTATTATTATTGACTCTATTCTATACTTAGGGTCACCAGGGTGAAATTTGATTTTTGATTCCCAAATCAACTGCATCTTCCAACATCCTTTCAATATTGGACAGTAATAACTTTCAACAAATCGACCCATTTGCAGCTGTTACCTTGTCAGTCTACTACGTTCGTTGATAGGGTGAGGATGGACGTTTTGGATAGCACTTTTGCTTCTACAATGGATTACACCAAAGGTAAGACTTTCCTGGACATGATCAATGTTCGTCTTTTACTAACATACAGTCCAGTACAGTACCCGTGTACTCTACAATAGACAGTAAACCAACTGTCCAAGCTTACGGTCGAAATGTGTCGACTTCATCAGATCAAGCGTTAACGCTTATACTGATCCAATTACGCAATGGATCCATTGGATGGTGAAGTTTAGCAATTACGCAATGCATCCATTGGATAGTGAAGTTTAGGATATATACAATCGCTCTAATCGACAACTGGATTAACTACACTTATTTGCCCATCAAATGGCATTAAAATCCATAGTCAAGCAAGTCCAAACTTGAAACTGCTTTTGAAGTATTTCTGCGCGCATGCTTTTCCACCCTTAAGTACAGTAAATAGTAATACAGAACTGTCTACCAAGCAGAGTTCATCTTTCCATGTGCATCAATAATTGTATATAGAAGTTAAACAAGTCCAAACTACTTGACAGTTTGTTGTATCAAACAGTGTTATAATAGACGCACATTGAATTCACCCTTACTATAAGTGCGGCTCTTATTTTGACCAAGATAACAAGGTTGAATTGGGTTGCGCGCATCTTTGCATAATTACACGATCAAGCTGGTCAGAAATGAGACGCATAAAGGCTTCTTCCTTCCGTATAATTACATAACTTGCAGCTACAGTAGTTCAATACGCCGATGATATCATTCTGGCTGCATCGATGTGCGTAGAATATTGATATATCCTAGTGGCTACCTAGCCTGCGTATTGAAAAATGTATCCACCAGAAATTCAGGAGCTTAGATTTGACATGTTCTGAACAGTGGCTGACACAGAAAGTGATTTACAATGATAACAAGGATGAACTGATGATTGTAGGTACAAACCAGCGATTGCATAATTACAGCCCTGCCAGACTTGGATAGAAAATCTCCTACACAGTGTGTAGGTGATCGTGTACCACCTACTGATACACCCTTTTAAATGAAATGATTAGCGTATGTACTAGCCTTCACAGTCGAGTGTATTCGGTCTCTTATAATTGCTTTATATCTATCGATACAGTGCTATACTGAAATTACCTTTAGCGTAATGATGTACAAATAAAATACGACACCTATCTTTTTTTATCTTGATGATCCATTTAGCTCAATAACGATCTAGAAAGGCGTCGCCTTGCTCAGTAACATGTGGTTAGGACTTTGCAAACTGTGTAGTAAACGCATCTTCTATACGCATATGTATATTTCAAAGATGTACGCTAGAAGTGTCCCGGGAGTAGTTATGGAAGACCAAATATGTAAAATCATGCAGACTGAGAAATTGTATTTGTACTCGTATAACTTCTATGCAGATTAGACCAGTTTTACACTCGACACTTCCTGATTGGTTAGGTACGCTTAAATTGTGATACGTGGGCTTCGATATCTTGAGTATCTAATTTTTGAAATTATTCTCGGTTGAATAAACTTGTTGAAAATGGAACTAAATATTAAGCTAGATAAATCGTAATAATGCTACAGTATATACTTATAAGTGGCCCTTCTAGTCCCAACTATCACTCTGGAGATCTGCTAGCAATTTTATTATCAACGTTCTCTCTTATTTTACACCATAGAGTAACAGGGTAAATGGATTTTTAGTGGTGTATTATATCCGTCTTATCTATAGCAAGCGAGTCATCGTTGCTGCAGATTAGTATAACTTTTTAGCGTGTTCCATAGACGATGTACTCTGAGTATACGTAAGCGTACAGTAAACATCCCGCAATCAAGTAACTACCTACAGTATACTGTACAAGCATAAATACAGTATTAGTATGCATTATTATCACTTTGAGGTATTTTTGGTTTCCCCTTGACATTCTTGGAATGGACAAAACTTTGGCAGTAATATTAGTTTGATGTTGAAACTGAAAGTTGCTTTAATCTGCATCAGGGTATATTCGATGCAAATTTACAATTAACAACAAGATCAATTCAATCATCAATAGCGTAAGAAAAAATGATAGTTCTATTGAAGTTCGAGGCCTTAATTTCGGTTGAATTGGCAGGCAATTACCATCTGTAATGCTCTGATAAATGACTTGTGTATAGTATACTATAGAAGTACACATAATCGGTATGATTGAATTAAGCTATAAACTGCTATGGTGTTATATCGAATTTTGTACAAGCTTTTGGTATTGTTGTAAACACTATACAGCAATATCATTGTAATAGCATCCAATTAGATAGCTAACCAATTATTCACATGGAGTTATTTTCCTCTTTCATAAGGACCTAACGATGTAAAGAATTCGAACAATCTTGTTATTGGTGTGCTGTTAGCAATATCATCTAGTATTCTAATTGGAAGTAGTTTTATAATAAAGAAGAAAGGTTTATTAAGAGTATCAAGAGGCGGTGATTCTTCGAGCAGAGCAGGTAGGCTCATTTATTCACGTTGATGTTAGTATTTGTTTATTTAGGGAGATAATAAATATTCTATAATATGGTATTTTTAGGGAGCGGTGGTTATGGCTATTTGAAAGATTGGGTATGGTGGGCTGGTTTCATTACAAGTATGTACTTTAGCTAATGTATATCATAAACGTAAGGATACAAAAAATATATATATCTTCTATATTATCTTACAGTGGGCACTGGAGAATTAGCGAACTTTATCGCTTATGCCTTTGCTCCAGCAAGCTTAGTAACTCCTCTTGGCGCTTTGAGCGTACTATTTGCGTAAGTATCATTAAAACGGGCATATATCATACGTTTTGCATTGATCTAATTTTTTACTGTATACAATTTTTTAGGGCTATTTTAGCATCATATCTGTTAAACGAAAATCTAAATATTTGTGGTAAAATTGGCTGCTTTGTTGCTATTCTTGGATCGACTATGATTGTTATTCACGCTCCTGCTGAAGCTGAAGTCGATTCATTTGAGGTTTTAACGAAAATGCTGGCGAGTCCAGGTATGTTAATTATGCTTTGATTCAAATTTCATGTCCATTAAATAGTACTATATTTTGTCGACAGGATTTATCGTATACGTCTGCATTGTTGTGCTAATGTTTGGAATCTTGGTCTTCATACTGGCTCCTCGATACGGACGAAAAAATATGATAATTTATATTACAACTTGTTCTGTTGTTGGATCTCTAACGGTGATGGCATGCAAGGGCGTCGGCATTGGAATCAAACAGACCATTGGTGGTCAAAGCCAATTAGGAAATTGGGTGTTTTGGCTTCTTGCGCTATCAGTGGTATTTTGTATTGTGATCCAAATGAATTACTTAAACAAAGCATTGGACATCTTCAATACCGCTGTAGTTACTCCTGTGTACTATGTTCTATTTACTACTTGTACTATCGTTGCATCAGCTATTTTGTTTAAGGAATGGGCAAGTTTAGGGGCTAAAGATGCAGTCGGTTCTGTTTGTGGTTTCTTAACTATCATTGTTGGTGTGTTTCTACTCCATGCTTTTAAGGATCTTAAACTCTCTTACAAACATTTACCTAGTGCTATAAAAAAGGACGATCGTAGACTTCCGAACGGTGAAGGTGAAAAAATGATTGACGACTGGGATGGTAATTTAATATCTAATTCTAATAGTGGTGATGGCGATGCGGAATTTTAATGTTTAATAATGGTATGGTAAAGGCTAATGATCGTAAAATGTTGTATATAACCGCTGCCTGAGACCTGTAAAGAGATTAATGGTATAATACAACATTCCCGTTATTTTATCATATTGCATTTATGTTGTCGTGATTTTAGTACTGATCAAAGATCACCAAATTAATTAGGTTTATTATCAATATATTACCGCTTAGGTCTTGGCGTTATTGTCGTGACACTAATTCTTATTTCATTACTGGCGATTTCTATATTATTCCATGTTCTGTTACTGTATTACAATCTAGGAGTTAGTGGTACACTTTTCTTCATCTGTTCTGCTTTGTATTACTGCATTATGTTGGTTCCTTATATATATATATATGATTTTCGTCCTGATAACAAAGTGTAGTCTTGTCAGGTACGCTAGAGTCATCTACAAGATTTTCTTTTTATTTCATCATACATACATACCAGATACTTCTCATATATACCGTAACTATTGCGTTTAATTAACTTAAAATCTGATTACTATAAATGTTGTACCATTTCCGTTGTATGAAAATCCTTTCGTAATTTTATTTTATTTCCAAGACGTAGGGGTATTGTAGATTCTTATCGATAGTAATATACAATTTTTATTTGCGATTTGAAGAAAGAATTGTATTGTTTTATAATGTCTAGATCTATCTGTCCTTAGAACATTTTCAGCATATTAAGTTTTATTTATAAATCTTTAGCGTTCACTTAAGATGAGATTGAGTCATTTTTTGCAATTGGGCTACAGAATATCTGTGCTGCTTGTCCAATAGTAACGTCATATATGGATTAAGATGTTGCTATTACCTTATCGGAATAATAAATACAGTCCGCGTGTCCGCTTAGAAAGAAAATTGCAAAGTATGATGCAATTTGTACTATAGAGTATGTCGATGGGTGAAATGATTGCATGATTGATTTATATTAGAAGATAGCTACCTTGGATTTGTAAAATATTCTGGATATTTACACGTATATGAGAAGATTGATTTAAGTAAAGTAGACTGCTAATTACGTGTATTATGGAGATCAAATTGATTCTCAGATAGGCTGCTGTTTAGTGATCGTTTGGTATGATGCTTCAGAACTGCGTAAAATACGGTAGTGGATTACAGTACCACCTCCATTTACTGTACTGGACGCATATTTGATGACTAATATAAATCTTAAAATGCGTTTTAGTAGTTTGTGTGAATTAATTAATTTTAAAGAGTTGGGTTTGAGCTGCCGTAAAGTAAATAAATGACTAATTACCGCTGTTGACTATCAATTTATCATCAACGGAGTTGATTGCTTTTATACTTTGCAGTGGATGACAATACCCTAACGTTTGGATTAGTTTGGATCGATTGAAACTTTTATCTTTTAACATGGTTATCCACCGTACAATACAGACACGCTGATCTTTCGTTTTTATCCAGGCGTGGCATTTATTTTACGTCAGGTTGGATGACTATCAAGTTTAATGGATTACTGTGTGTAGTTGATTAATTGGAAATTGTAATCCGTCAATCGATCACTTCTGAACCAGGCTTTGCCTCTGCAGATTCTATACAGTATATATATTATTAACGTCTTACATTACTGGATTTGCGGCAGCAGCAGGTTAATCACGCTAGACAAGTTTTACGTTGAATACATAACAGACTTGGCGTACGAAGCGTGGATGAAAAATAATAAAAACGACAGAATTTGATTTTGTTTCACCGTCGTTATATGCTTGATGTCGATGCTGAAGGAACTAACTTGGTCATGGATTGCTAATACAGTATAAGCGTATCAAATATACTTGCAGTAGAAATTGTGGAACAGTAGACATAGGCACTGACATTAGTGCAATGTAAAGGAAGAGATTGTTCGAGTTTATATACTTGATGTCGATGCTGAAGGAACTAACTTGGTCATGGATTGCTAATACAGTATAAGCGTATCAAATATACTTGCAGTAGAAATTGTAGAACAGAAGACATAGGCACTGACATTAGTGCAATGTAAAGGAAGAGATTGTTCGAGTTTATATACTTGATGTCGATGCTGAAGGAACTAACTTGGTCATGGATTGCTAATACAGTATAAGCGTATTAAATAGACGTATAGTAGAAATTGTAGAACAGTAGACATAGGCACTGACATTAGTGCAATGTAAAGGAAGAGATTGTGCGAGTTTTAGGGGCGGCGTGAATGTGTGCTGTAAACAATGCAGTAGCGAAACAACAACTGACTACCGTCTCCTTTTCCACTGTACCATACTGCTGCAAGTTAGACCTGAGAAAGGTTTGGTTCAATCAATAACTTTTAGATTACCGACAACAGCGAAACAACAAGAGACTACTGGCTCCTTTTCTGCTACCATACTGCTGTAAGTCCATAGCACAGATTACTGACAACAGCGAAACAACAACTGGCTCCTTTTCCATTGTACAATACTGCTGTTAATTTATAGCGTAGATTACCGGCAACATCGGAACAACAGCTGACTCATGTGTACAATATTGCTGTAGTAAGTCCATCGCACAGCGAAACAACAACTGACTACAGGCTCCATTTCTGTTACTATACTGCTGTAAATCCATAGCATCGATTACCGACAAGAGGGAAACAACTGATTACTGGTTCCTTTGTACAATATTGCTGTAAGTGCCTCGCACAGCGAAACAACAACTGACTACTGGCTCCATTTCTGTTACTATACTGCTGTAAATCCATAGCATCGATTACCGACAAGAGGGAAACAACTGACTACTGGCTCCATTTCTGTTACTATACTGCTGTAAGTCCATAGCATCGATTACCGACTACAGGGAAACAACTGATTACTGGCTCCTTTGTACAATATTGCTGTAAGTGCCTCGCACAGCGAAACCACAACTGACTACTGGCTCCATTTCTGTTACTATACTGCTGTAAATCCATAGCATGGATTACCGACTACAGGGAAACAACTGACTACTGGTTCCTTTGTACAATATTGCTGTAAGTCCATAGCATGGATTACCGACTACAGCGAAACAACTGATTACTGGCTCCTTTGTACAATATTGCTGTAAGTGCCTCGCACAGCGAAACAACAACTGACTACAGGCTCCATTTCTGTTACTATACTGCTGTAAATCCATAGCATCGATTACCGACAAGAGGGAAACAACTGACTACTGGCTCCATTTCTGTTACTATACTGCTGTAAGTCCATAGCATCGATTACCGACTACAGGGAAACAACTGATTACTGGCTCCTTTGTACAATATTGCTGTAAGTAAGTGCATCGCACAGCGAAATAACAACCGACTACTGGCTCCATTTCTGTTACTATACTGATGTAAATCCATAGCATCGATTACCGACTACAGGGAAACAACTGATTACTGGCTCCTTTGTACAATATTGCTGTAAGTAAGTGCATCGCACAGCGAAATAACAACCGACTACTGGCTCCATTGCAGAATATTGCTGTAAATCCATAGCATCGATTTTGACCGACTTGGAAAGCCGTCAACGGTAACGTACTGTTAGTGTACAGTAATGATCATGATGAGGGACACCTAGCGCTGCAGGATAATTTATTGTACTAGAACTTTGGTAATCATACGTTTACTGTCACGCAATTCATCATCTACACATCCCTGATATAGTTAGTCTTCCATTCTGCATGATAGCAAATAGAATTGGAAGAGTCTTGGGGCACAAAAATGGAGGCATTACCGGCTGCTAGATGGCAAACACACTGACTGTCGGTAATGATGGTCACAGGGCGGTAGACAGTCCATACAGTACAGTGTAGAGTGTACAGTGTAGAGTAGGTTTGTATTCGGTACCGGTAGTGTTGACACTCAGTGAACACTACCGGTAGGGGGAGTAGGGCGTCGCGGTCGAGTAGACGGATACACCGATACTGTGCACAGACACGAGTAGAGTCTCTAGTCACTGCATAGTAAAAGTTCAAGTCTGACCTAGCACACAGTCACACGTTCTCGATCCTTATGCCACGTGCTGACAACTTGTGCTGCTAAGTGGGTTGATGGCGGTTGAGTAGAAGGATCTCCATCAAGATGGACTTAAATCGATCATCAATATTGTTGTAAAGCGATATTCTACATATATTATTGGCTTTCAACCAGCATCTGTCGGCGATTTTTCAAGTCTTGTTTGAAGTTGATGAAGGACAGCACTGTGCTATTATGAGAACTGTTGGCTGATCAGACACCAACGATCGAAAATACAACTCTACCACATTTCAAGCTTGGATGCATCAACATTGAGCAGCTACTGGATGCTTGATCTTCCACATTGATGGTCTTCTAGACACACGTTATTGCTGCATGCAAAAGATACTTCAGGATATCGACAAGAAATAGTTTCCATCCTGTAGAATGACCAATTGATTACTGTTGTGTTTTATTTTCGACCTCGTTGTTCTTTCAAGTCCAATCTGTCTTTTACGACTCCAATCCCAATCTCTCCTTGCATTTCTATTTCATCTCCGATCTACAATCATCCTTGATTGTGGCGCTGGGTCATACTGTCGTCTTTTACTGTCGCTGTCGTATCCATTAAGTTGGCTGCACGGAAATTCACCTTTCCTACAAAGAATCATCTTGCTAGCTGGCTAGCAACACGTGTACTGCTGTCAACTTGAGTGCAACACACGAGACATTCTGTGCTATGTCATTTTCTGAAATGTAAATTGATGACTACAGTGCAATACTCGTATGTCCTATCTATATACAGTACGTCAAACAGATCCGCAACATTTTTTTCCTACAACTAGTGTATCTATACTGTATACTGTAAACACTTGGCTAACGCCAAGTCGATTTCGAAGCTATTTGAAACGCTTAGGCCAGGACACGATAATGTCCTAATATTCTAGTCCCTGAGAGAAAATTCATATTGACCAACACCATAATTGGTCATTTAATATTACTATCTTCCTTCAAAACATGCTAAATTTATGCATGACTTTATGTTGAAGAAATTGGGCCAGACTCTTCATAATCTCTTCATAATCCAAAGGGAACTCCGCCTACACTTTGCTCAGCGAGTTGTTATCGAATTCAAATCACTGCAATTAAAGCGTTCAATTGACTCACATCTTGTAATACACTGTATATTCTCCAACAGTAAAGAAATCCTATCAAGATTTTTGACTTATCAAGTCATCATCAAATTGCAATCAAGAACTTTATTAACGAAAAAATACTGTACATCAATACGGTAAAATTGAATCATTTTTAAAGTACTAAATCGACTCTTGAGCAGGGAACTAAAATATATGGTCAGGCTATTGGAAGGGACTTTTGAAAAAGCAGGAGAATTTTGAACGTTACAATATTACAGCCTTAACAATCTAAGGCGTGCTGATGAAGTTAGTAGATAAGTAATTGTATTAACAGTGATTGAACTTATTTGCTACCAATAATAATTTGGGGATATTTTGCCCAATAATCTTCAAGACTGCAAGTGTTGACTGATTCTTCTTTCCATCAGAATGGATATGACACTGAACACAGATATTGATGTTGTGGATCAATTCGTTATATTCTCCTTTTTCTCCCAGGATGAATTGAATTCTTTTACCACTTTACAGCAAAGTCACTTTAATGGTGCTTTTCCTAATACACGACCTATTCAGAATATTGTTGGCAGCGATAGTGACATATCTACTACCAAAGACACACCTGAAAAGATACAATCCACTTCCAGTTCGCAAGATTTCACGCCAAAGTCATCGCCTACAAATAGGGATGAAGTTGAAGTAAAAAGAAATTGCCAGACTGAGGTGACTTCAACAGAACCAGATGAACCAATTCAGTCATTCACGTCCGATGCTCTCTCAACAGATTCCGTAAATCACCATAATAAAGTTGATGCATTACATAGTTGTAGCAGAAAATCGAAAAAAGCAAGCAAACGTAAATTGCAAGCTCACTTAAGTGACGATGATACAAGTAATACAGCTTCTAGTTCGGTTACAAACTCCACAAATAATATACATGATGTTCGCAGGAGAAAATATCGTGAGAATGAATTCAAGAAAAAACAAGACCGTCCAAATGCTTTACTTGGAACATGTATGCAATCTATACCGGACGTCAAGTTTCCTGTACCCAAATCTCCCCCTATTAAACGTTGGTGTGTTACTTGCCCTGAAGAGCAATGGTTACACGAACGTCGAAAGGATAGCAATATACGACTACGCTTCCAAGCGGATTACAGGCATAACGATAAAGATGGTAACCCTGCTCGGAACAATAAAACTAAGATTGAACAATCTGACCAGTCCGACTTGAAAAAGGCCGGAAATAACCGTGGACAAACTCTTGAGCTTCATGGTAAAGGTCAACATAATTGGCGCTTAGATCGGACTGATCGTAGGGCAGGTTGTAAAGTTAAAATAATACATGACAATCGTACGAGAGGTAGCAATGAAATTCTGAATATATCTGATCGCCAATATCTCGCTACGCCTACTTCTCTGGATGAAATAACCGACTTCGATGGTGATAGTAGTAACGTGAATGATTCATTTTATTATTCAAATTCTTCATCAGCTGAAGAAGGTGAAGTCTCTGCTGATGATAAAACGTTGAAATTTCATACGCCTCAAATGATTGCAATGAAATCACTATATCATGAAAATACTGACATTATTCATACGAGTGATACCGATGCCAGTGACTGGAATAGGAAGGTAACTCACAATAAGAAAGAACGCGAAAGACGCTCAAAACAGAAAGTTCAGTTCTTTCGCTTACAACAGTCTCACCCTGATTTAGTTCGATTAGAAAAATGCCCCAAGATAAAAATACTTCAATCTGCTATAAATCTTATTCATAATTTGTACGATGAGGAGCAAAGGTTGGTTAACATCAAAATGATTTTGCGAGATAAAAATGGTAGATTAAAGAATAAACTACAGACTTTACGGCAAGCAGTTGATATGGGCAGGAAAGAAAGATATGGAATACGTTGAATTTGTAAAATTTTAATCCCGTCGATTTTAGACTATCAAGCAACGATAATTAATTAATATCCTTAGGTAAAAGAAAGAGGATCGATTTTAACGTCTAGGCTATACATTTTCATTATGCTAATAATTTCATGGATAATGTTATGACTTTTACTACTGTGCATTGCCCCTTTTCCTTCGTCTTAGCCGTCAGTAAAGACATCCGAAATCTGTACATATTAAATGGTTAAATAGTGCTAATAGGAAGTGCTCTTGATTAGCAGTTATAATCTAATTTGTATTTATACATGCTTATTACTGTACAGTCGAATGGCTTAATGAATATATACTCTATTGCTGCGATTTGGCATTTTATGATATAAAGACTACGATCAATGTCTAGACATTGAAACAACAGTGACATTTGAACGTAAATTGGTATTCTGTAAATATTATAGCGGCAACATTGTGCGAACTTTTATATCTGATACTTGCGTTTGTTGTTTAAGAAATTTTTTTATTCTAATGCACTTAATCCTTATCTAGACTGACTGAGCTGAGAAGTAAGCATTTTAAACGTATTTTTTTATTGAACTTTGGCCACTGAAGCTATTTTTCCCTACATCTCTAATTCTTGTCCTATTTTACTGAAATCCCTTGTTTTATGAACGATTTTGTATAAATGCTTTCATAATTTATTAAAAGAAGACTAAATTGGTTATCCGTAATCTGTTGAATCAAATTCCTTGATCGAGGGAGGGTCTTGATCGCTTCGCTACCGCAACCAGTAGCCAACGTAGAATGCACACTGTCCATAACCAAAGAGATTATAAGTTAATTTAAATAACTTTATTTTCCTGATTCCTTGCTGATATCGAGCTATATCATCATCTTTAAATTGTGGATTATTTGATATGAACGTTAGGACATAAAGTAAGGATTTTCAACTGATCCATTTTTACATTGGATCTTTAAATTGTGAATATGATATGAACGTTAGGACATAAAGTAAGGATTTTCAACTGATCCATTTTTACATTCGATCTTTAAATTGTGAATTATTTGATATGAACGTTAGGACATAAACTAAGGATTTTCAACCGATCCATTTTTACATTCGATCTTTAAATTGTGGATTATTTGATATGAAACGTTAGGACATAAACTAAGGATTTTCAACTGATCCTTGTATTCGATCTTTAAATTGTGAATTATTTGATATGAACGTTAGGACATAAAGTAAGGATTTTCAACTGATCCATTCTTACATTCGATCTTTAAATTGTGAATTATTTGATATGAACGTTAGGACATAAACTAAGGATTTTCAACTGATCCATTCTTACATTCGATCTTTAAATTGTGAATTATTTGATATGAACGTTAGGACATAAAGTAAGGATTTTCAACTGATCCATTCTTACATTCGATCTTTAAATTGTGAATTATTTGATATGAACGTTAGGACATAAACTAAGGATTTTCAACTGATCCATTCTTACATTCGATCTTTAAATTGTGAATTATTTGATATGAACGTTAGGACATAAACTAAGGATTTTCAACTGATCCATTTTACATTCGATCTTTAAATTGTGAATTATTTGATATGAACGTTAGGACATAAACTAAGGATTTTCAACCGATCCATTTTTACATTCGATCTTTAAATTGTGGATTATTTGATATGAAACGTTAGGACATAAACTAAGGATTTTCAACTGATCCTTGTATTCGATCTTTAAATTGTGAATTATTTGATATGAACGTTAGGACATAAAGTAAGGATTTTCAACTGATCCATTCTTACATTCGATCTTTAAATTGTGAATTATTTGATATGAACGTTAGGACATAAAGTAAGGATTTTCAACTGATCCATTCTTACATTCGATCTTTAAATTGTGAATTATTTGATATGAAAGTTAGGACATAAACTAAGGATTTTCAACTGATCCTTGCATTCGATCTTTAAATTGTGAATTATTTGATATGAATGTTAGGACATCAAACTAAAGATTTTCAACTGATCCATTCTTACATTGGTGCTACCTAGTTGTGTGCTAGCAATCGACAATGTTAGTAGTACCTTGTGAATGCACGTTCAACGGTATACTTGTACATGTATTCTCTTTACAGTACCTGTCATTTGATAGTTTAACATTCATCATGTTGGTACCGCGTGCGCTCATATTTAATGGTATACTGTATTTGCGTTAAAAGTAATGACACTGAATTATAGCACGTTAGTCTGTTGAGGATGATAATCCGTCTCCTAGCCATTGATAGGTTTCATGGCCTACATGATAGCTCCATTCACCGTTGTGTGCCTGCACACTCACTCAGTGTAGATTGCATTACAGAGCAACTGCATGTCTGCATCGAATCGATTGGATATCCCTAGAGGTTCAATTTTTAAGCTTGAAAATATGTTGCATACGAATGAAGTTGTCGAGACTAGGATATTGCAACTTTAACAGTCGTTCAATTGGAAGAGTTGATCCTATTTTCAATCTGCTTTCAATTTCAACCCTTGACCTGTTATGGTCATCTTTGCGGGATATCACTTCGTCAGTCGTCTATTGAACTCCATAACTCCCAGCTGATCAATGCTGTATACAGTAGGTTATTTTTAATGAATGATCGTGATTCATAGTCTAGTGATGGATGAAAAATCAAGATCATTTCGTTGAGACGATTTTTGTGACTTGCCATATTCTACTGAACCCTAACTCTACATCACATTATTGTATTGCTTTCAAATTAGCTCAAACGCCAAGCCAAATAAATATTCAGCATCAACTGGATTTGCAAACCTCTTCCCAACTTCCACGTCTACCTGTCTGTCTGTCCATAGCATCTTTCAGTGACAGTTCGGACTGTTCCGTACCGTGCCTAGTACTGAACCGCTCCAGTCCAGGCTAGAGCCAATCCACGTGACGATCATACGGAAGGTGCAGGTCAGGTCTAGGTACAGTACGGCTTATATATCAACGACGTCTAGGATCAACCGATTGCAGAAGTCGTTGGTAGTGCCTATGGAATTCTATTGGATCGACTCGTGTCCAGGACATTAGGGTCTCAGTCAATTTCTCAAGCTGAGGTGACGTAGCACTTGAGCTATATAGATGATAACGGTCTGAACCGAACCGAACCGAACCGGTCTCAGGTCTATAATAAATTGAGCCTCCAAGAGAGATGTTGCAAGTGGGCTAAATTGATGGTTAACTAGGCGACCACTTTGAAACTAAGGCATAAATGACTGGATTAACTTGTAAACCAGTTTATGGCTAANACTTGATCAGTTAAATAGCCGCATTGAGATCAATGTTGATCACTAGGTGTTTTATGCAGATTTGCAAACCAGCTGATACATACTTTTTGCACCAAGGCTTTCTACTAAAAGTACAGGATATAATATAGTGATTATCATACCGTAAGTCGTCTATCCTACTCGACAGTGATACTCATACACGCTGCAATGACTATAGGACAGTATGGCCAGCAGTGGACTGGAGTCGGCTTGGGAGCACTCACGTGACCCGTTGATGGAACATGCGTAGACGCATGTGATGACGTCATGATGAGCTCGATGAGTGGATTGGGTGAAATTGCAACTGAGCGTTAATCGGCAAACAGGATGAAGGTCTTTGACCGCCCCAAGCCACTGTTTACATCACCTTCACTGTGGCGTGTGTATTGCTAGTCAAAATCATGACCATCATTTTTGCCTGATTGGAATTGATCTGAAGACAGCGTTGATGATGGCGGGGAGTCTCTGATGGATGATCATGACTGACATGTAGGCAAGATCTTATAGGAAATTCAGGAATAAATAGAGAAGAAAAAGACGCGTAGATGATACTTGGTCATTGATTGATAGGGATGTGCCATAAAAGATTGCAATTTTTCTACGCCTGTTTGTAGAGATTATTTTATTTTGATCCAATAGTTGAGTGGATTGCATTATCGTCATCATTATTACGGTGTTTTATGCCTATAGTCATTTGGATCGATCATCAGGATCCATGATCAACCATTTTAGGATACAAGAACTTTTGCCTGTTGTTACTTTAAAATTTTGCAACGGACTAAGAGAGAGAGAGAGAGAAAGACGACCCCAACTGCAGTGAATTAGATCGCTTACAATTGACTTTTCCAACTTGATTAGATCTCGGGGAAAGGGTAAAAGTTCCTTTTTTTTTGGGGATTTTATTTTGAATGGATTCATCTACCAACTGTTTACAACTACGAACGCAATTGGATTATTGAAAGCCGTTCCAAATCGAATATTCATTTGATATCAGGACGATCAAACGTTTCACCTTAATTCATGACAAGCCAAAATACACGCCTAAATTAAAGCCAAATAGCGTCAAAGGACGAATCTTTCTCTTGAATTGGTGGCTGGGTAAAAGAAGACGTCAACAACTACTGTACTTTCCTTATTTTAACCGAATTATTCCTAGTGAACAATTAAAATACTCATTCCTACTTGAACGCATACACTCTACTAACTTACCAAGTGGTTAGTCATTCGATCCATTTGGACCATTCATATTGGGATACGCCTAGCAAATCATTATTGCCAGTACCCTACTGTACATGCACAAAAAGACAACATTATGGCGAATGACAAAGCTGCTATATTACTCAAAGTTATCCTATTAGGGGACGGTGGTGTTGGCAAATCATCTTTAATGACTCGATTTATACAAGATAAATTCGATGAAAATTCATACCACACTATTGGCGTCGAATTTCTGTCCAAAAACATCAATGTCAATGGCATTACTTACACTATCCAAATTTGGGATACAGCTGGTCAAGAGCGCTATCGCAGTTTGCGTACACCATTTTACCGTGGTGCTGATTGTTGTTTATTAACCTTTGCCTTAGACAATCGTAATAGTTTTGACAATTTAGCTACCTGGCGTAAAGAATTTATATTCTATGCTGATGTTAACGATCCTGAAACATTTCCATTTGTAGTCCTTGGTAATAAAGTAGATATACAACATGAACAGCGACAAATTCATCGTAGTGAAGCTGAAGAATGGTGCTACAATAATTATCAAATGCCTTACTTAGAGACGAGTGCTAAAGATTCAACAAATGTTGAAGTTGCTTTTGTCAAAGCAATTGAAAAAGCTGTTAAATTAGAAGAAAAAGTAGCTATTAAAACTGATTTTAACAGTACAATTGATCTAACCAAATGCAAAGGTCGGAACAACAAAAATAACAGTTGTTGTACATAATTCTATAGGCTATTCATCTACATGAAGGATATATTATAATTTAAACTTACTCTTCAACCATGTACGAGTCAATCAATTCCATTTCTTTTTCTTATGGATTATCATCAATTTTGACTACTGTATTAATTCGTATGCTAACGATAGATGATAATTCGTGTTATAAATTGTTAAAGTAATTACGGATTTACGATAACGGTAGTCAGTGACCAGATTAGCTAAAGGTGTAGACAGACAATCAATCACTCGATAAAAGTAGAACTAGCAAAATTGTAATATGAATGCAGTAGGTAATCAGTAAGTATTGTTGTGTCATATTTCATGAAGTACATCAGTGCGTTATTTCTAGATGTTATCGAATTGTACGAAAGTTGTACTTAGAGTATGATAGCAATGACTCCAAGATTAGATTAATCGTTACTACCTTACATTACCTCTCTAGTTAGTTGTTATAGTGTGGCTTACAAATTCGACACGTAGTTTACATCTCGATGAAAATCTTCTACGCTGTATCAAGATAGGCGGTCGTGATTTTTTAAATATTCATACCGATCACAAATCATTTCAAGTACAGTCCTACCTCTATAATCCATGTCATGACATCATAGTCTCAATTTTTTACATTGATATTAGCAATATGTAGCCACAAAAGAAATGTATATTGTAGACTATACCATTTTCATTAGTTATGATTGTGATATAAATTTTTAAAATAATCAGAAATATAATGGCTAAAACACTTGCCAATACGAAATATGAATTATTATGATAGATAAATCAATCGCATCGCTACTAACATACTGGGCAACCTTTGCCTTTTAGTGCTTGCGTGGACGTATCCGTGACTGTTTTAATGTTTTACAGTATGCGGCAACGTGAATAAATATTCTGTTCCTGTGCTATGTTATGGTTAAATTGTAGCTAAAGTCAAAATTGCACTTTAGCTGTAAATCAATATTTGCGATGCATAGGATAGATTGCGATCTTAATCTGGTCTATCAGTTCAGTAGAGAGAAATGAAATCAATTTCGATTGATATTATAATCTACCAAATTTGACTAAAATCTTTGTAATCAATTTATAACAGATTCGTTAAGTTTAATAAATAATAAGTTTTCAATATAGCGGCTTTATATATTCTTGAAATGGAACAATATAATGGTGGCTAACGTTGCCACAGGTGTACAATATATAATATATATTATATTGTATAATATTATAGTAAATTTTTCTTGGGATGAGTAACAATCGCAATGTTATAGTCGATACACAATCAATCACATTCAGTAATATATATCTCATATGAAGTTCATTTTAAGTCGCGCCTTGTAGTATGTTGTAACGATATTTTTGATTTAGGAGATCTATCTTTATTTACGAACACAACAGTTCTTTAGATTAGAAACGTAAAAGTTTAAACTTTACTTCATCATAAGCTTAGGCCACAATCTCAATGGTTAACCGTAATTAGGATTATCATTATTTACATTTATAATATCTTAGTACGCATAAAGATAATTTTTACTAAGAGTTTGTTAATGCAATCATGAGAAATTTATAATTAGACAAAGGATATCATGTTGGAATCATGTAATGAATATTTTCCTTACTGAAATCATTGTGATCAACAATCTTCAATTAAAAATCATCGACATTGTATGATTGCCATTTCTTTTACCGTTCACTTAATATGCTGGTAAGTATGCATATTATGATGGGCATGGATAATAGATAGATATGATATGGTAATTAATGTCATTTATTAATCTCTCATTATACTCAGATATACAGATCCTATACGGTCATACAATAGTTAGATTAGAATAAAGTAATATTAAAAATTTCGGATGAAGGAGAAATACGAACTTACTACCGTACTGTATTATCTAGATTTTTTCCCTTTTTTAATCTAACACTACAGTGCCGGGTAAATTGATATCTTTAAGTTTTAATCTTATCAGTTTCGGAATAAAAATTGGATATTTTGTACAATAACTTACCACTTAAAAACTTATTAAAAGAAATTCTAAGCCAGTTTTATAATTTTATTAAGTAATTGCTATCGCTACACAAATATATATTATCTAGCAGATTTCATTCGGAAATTTCTTTACTACAAATTAACCGATGATACTGAATCATTTATTACAAGACGGTAATATATGAGATTATTTTAGATTATATATTAATCGTATATTAATATATATGGGTATATGTAACGGTGCAAAAACTACATTTAATTAGTTATTAACCCCGTAATACTACATACTTTCTAGTTGTATTTCTCTATGCTGTGCAGGTGGGTTGAGATCACACGCTATATAATTATATCCAAGTGAGATTTTTTAATTTAGATACGTTTTAAATCTTTTTACTTGATATCATCGCTCGTATGTAATAGACTAAAAAGTCTGATCATATTTTCTATGCAAAAACAACATACGTCAATAACTGGTCAATTGTACCGGAACAAAATTAGATATGAGTCATACTATTCTTTATAATTTCGCTATTGTGTGTATTGTATGCAGATAACCTGCACTCTACTACTGTATAGAATTTTATACTTATTGGATGTTTTCTCTCAATACATAATGCTTTCTAATCTTTCTATCGCGATTATTATTTTACAATGACACCTTTAATCTGGGCTACTGCAGATATAAGTAGCTTTTAACTAATAAAATAATAATTTTATTTTTAATATTACTATTTAGATCAAAGTTTACTGCCAAACTATTCTGTACAGCACTGCATAATCTATAGATAAATTGGACAACCTTTGCTAACGATGTATTCTTACTTTATCAAAAGTTTACCAATTGCGACAGAAATTGAATGCATATTTATCTTTTTTATAGCTTATCATATTCAAATATTATATCATTTGATTTTCTTTAATAATAGTTGAAATGAGATTTGGTAGATAATTAAAAACTCGAATGATGATGCTAAATGAAAACACGAATTCATAGGTTGTAGTAATTAGTTAAATCTTAGAATACTACTAACTATATTTTTAGAGTTGCTTATCTATCCAACACTAATTAAAATGCAATAAAGGATCAGTTACTGTATGTATTGTTTTTTTTAGCCTATTCTTTGATTTATATACGTACACTATCTCATAATTTAGGTATTGATGTCAAGCTGGGAAAAGTTTGGCTACTAGAAAGACGCATTGTATATTATTTAATTCACGTGCATTCTAGTAGATAATATGCTGTACTACAGAAGTAATAAAAATTTCAATAACTTCCAAACATATAAATATTTGCTTTGATAATCATTTTTATTCTCAAAATTGTTACGGCTTGCTTGTTTCTATAGCAGAAATATGAGATAACAGTACTTTCAATGTAATTCATTTTTCGTAATCATATTCTCCCATATTTGATGATATATCCCCTTGCTTTATTTATTTCTGTGTTAATTCATTATTGATTCGTAATCCGATCTTGTAATTGATCATTACGGCATATTATTTTTGATGCTTTGATAATAATTATGTTTTCGACCAAGATTCACAGTCTGTCATTTTTTATTGGGCACGTATTTTACATGAATTACCTTATATATCATTGTTTATCAGGAAAAGCATGAAACAAATATTCATAATACCTTCTATTACCAAACATGAAGTTTACATCATTTTATTTTTGTATATTGTAAACATATTCTACATTAATTGCCATATATATCATTGTTCAACAGAAATAATGCTGGACGAATTTTCACAATACCTTTTCCTTTTCCTTAACGTGAAGTTTATATCAACTTATTTTTATACAATATCAAGTGTTGGCAATCAGGCTGATATGAATGACGCGAATAAATAGTAAAGTTTAAAGCATAAATCTGTTTCAAAGAATTTCTAAACTGATTCAAAGATCTGTACAGCATTCCGATCGCTGTAAACTTTGTAAACTTCCTTGTTTATGCTGCATTCTGTCAAGAATATTAAATCAGTTATACTCGTATGGCTATTTGGCACTTCCTCAATAATAAAACTACGTTACTTTAGAGTAAAAGAATAATAGAAAGTCAGGATAAGAGATTTCCAGATAATGATTTTTGAGTTACATAATAGCCATTATGCGTATGATTGTAGCCACAACATGTACTTATAAATATAATTTGAAGACTTATTATTTCGATCAGTTCCAATTTCGATTTGATTTCAAGAGATAAACGCGCTTACTACCACGATTGCTACCATTTGTAGCATATAAACTTGATAGCTCTGCCTCGAAGTAGAAATTTAATCTTGATAGAAAGAAAGGATTATAAACTACTACATTGTTATTTGTTGGTGCCCGACAATCGTATATATTGGATCGAAACATCCTTCACTTATGGAGCTTAAATGGATTAAAAATATGGCTACTGGTGTAAAACATAGATGGCAACTTTGCAAGTATAGTTTACTGTAAGCTTTACTGTAGTGGTGGTATATGTTACGTTTAAAGCAATTAGCTTGATCGAATTGTTGTAAAAGTTGTTAATTTTTCCAAATTTATTGAATGATATAACTAGTTCTATACTATTCTTTATACACTAATTCAAATCAATACTGGATTATGAATCGATTTTAAAGATCAGGATAGAGGTTTACTCTCGGTCTTAAAAATTTGAATTCAACTTTCAACTGAATATTTAAATCTGCTATCAATGTAAAGTACTTGAAGACTTTCCGCAAATTCTTTCTTCTGTGTTAGATCGTGAGAGATTCTGTGTTGATAATAACAATGTGAAGAAAAGGCTATTTATATTACTTTGGCTTAAATTAACTTTCTAATTGAAAAGAAAGAGTATTTTAACATAAATTCAGCCTGTTTAGGCGATTGGTCTACTCCAGTGACCCTGCTGCCTATTGTGTGCAAGTTATGATTGACATTATCATAACTTCGTTTAGAAGTTAGTTATTAAAAGATATCACAGTAAACTAATTAAATCAGTTCTATGAGTTGACTTTAATATAGTGCATCAATACTAGCATCCTTAATAATTACGACTATTAATTTCAAAAATATTGGCAGTAAGAAATCAATGCGGCTTTGAATTCAATCTATTTATCAAATCAATTACGTTTACATACTGGTCCCACTATCTTCTAGCATGATTCAAGGAATAAGCAATTTAGATACTTAAATTGAATTATTTGTTTTTGATAGTAGCAATACCTCAACGATTATGCTAAAGCTGTCAAAACTCATAAAACGTAATGATGTACATGTTAACTGTTTATTGATGTGGTCTAAATGGATCATTCTGTTTTTTATCAACTTTACATCTCACTTGATCCAGATCAGAGATTGTAAAGGTAAAGTTTTTTACCCGAATAGCGATTTAAGAAGTCAGTATACTGTGATTATCTAGTTATATTGATAGGATTCTGATATAATAATTTATTGTATATTTACAATAATGAGATTAGAATAAAATTCCCTATTCAAGGTGAAAAAACTTTAAATGATTAATGCGCATCCGCGTAAGCAACATGACGGGAAACTCTTTTATGCTTACAATATAGTACAGCGTATATCACTTCTAAATAATACATCATCGAGTACGTCATTCGAGGGAAAAATATTCCAAAATGTGATACAGAAAGTCCCTACAGATAAAAGACTTTTGCTTATCGATAGGCAACCTCGATAAATTGATTTACTAAAGGCATGGATGGTACGATGATCTATGCCATAATAATGGATCGGTAAAAACTTTCTTCACAGAAATTTTAATGGTGCAGATGTCGTTTCTATTGTATTAGTTCAATAGTACTTATAGATTTATGCGTATGCTAGATTGATCACCAACATTTTTTCTATGATTGGTATTGATATCGATTTAATTAATCTAATTATGCATTAACAGCGTCATCGACATTAATTATTTATTCGTCGCGCTAAGAAGTAAATCGTAATTGGAAATCGTCTCATCTCTGTAAATGGATGGGGTTTGCTTGTTCTTAATGACATTTTTAAAGTTATAGTAGTATAACATTTGCTAATTTTCCTTTACTTTAAAGTGTTATATATTCAAAATGGTAAATCTCGAAATTGCTATAATACATCGCTTGACTCACGTACATACAATATCACGTTAAAATTGAATTTTTGAATATGTCTGTCATGATATAGCGTTATTTTTTTCTGCACAGGGGTTCACTGAATTGCACTAATTTTTGATACCTAGATGATATATTTATGTTTACTAAAGGATATTCAACTAAGACTAGCTGTATCTTAGTAATTTTAGTGTCAATCTTGCTTATGAATTTGTATAGATATTCTTTCCCTTTAAAGACTTTGGATACAACTATGGCATTGTATCATTTATGTCTGTAGTTCTATTCTATCTTGATATTATGAAATAGAGCCGAGTACTGCAAGTTAAAATTTACGTAAAGCATAAAATAATCTTAACAAACTAAAGGGCGTTGAGATTTTATGCACTTGTGTAATTCTGATGGGATAGGCGAAGGTAGATACTATTATATAAGCGTATAATTATACGAAAACACAAAGTGATTTTTATCGCATGGATAATTGGGCTATCTACCTTTCGTCTACCTATAACAAAGGTAGCATTATTTGGAAAGGAAACTAGCAACATACGGAAGTGTTATGTCCTCAATCATTGAATGTTGTTCGAAAATACACGTGTAAATGGGCTCAAGATTTCGATCTATCTTCCGTCTCTTGATATGTACATTTATTGTGATACAGATATGCACTCATCCACTTCAAGCTCAAGCCACACATACTGTCTAAAATACATTATCGTCCGCAGGCACATTTAAAATCGATAACAAGAGATCCAACATAACATTATATTAATAGATTTCAATATACGATCAAATGATAGTTAGTTATTTTATAACATTTACGACTTAAGAAATAAGATTTCTATGAACTAGCTAAATTCGTAATATGCTAGCTGAAGACTTATATAACAATACTATAATATCATTTTACACGGTAACAGCAAATATCTTTCCTATTAAGAGATACAATTGAATATTAATTCTAAATGAAGCAAAGAAAGTTAAGTAATATTAGCAGATAAAAATTTCTTCATCAATATGTTATAAAGTCGACAGGTATAGCTAATTGATGTACTTTAACAACGTTCTAGAACTGCAGTAAATTTCAGGTTTTAATACCATGTTGCATACAACTGAGTATCGAGAACATTAAACAACGTTATACAGAAATGCCAAAACAAAGTGTACATTACAACAGTAAGTATGTACAAGTTTAATATTAATCTAAGTTTAGATAAGAGTGTTTTCGTTGTATACAGTAGACAAAACTTGGACTGCAAATACAACAGTCTAAAGAATTAAAACAAGATCATAAGTAGCTTAATTTTCCTCGATACAGTTGACACAGTCACAAGTGAACGCGATCGAAGACGCTAAAGTAATCAAATAATAATTATTAGTGACTCTTGCTTCTTTTGCAGAGTCGTTAAATGGCACTTGTAAAGTGCAATTTGACTAAGTTCTAAAACGTGTACTACAAGTAGAACGTCCGATTTCAATTGAGTTTGAATACGACACAGACAAAATAAAAAAGTTATTTCTACAGTATCGTACAACAGCCTCCTTCGTCGGTTTTCCCTTGGACTTTACCTAGAAGTAATATATAATGCGTGAGAATCCCAACACTAAATCAATTGACTTTTTGTACTTTCCAATTATTACAGGGCAGGTTATAAACAGATTACGAGTCGATACAGTTAGTTTTTCTAACATATGGAGTACGCCAGAATTGATTAACTGATTAAGTCACGTATTCTATCGCAAATGCTACCATCTACTGTAGCATGTTAAAATTGGATTTATACCTTGTGATGAAGGCTCTGGAATGTTTTCCCTCGCAACTAGATGCATAACAGTTGTTTTACCTGCCGGCAACCTCATTGCTGGATACCGTAAATAGGAAATGAACAATTTGAGTACGCATCGATTAATTGTAGAAACTTTACTGTTCAGCGAAAAACACATGTACTGTACAGTATTATAACTATGGAATGGCTATAAATGCATATAGGGGAAAAACTTTTTTTTAATACTTAGATAACATCAATTACATAATTATCAGCTAGTGCTATTACCAAGCGATAAATGCCTGCTAGTACGGTAATAGTTATCAGAGTTGGATATAGTACGATTAAGTACAAAGTTAATTATTTGTAATCCAGCTACTTTGAATAATAATATTTGTCCTATTGATTACCATGTTATTAACGTTTCTACATAACCGAAGTTACTTACAACTTAATATTGATTCGTTTTGCAGAAATCTGCCTTGATAGATCAATCGCAACTTGCTGGAATTGTCGACAGCTTCGTCTTCCCATTCTATAAATATAATTTATTTTTAAGTTAACGACCAACGGCAAGAGTTATAATCATGTTAGCTATAGTAGACAATGGAGATTACAGACTGTATTACAGTAATTTATCCTCTATGGTCTTGTTAGCAAGGAGTTACTTGGTTGAAAGACCGTAATATTACTGAGCATTTGTAGAACATTACTCCAAAAATTGGTATTATCCACTGTTAAGCGGGCATACAAAAACTATTGAATAAATTGGTTTGAACCATGTTGGTGCTTTTTTTCAATATCTAATTGTAGAGTCTAATATCTTCGTGGAGAAGGCTGCAGTGTGCAGTACAGTATAATATGTTCATCTTATCTGTTTACCATCTAAATACTGTACCTTATCCTATGAGTTATCATGTTTTTACGTGCTACTACGGAGATTTTGACTAGTTTCACTATTGTAGGTATTTATTGAGGATTTTTACCTGGTGGCCAATTATTGAAAACGTGCTGTGTTATGTCTCCAGCAGCAGTTTCCGGAAGAAATAAGAATTCGTGCGTTTTACCGGTCACCAAAATTAATTTTAGGTTTATCTGTTAAGAATAGAGAGGTATAAGAAAAGCAAGAATCAAATTTGATATTCAAAAGAATGGCAGTACGCTTCTGACTTTGTTAAAATTTTTTCTATCTATAAGAAATTACATCAGCAGAGTGATTGCAAAGTCAGTACGAATATTCGATTGCGTAGTAACATTAAAGATTTCCATGAATAGCCTGATCAGATTTCGTCTATTCTAATTTCATTTTAAAAGTAGGTTATAGCATCAAGCGGAAAAGGTTACACCTCTATACAGAATAGGGTTAATATTATACAGTAAGTACATTCAGTGCTCCATGAGCAATGGATTATGTACTGTGTCTGGGATTTGGGCTTAAGTTAGCATTTGTAATTTGTGGAGTTTATTGGTTATAAGCTCTTTGGACAAGGAGAATATTGCTTGATAAAATGCATGGAGATTTTTTATCTCTATTAAATAAGACTTGGATAATTAACGCTTCGTCAGTCCAACCAAATGATCAATTCTTATGATTGATCGTAACATAATGTTGGTTAATATACAGTAATAGCAGTTTATCAGAATGATCCATTCAGCCCACTGTGCAGCGTGTACAGTTTACGTGGTTAGTAACATGGTCAACCATCGAGGGTAGAAAGTTAAAATGAACTATGCACCAAACAAGGTAGACCAACTTTGCTTGGTGATATTTGTTTTGCAATGTAGAGCCAAAACATTGAATACCATCTAGTACAAAAGTGGCAAGATAGTAACCGGTGTTTTTACCACTACTTTTAAAAAATACTGTACGTATTTATCATGATCAGGATGATGTTATTTTGGCTGGAATTGAATGAGTGGAAAGTTGGTTTTACTGATGATCGGTATAGCAGTTTGTTGGTTTTCAATTCACTCTTTCATCTTGTCTATATAGTATTTTTAATATTAAATACGACAGGACTTTGTTGGGTGGTCTGATGTTTTAAAAAGGCAATGTCCGCATACCTCCTGTACGATATTCGAATTCATTTTTGATCTTGCTGTACTGTATTGAACGTACAGTCGATCAAGACCAGAGGCATGTTGATTATCAATTGGATGAATTTACGACTTTAGGAAAGAGTACGCCAATAGTTTTGATGATGATTGCCCTGGTTAACCAGGGTCGTCTACACTTCTTCGATCGTTGTTTGTTAAGAATTTTTTTTTTTATTGCCTACAAGAAGTGATGCTCGATGAAACATTTCATCTAGTAAATAGGAATGTACGTGTGTGCGATCTAGCGCAGAGTGTGATAGCGTCTGGGGGTTTTGAACATTGCACTGTCATAATGCTTGTCAAAGCAGGGTTTTTACTTAGATAGTAGAGTCCAACTCTACTAAATCATGGCCATAGTCCTGGCATGGATTAGTCATTTATTAGTAATCCACACTACAGTATAGGTGTATCCATTAGCTGATCAACTTTCTTGTTGTTAACATAATGTAGTACTGTATTCAAGTCATGACCGGGTAACAATGTAGGAATTTATAAATTAAATGAGAGAGATTATATATTCTAAAGAGTAAATACATCTACAGTACAGTAGTCGATCGTAGTCGGGCAATCTGTATATGGTAAATAGATTCCATCCAAATGGATCTCATTGACAGAGTCTTGTAGGTTAGCGTGATCTCATTGGAGGCTTGAAAACGAAGTAGGTTTTATTAGAATGTGTATTTATTTTGGGTTATGGCAAAAAGAAAGTCCAGTCCAGTCCAGTCGATGGTAATCCAATAATGAAAGGCATGAAAACGAAATGAGATAAATAAAATTAATAAACAGTTGGTCCCGACAGGAAGTGTGGAAATGCGACACCCGACATCTCTTTAATGATGCATTTATTGACTGTATTATGAGTACTTGAGTGGTGGAACAGGGTATCCTTCATGTTGAGTAAGTGGATAACGAAAAGAGTATTGGACTGTTAGCGTCTTGGTCAATCTATATCCGCGTAGTTCCTCTTGAGTTAAGGTTGGCAGTCTTTGTTCAAGACATGATCAAGAATGAATTTTATCAAGTTGGTGGTCGACTACCACGGTAGAAAGGATCAGTCTTCCCGTCTATGCTGTCCTTTATTCCATACATGGATGTCTACTATTCATTTTACCCTGGACTCCATGCAGTACACTCTACAGTAGAAGCGGGGGGACAAAGTGAATTTAACATGAAGTAGGAAGATTGTCTCATGTCAAGAAAAAAAGAAATTGACTTTTCTACCATCAAGCATACTCTAGTAGTTGGTGGTTTTTTACGTTTGTTGCAAAAGAAATAACTGCAAATAGCTAGGAATCGATTGATCGATCAAAGCGATGGATTTTTTTTTGTTATTGAAGGGATCATTTGATGGACTGTTGAAAGATCCAACAGTCTTGGTGGTTGCATTTTCCACTACTGGTAGAGTCGTGCCAGCGATGAACACGCCAAAAAATGATACGGGTCGAATAGACCGGTGTATCGAGCGTTGATTCAGTATGTTAAATTGTTCATATTGTCGGGCGATTAAATGGATCTTTATTATCGGCCATCGACTAAAAATAGCCAAGGACGTATTTTATGAATGGCTACAAAATTGCAAAAGGTAGACAGTACTTGTTGATGATGTTGGCAGCCTGGCACGGGATAGTCACTGTATTGCAGTAGTAGTAGTAGGATACCTTGCAATTTCTGTTGTTATGAATAGAGTATGGCCATTTCCTTGTCTTGCATTGCAGTCCATTAGTATTGGCAAATGCAACATGGCCTACTTGAGAACTCCATGTTGACGTTTACAAAACTGCATGAAAAGACAGTGGTGAAAAAGTGTGTATGGACTAGTAGGCTACACCCAACACTACAGTAAGATGGCTCAAATAACAGCAGTACCGGTCAGCGTTGTTGCGATAGAATTGGATAGGACAAATTGGGGTAGAAAGGAAAAATACACCTTGACTGCAAAACCAAGTTCTACTCCAAATTCATGGAACTAACAATACATGCATGACATGATATACTGGAAGGGATCAAAATGAAAAAGGATTGAAGGCAAAGAAATAGATCAAATGGTTTACCTTGTCCGGTGGGATCGTCGCAGGCATAACGGGAATCGACCTTGGTGTCGAACGGCAGTTGAATGCAATGAACGACTTGCTGGGAAAAATAGCAGCAAAGCGGTGCTTCAAAGTATCCTTCAATTGATGTATTTGTTGTCGAAGAGTGTCAAGGCAGCAAGTGCGCCCGTACAACAGATTTTTAATGTTGTAATAACGTTTTAATTCCACAAAATACTTGATTAAAACTGCTTTGAAAAAAAACCCAGCATAGAGATGAGTGACGATGAAGTCGAAAAGGATGGCAGGGTCGTCACTTGAAACAGTGTCCAGTCCAGTACAGTACTGTGTACTGTATGGAAAATACTGTAGTATTACAGTACAGCAGACAAAGTACTGTAACACTACAGTACACCGTACTGTGCACTGTACTGTACGGTATCTGAACTGTCTGTCTATCGTTGTGCCGATACAGTACTACTGTGCACTATACTGTACACCATAGTACAGTGCTGTAAGAAAATTCGCACTGACCTGAATTTTCTTACAGTGTACAGTACAGTAAGTACAGTGCAGGACAGTACTGTAGACTACTGTGTATTATACTGTACAGTACAGTGCAATAGGTGACCTGTCTATCGTTGTGCCGATACAGTACTACTGTACACTATACTGTACAGTATAGTACAGTGCTGTAAGAAAATTCGCACTGACCTGAATTTTCTTACAGTGTACAGTACGTACAGTGCAAGACTGTACTGTAGACTACTGTGTACTGTATTGAATAGTGGACTGTACAGTGTACAGTACAGTAGCTGACCTGTCTATCGTTGTGCCGATACAGTGTACAGTGCTGTAAGAAAATTCGCACCGACCTGAATTTTCTTACGGTGTACAGTACAGTACGTACAGTACAGTACCGTACTGTAAGCTACAGTGTATGATACTGTACTAGACGTGGTTCACAAGTACTGTACACTGTACACTGTACAGTACAATAAAGTAGCTGACCTGTCTATCATTGTGCCGATACAGTCAGTGCTACTGTACGCTATACTGTACTGTACTGTATAGCACAGTGCTGTAAGAAAATTCGCACTGATCTAAATTTTCTTACAGTGTACAGTACTAGACGTGGTTCACAAGTACAGTACAGTACTGTATTGTACTGTACCATTAATATTTGATGATTACAGTAAAGTACTGTACAGTGTACAGTACTGTACTGTACTGTACTGTACTGTACTGTACTGTACTGTACTGTCTTAACGTCAACTGTAATTCAAGTGACATGGAATATCTTCATGACGTCATGCAGCACCTGGATCTTGGACTGACAGAGTGACAGTACGGTCCTCAAATGCTTCGCTGGTAGAACAACTGTACCAGTACACGACAGACCCTGTATGAACTACGGTGGCTCACAAAGCCACCGTAATGAACTGTACAGTATACAGTACTGTAATCAGGTCTATACTGTACAGTACACAGCTCGATAGGTTACCATGGAACGGATCCAGACTCGTCCACACGGCGATCCATCATCAACATCAAATGCGAGATTCAACTTTGCAACACTGCAGCAAATGGAAATCATAATACTTCGAATCGACTAGCCTTTGATTCAAAGTATTCGTAATAAGTAGTCATCAAAATGGATTGCAATGTGCAAAACAATGAAAGGATAAAGTTAAACAAGGCACAGAAGAAAGCACTACGAAAACAGCAACGTGCCAAGCGAATCCTTGATCGACATAATGTTTTGAATGAGTTTAAAGTCAGTGATCAACCTTCTAGGCATTTACTCATCAGCAATGGAGGATTGGGTTGTGGTATAACTCGAACAATCTTAACATCGGTGTTTGGCCGATATGGACAAATTACTAATATCATCATGTTACCTGATAAACCGTTCTCTGTCTTGTCTTATCAAACAGTAACCGATGCAAAGCAAGCATATGATAATATCCATGCCATTGAATTGATCGCCTTTTGTGATACCGATGTCAAGTACTTGGTAAAATCGGGTATTAAGGCGTTTATTCTCAATTACTTGGAAGATTATTTTTGCGAAACCAATAAAGACTCTAACTTAGGCTATCCTGAAGGATTGTTATTAATTCAAAATTATGTCAGTGAGCAAGAAGAAGATGAATTATTGCAAAGTATAGGTTGGTACACCAATCACGGTCAAGCTTCTCATGATACTCATCCGTGTCAAACCGTGCAATCCGATCGGGAATCAATGCAGCGACGCCTTAAGCATCGTCATGTAAAACACTATGGCTACGAATTTCGATATGATACAAATACAGTGGATAAAGATAAACCCTTACATGCCACAATACCAAGTAAATGTAGATATATCTGTCAACGTATGACAGACGACGGTTATATCCAACATCAACCTGATCAACTAACAGTGAATGAATACATGCCTGGCCAAGGTATTTGCCAATAGCGATACTGTAGTTGTTTCGTTAAGTGGACAGCTGATAATAATAATATAATATACAATGATACAATAAATTTATGTATGTGCTGAGCAGGGATACCCCCTCATATTGATACTCATTCTGCGTTCCAAGACCAGATCGTTTCACTATCGCTGCTGTCTCAGGTACCCATAATTAGGATATGTTCTAATTATTCTTCATAACCATATTATTTTACTTCCATTCACCAATTGACCATATTAGTAGAGTAGCCACTGACGTCCTCAATGATTACTGCAAAAATATTAGATTGTGATGGACTTTCGGCATCCGGATGGAACTCGAATATCGATTAATTTGCCTAGACGCAGCCTATTGGTGATGTCAGGCGAATGTAGGTACTTATGGAGCCATGGGTAAGAAGAATTCCTTTGTTCATTTGATGATAGAAAGAGCCTTGCATCACATACTATTTCATACGATAATTCTACAAATTTCTCAAGCCTAAGCTGAAAATCAATAGGACACGTTCATGTAACATAATGCTGTTTGCTATTGGAAATATTGATTTAGAATTACACCTCGAAAATATGATGTGGTTTGTGATGACAATGACAACAATAGCAACATAACATTATTGGAGAGATCCCGAAGGGTTTCGTTTACTTTTCGAAAAATTAGACATTCTCCTTGTAATTGTAGTAAGTAATGGGCTATTCGCTCTATTCTATATTTCGACCTTTGATCTGTAGGGTTGTTAAGTATCTTCGAGAGTTATAAGTATAGTTTTTATTGGTACGTTATTTTCCAATATAATACTAACTTTGGACGTCAATTACGATAGAGTATCCTAATTCGTGTGACACACAGCTAAATCTCCTTTCAAAGTAAGTATAATACAATTTTAATTTTCATTCATTGCAATTTCAACTTATAAGAGGAGAAACTGTCTTTTTATGAATTGATTGATTCATTGTAATACCTACCGGGTAGAGCTGAAGTAAATTGCAATCCATGTACTGATAAAGAAGCCGCAAGCTTAGAACGTGAATATGTATATAATGTCAGTACAATCAATAATAATTCGAGGGGTTTATTAATAGGCATGATTGTTATACGCAACTTTTGTATTAGGCAGTGAATAATAAGTATTAGAGGTTAATCCGGATAATTATATTTAAAAATATATTCTTATAGATATATGACAATATTGCGGATCATTTTAGCGGGACTCGACATTCCCCTTGGCCAGTGATTGCCAACTTTCTTACTAGTCTACCTGAAGGATCTATGGTATTAGATATCGGTAATGTTATATAACTTTGAAGCAATTCTGTCAATTTGTTGTATTAGGCAGGAACAATACAATTATTATATATATAATATAGTAATTATTTGTGTCGGATCCGATCTGGTACTATCAAGCCACTGCATAGGAATGCGTATAGTGTGGCTAATGGAAAACAGTAAATCCAAGAGTAATAACAATTTTTGTTCTTTAACCCTTTTTCTTAGGTTGTGGTAATGGTAAATACATGAATGTCAACAAATCTTTGTATATGGTGAGTACAATATATTAAAATGAATTCAGTAAACTGTATAGCAACTACAGGAAAATAGTGTATAAATATTCTATGTTTTTTACTATTATACAAGTGTGTAGTAATATACTACTAGAAGTTGTGTTGTGTAGGTCAAGGTTTACAATCAACAGACCGATAATTTATAGTAGATATTAATTGAATATAAATTGAAGTTTAAAAATTGGAGTAATTAATCGTACATGAACTTTGACACTATCGAATTAATACTACTTATAATATTAGGTTGGATGCGATCGCAGTAGCGGCCTAGTATCTATTTGCGGGTAATATTATTAGTCTTTCCGTAAAAAGCCTTGAAAAATTTTTATTTTTTGAATTTTCCTACAAATGTAATGTAAATTAGTGTGATCTGTATACTATAGATTACTTTACTTATATCTCTCTTAAAATTAATTTAGGGAAAGAGGTTTTGAGGTCATCCTTTGTGATATTTTGAATTTGCCCTTTCAGTCTCAGGCATTTGATGCTTGCATTTGTATAGCCGTCATTCACCATTTATCAACAACGGTAAGAGAAGGATTAAGTATCTCCCTCAAATTGGATTACCAATACTCTATCTTCTCTTTAGAAAAGAAGAATTGAAGCATTAAAAGAATGTATTAGAATATTAAGACGCGATGGTGTAGCGTTAGTATATGTGTGGGCTTTGGAGCAAGATCAGAGAAATATTGATAAAGAAAAAATGAAACATAATACTTCTGCTAATTTATCGACGGACGGTAAGTACTTTTTATTTTAGAGTAGATCAATTTCTTATAGTAATCCATTCATGAGGATAATTTATGTATAAAATCAATGATTAAATCTTCGCTATTTATATCAATTTAAGGGGTATTGACTAATCGAGAAGCAGATACCGGCGTGCGTAAGTTCAAGCTTAGACATTTCGAAAAACAAGACCTTTTAGTGCCGTGGCATTATAACAATCGTCATAATAAGAAATTTGAAAATGTGGCAAATAATTCAGCTTCAAATCAAACTCTCTATCATCGTTACTATCACGTCTTTATGGAATCTGAATTGATATCGATGTGCAAGGCAATAAATAATGTTACTATTCGTGAGAGCTTTTATGATCGTGGAAACTGGTGTGTGATCTTGAACAAAATTTCTGATTAAAAAAGCATATACGTGATTTTCTGTCAATGATAATTAATATACGAAATTACCTTTAATTGTAAAAGAGCTAAAGCAGGCTTAAATTTTGATCTCGTAGGTTACAAAAAATTGTGCATATTACGTTGTAGTAACACTGACATATCTATACACTACTTGTATGATATTAATATTGAGCGATGTTGTTGTTCTGGCCTCATGCTATAAGTGTTACTGCATGACTATCCGTCTTGGAAAACGTCAAAAAATTTATTACAGTGGAAATTAAGATGCGAATCTAGAATCATGAACGAGTGAAGGTTTTATTTTTCTTCGTAATAATTTTAGATGTGAACTATTTATTGTGAGCAATACCGATCTGTAATTATAAAGGAATAATAGCCTGTAACTTATTATTGCTATTGCTAATTTTCTATTGCAACTTGGTATTCTTATTTTGAAGTAGATAGCAATACAGACGTTCCAAATTCCATCTATGTTGTGTTACGTCAGTAAGAAAGTGTTTACTTTGACCAGAATTTATAGTACGCTATTTTTAAATGTACCAGCATTTGCTCGGACATGAATTGATCAGAGATATAAAAACTTTATTACTAGTCAGCTTTGGTTGCTGTATATATACACATCTTATTATACATTGCATCCATTAAGTTGATAAGAATCATAATAAAATTGATCATTCCTTATAGGTACTAGAAAGCTGCAATAGCGTAGATTTGATATAATACTAAGGCAAGATTGCATATACACAAAGGAAGCATGACGAACACGTAATAATGCAAGCATGCTGATACCATAGAACAGATTATAGTTATCTTCGAATATAGAAGAGTTTTACCCCAGGCACCGAAATTTCTTTAGAACTGAGATCCTAGCTTGTTCACGTTAATTGATTAGTTTTGTAGAAGCAATAAAACAGCGAAGTTCTGCCAATCCCTTTCTTCGTTTCGCGCTGAAGAGATATAAATACAGTAATTTGAGTGTTAACTGTCTAATCTGATAAAATATATTTTCAAGGAATTACTAATGATTTTCGACCATCATTTGTATGATCAAATAAAATAATGGTAGAAATCGCAGATTATGTTAACAACAGTGCTCACAATTTGAGAGAGCAACTGTTATCTCTAGATATGGATACCTTTGTCACAATACGGACAGTCTATTTACCTGACAGGGAAAACTTGAGGTAAGCAGCAGTTTGTTTTATGAACAATCTCATAGACATCACTTAATAGCCTTAACATATTTCCTCTAGTAACACAGTCCACCTTCGTTAAAACGATCTGCAATAAAAATCCATTAATGGAGAGAAAATTGCGCGTTCAGCGAATCTGCCCCTATTATGGTATATTCTAACAGTAATCCAGTATAGGGGGCCTTCACAATATTTCAACATCACTATAACTTAAGCCTCAGTAGTAAATACTAACTGTTTTAATGACAATTTAAATGTCAGCTTACTTGATAGGACAAGCCATAATCTTCCATGACTGCTAAAGCTTCCAGGTCGTTACTTTTGAAGCCATGACGTGAATCAATTAGTAAGCAAGAATTACGGAGTCTATGGTAAATCACCAGAAGCAAAAAATAGAAAATCAGAAGTTGGAGCAAGTATTTAAATGTACACTAATACGCTAGATAGATTTGATAACTGCAGTAAGGCTATATACTGTAGGAGTAAGTGGTTGAGATGCAATATAGGAATGGTAAATTATCATTCTAAACACAGCATCGAAGTTAACGAGGATGCATTCTTGGATGGCAGTAATATTATAAGATCTTTACGTAATTGAAAGCTTACCTAGTACGGTTTACTGTGTAACGTTGTACTAGCTCTTCAAAATACTTAGGGCTTCTATAACCATAACCAGGCGTGTCAACCAGGAATAGCTTGTTGGCAATGCTGTAAAAATTAAGTAATCTTGTGTGTCCCTAAAAGTAAACGAACAAAAGGTTAGGTTGGAGAGAGCCTTTAAACCTCCGGTTCAAAGTTAGCGTATCTTACTGGTTTCTTGGAGGTTCTAGCGAACCTGTTGCCTCCACATGCTATCGCATTGATTAACGTGGATTTACCAGCATTACTACGTCCAATAAAGGCAATCTAATCCTCATTCATAGATTAATGACAATGCAAACATTATGAACCAGCTTAATACTCGTTATTTTGCATAAGCAATAATTAATTATCGAGCAATTACTTGAGATTAGATAGGAGTTTACATCAGATGTATCTTACAATTTAATGCCAGCTAGTTCGCATAATAAAGCGATAAAGTGGAGCATACTAGCTGCAGCTACAGTATACTGAATACATGTACTGCAAATATGAGTATCATCTTACGCAGTAGACGAATACTAAACTACAACTGTAAGTGCGTATACTCTCATACATTATACCTAACGTTAGTTTTCAGCTTACCTCTGGTAGTGCATAAGGCAACTAAGCTACAATTGTAAGTGCGTATAGTCTTGTACATTATACCAAAGGCTAGCTTTCAACTTACCTCTGGTAGTGTATACGGCAATCTATCCAATTGTTCGAATTCCATAACAGAAGTAACGAATTTATTATTTCCTTTTGTAAATAAGTTTTGTGCTTTAGTTAGTTCTTTTTGATTTGGCTCAAAGATAATAGGATAGCCCTCTAATAGATACGAATAAGAGTGCTTTGGATTAACATCTCTTTCACGAAAAGCATAGGACGAAGACCAACGGTATATCCATGGCAGATGTAATCGACGATCTAATCTATTGTTTAGATGATTTAGTTTATTAATAGTACTAGAAAAGGTTGATATTATCCTTTTAGTATTTCTAAAACTAAAGGGGGAGATGTAGATTGGCATACTCAGACATAACATTTCAATAGGATGATGGCAATTTTAATGTTTATTGGCAGGCTACTTTCCCTTTACTGACGGGCTGATCAATTATGCTCGTATAGGCAATAGTATACTGTACATAACTCGTATCAAGCTGTTGTCCACGAGCTGTATGAACTCTTACGCAAAGATCTAATTATAATCCTTCCGCCTTTCTTTCTGTGGCCTGCCGACATTTTAGGTCAATCCAGTATCCCATCAACAATCATGTCTCTGAATAATTGCATATGTTGTAGCTGGACAACTAAATGGAACTACAGTAGATATTTTTAGTAGTCCATGGTTATATAATTGAGTTATGGAAAAATCACGAAATGGTGATTAAATCGTATAAATTTATGACTTGATTATGTCATTGTACAGTGAAAAACGCAGCTTTGATTGATATAACTAATGAATGAAATTCGCGTAATACTCCTTTATTGACAGTGAAAAATTCTCGTAACTCGAAAAACATTTCTTGTCAGTCAAATTACATATTAACTAAATTGTGGATTATACTAGACATTATGGTAAATATCTTGGATATCATTTTGACCCAGCCACTTTTACAAATTAATGTTACTGTATATTAATTCGTCTTCTCCCATCACTTCTGGGATTGACTTGGAACATATCGAGATATATGCGCTGAAAAGGCTTATTACATGATGCGTTGCATGCACCAAATGATACATTAGAATAAGTGGCTAATTGGCATTGGAATGTAGAGAATGCATATAGATAAAATCATATTGTGTTGTTCTGACAAGATAGGCCTTACAAGTAAAAGTATATATGGAAACGTAACCACCTTGATACTTAGTTGTATTCGCACAGACGTACATGCAATAAGCATTCAATAAAGGAATTCCTACGCTATAATTTACTGCTAACGCGGTCATACTATTACAGTAGTATTGATCAATATATAAGTAGTAAAAATATACAAGTTACCGATGGCTAGAGACCTTTGCACTTTCCATTTGTATTACTGGTACTAGATCGATGTTACATCTAGATTACATTTATGCTTGATACTTGATACTGCCTTCATGTTAGTATTTTTCTGTTCTTTTTATGGCTATATCGAGTCAGACTGAATTTATTTTACTATTAGTAACAATCACTGTAAAATTTTGCAAATTACGGTAAGCCAATGGAATTATTCATTTGGGCTGCTGTAAATTAAATTTTTAATTTCCCTATATTTGCAGATTCGTTATCGACATGTATAGTACTCGTCGTGTAGATTGGCTAGCTCCCTTCCTAAGCATTTATCTTACTGTCGGTGTTTGTCTATCAGACGAAAATTCCGTGAATAATTATAAGTTTAGGACAGGTTTAAGTTTATATTCATTACAGTTTCTGAGAAGCAATTATAGTTTAAAGTAGCACATGTTTTGTTCTCCACGGTATTTTAGTTAACCATAATTCACAATATATAAAGCACTATAAGTTTACAAAACAATATCATGAACTAAAAGAACTTGTACAGTACCGCTATGATTTGGAATATCATTGCAGATTTGATAATATATTTCTGAACGTTGCACTTTAATAATAAAGAATCAGTAAGAGAAAGAAAAAGCAAAATCAGGCACGAGAGGGATTCGAACCCTCGATCTTCGGTTTACGAGACCGACGCCTTACCACTTGGCCACCGCGCCCCAGCAGAAGTACATAGTCAATTTTACGTATTTAACTAATACAATTGCAATTCGTGGCACTTTGCTATATAAAGAATCAATCAGAGTATAGCAGTACCAGTAGTTGTATAGAACCGAAAGTACTGAACAGAACACCGAAAACTGTGCTGTGATGACATCAATACTGTACTCTGTATACTGTACCGTACTGTATTGTACTGTTAGTACGATTTAGCAGGGTGATCGCAGAACAGGACTCATGGCTAGGTCAGAGTCTTTATCTTGTTAGAAGTCTCTGACCAGGTTTCACCGTAAGTAGCGCTTGAAGCATTTTGCGCACGCGTAAACTTCAAGATGGCTTCAGCAGGGTTATGGCCGTTGGAACAGTTGGAAAGTTTGCAAAAAAAAGGCCTCGAAGAGATGTTAATATTAATTTATTTGTATATTTATTATTGCTAAATGAAAAATAAGAATATTATAGCTAAATTTTTATGGTACTAAGGTTGTTACCTCATTATTTATTAATAAATAGTCTCGCTGAAGTCCACCAGTGTCAATCACCAAGTGATGATTTCGCGAGTGCAACTTCTCCAGGTGGAAAAGGTGATAAACGCTATTAAGATATGCTTTTACAATTATACATATAAATTCAAGCGTGTATTTTATACGTTTCACTACAGTCGATTATAGTAATACCTTTATTTTGATATTGAGCTCTATTATCACATGTGCTAACTGTTAACCAGTTAACATTTATATGGAAATCTATCATTTATGTAGACCTGAAATTGCTGCTGTATCATCTCTGTATCCTGGCCGTGCAGCAAAAAATCAACCAAGAAACAATTATTAGTTACTTTAAGGAGATACAGGTTCATAATAAATGATACCCCAACGTATACATTTCTAAAATTTTGATGGATTAAGCTAGTAATACGTAAGAGCTTAAAAATACCAGTATATACGAGCATACAGCCTACTTGGTATTGACGATTGCATGATGTTCATAGCTTGAATTAATTGTAGAGTAAAGTGTGTGTATTTTAGTATGATGCTGAATATTGAAATACATTAGCAACTAGACTTGTTATTTGATGAAATTGCTTGTTTTTACTAGAAAATTCGTCCCGATTTGAAAACCAAGTTAGCTGATGTGCTGTTCTTACTTGGTAGGTATTAAGCTTTTGATAGCTCGTATCCTTTCAATTTACTTTAGCATAGCTGAGGAGTGATTTAACCTTCTATCAGACTTGTAGTAGGGATTATTATAAGTATGTTAACTGACCTGACAATAATCACTTATAATATACTTATATAACATGATCATTTACTAGATCTGGAAACGGATGATAGGGAAATTAATAAAGAGAGTAATAAAGATTCCAATAGCGTAGAAGAGCTACAATCTTCTCGCCAACAATTCATAATATTTGCACGTTCATGTGTGGTAAGTAACCTAAACAGTCGTAATAAATAGGGAGTCATTGATTATGAATGTGATATTAGTATTCGATGTAATAAAAGAGAATAAACAATTCGTAAAATTCTAATTACAATTATTAAACATTAATTAAAGTCTGCTTGCCATTAATTGCAGGATATTATTGGGGAAGCGGTATTAAAGCAAAGATTGGAATTTGAAACATTAGAGTCGTTAGGTTTAATTACCTCTAGTAAAGCTTTTACTCAAAAATACGTCAAAATCAAGACGAAACTATTGTGAGTCTTTAATTAACTCCTTTACTGTTCTAACTGTGATGATTAACATACTGTACTCCTTTTGCATATTTTTAGTTATAAACAACAAAAATTTAATTTATTACGCGAAGAGAGTGAAGGCTATGCAAAATTAATCGTAGAATTGAATAAGGATATTAATGAAGCTAGCGATGCCCAAAAAGTGTTAGGAGTAATCAATTCTTTGATAGGTACAATATCTGATTATCTCATAATGTTATTAATTTGACATCCCCCGCGAATTAACGTTAAATTTTTTGACGTCTTATCACAGCGGAATTCGATTTAGATCCCAATCGCGTGATTGATTTTATATTGAATGCTTTCGAATTTCGACCACAACAGCCAAAGTTTTTTGTACAATTGATTAAATCGTATAACTGTGAATCGTCTACTTTATGTAGCACCCTTGGATTTAAGTTCAATTGCTTAAAGGTATTTACTAATAAATTGTTATGTTAAATTTCCAGAAGTTGGGTTGATTACTATCTTTTACTATTATTTATAGAAGGACTCTGGGTCAATTTCTAAGAATCTCTATTTCATAGCTGCAATTTTGATTCAAGAAGGACTGATTGCTGTAGAAGACCTATATCCACATGTTAGTTTAACATTCAAGTGAATGATTTACTTATTGAGTACTCTCGATACTGATAAGAAAATATTTTATGTCTTTGCCTTTGTTTATCATAAAGCTTGCGCCCGCTAATGACGAATTCGAAAAGGATTATAAACAAATGCTTGTCCAGGCGCGAAGTAACGCAAAGAAAGTTAATGTTGTGAATCCTAGTGTAAGGATAGTTTATTCCAACATTCTTAATGATTCTTACGTTTATACGATTGTATATATTTTAATTTTATGTTTTGATCATAAAGGATAAAGGCACAAGTATTGAACCCGAGATGACTAAAGATATCGAAGTTAGTTATGTAGAAGAATACACAAGCGCTGTACCTTTCAATTTTATCTAATGTAATATAATGCAACCTTCAGTATATTGATTCTTTTACACTTACAATATATATTTAATTAGGAGACTTTAAAAAATCAGAAGATTGGACTTTGTTTTGCCTTGCTGTCGCTATATGATTGGTCGCATTCTCGGTTTATCTTTAATCAGCTGCCTATGTACTCTGTAGCATCACATCAGTTAATTGCGGTTGCACTATGCAAAATTTTACATACCACTATAGACCCTATTTACAAGAAGTAAATGACGTCGATTGCTATTAATAATAACTCTGAAATGCATTGCAGATAAATAAATAGCATTTTACAATATTTAGGTTTGCGCCAAAGGCTGCTAACAGTCAGCTTTATTCACAAATAAAGAAGAATGGTGGCCCAGCTCGATGTGACAGTTTTACTGACTTAATGAATGATGTCCTTCCTATATGCTGTCACCTAGGGCCTTATATCTATGTCGACCAGATATTAATTATCAAACTAATTCGAATTGGCAAAGGCTATTTACTGGAGGTAAATGTTAACACTTAACTAAAATTCTTTATTCGCCTTTGCTAGTACTAATTTTTGCCTTACTTGCACAGTTTGCGTCATCGAACAATCAGAAGGTTAGAAACTTTATTGCTCATTTTAAAATTTACTGATTCAAATGTGAATATTTTCTGTTGAGATTAGGATTCAACACATTTAGGTGATCTTTTTAACAAATCCTGTTCATAATTTAGGATGCTCTGTGGGGTATGATGCTAGACCTGCTCAATGATTGTTTAATTCCATCTTTGTCTTTAACCGAGTGCAATGCCAGCTTGGGTGAAGAGTTATGGGATATGATCAAGATTTATCCGTATACCACTAGGTAGTATGTTAGCCATTGTGATCATTTGGTATGTTTTCCTGTCATTAATTGTTCTTGATTTGTAATCTGAAATTTTACTTCAAGGTACCACCTTTATTATCATTGGAAGGCCATAAGCTATAATAATCATAAAGATTTGCTTAAAGCTAAAACAAAAACGTTGGATAGTGCACGTTATATTATGAAGCGAATAACCAAAGAAAATGTTAAACCATCCGGCAGGCAACTCGGAAAACTAAGTCATAGTAATCCAGGAATTTTATTCGATTACGTATGTTTTTGATCGAAGGATTTTATGAATATTTAGAAATTTTCTTGCAATTTTATCATTTTGGTAAATGTACATATTGTTTTCTTTTCGAATTCTGTTATCCACTGAAGTTGCTTTCCCAAGTTCAGAAGTTTGACAATTTTATTGGGCCAGTAATTGACTCACTGAAATATCTGACATCACTTGCATATGATGTGTTAGCTCGTATCCAAAAACTTATTGATTTAGCGAATACTGATAGTATTATTACAAAATTACTTTCTTAATATGATGAAATTGCTACTTTTTACAACAAATTACGAGAAATTTAGTTCTTAACTTTAAGTTAAAAGACTGCATAATTGAGGCTCTGTCTAGCGCTAGTAAACAGCGATCAAAGCACGAAGAGTCTACTACATCAGAGTGGTTGCAAAGTTTAGCTACTTTTTGTGGGTTGGCATTCAAAAAGTATACTCCTGAAGTTACTGGATTATTACAATACATTACCAATCAGTTGAAAAATGAAAAAAGGTAATATTACACGTATATCTAAACTAGTGTCTAATATTCAGATTCGCTAAGTTTATGCAGTAACGATTATATTTGGCTATCAATTAGTTATGATTTACCAGTATTGCAAGAAATGATTACGAAAATGTCGGGTATAGAAATATCCGTAGAAATAACGCAAGATCAATTAGAGGCTCAATTCGGGGGTGATACTTTAGTTGCGGAAGGTAGCTTCTTTACCAATATTCGAAACGTCAAGAAATCATCCCAGCGTCTTCGCGATGCACTTCTTACTGAAAATTTAGCTGTACCACTTTGCTTGCTGTTGGGACAGCAAAGAGAGAAAATTATATTCGATAGTAGTAATGATATTCACATCAAGCTTATTGGGAAGTTATATGATCAGGTAAGTAGCTTGAATGAATATTTAGTTTACGATTCCTAATTAGGTGTATATTAAGCTTTGAACTCGTGAGTGATTTGAGTTTTTATAATCTTAGTGCCAGGATGCATTAATTCAATTTGGATGGTTTCTGGCTAATCAACTTCATATTGAAGATTATCGAAAACACCTTCCACCAATTAATATACTGCAACGAGAATATTGTATGAAACCGGATATAGCGTTTTTCTTCTCTCGGCCTATGTTTCATTACGCCATTCAGGTCTAGTTTAAATCTATTCTTCATTGTGGAAACATAATGTAACCATTTAGAGTTCTTAGATTTATGATTTTAAATAATCTTATGCATGAACAGCGTGTGTACCCGATATGTTATAGCTCATTTTGATGTCTTTGTTACATTTTCATTTAGTTGAAGTACGAAAAGCTCAATGAAAAGGGCAATGACAAAGAGCGGAACGTTGAAGCGGTTGGTATCTTAGAATTTTAAATCCTTTATTATCATTAATGGGAAGACTATCTGCCGGTAATTGTGTTGAATAACAACCCAATTTATTTATATATGTATGTTATATAAATAGTATATAAAAGCAAGTGAGTCTTACATGGGAGAACTAATCGAAAGTGCTAATAGTATGTTGCCTGCATCAACTTGGAATGACATTAGGTTGGCTTTCTTCTGTAAAATTGATGCGATTTGTAACGAATATTGTTGATCTAAAATTTTAATTTAATGTTACCGTATTCTGCTGATTAATTAGCATTCAGCTATATGTTACCTTCTGGTCATTGTCTATGTATGACATATATACACCTACTGCGCGTTATGAATCAGAGATTAATAAACTCACTCTGGCTATTAATTCGATCGATGTGGAAAATGTGAGTGTTTAATATCATTAATACTTGGCTAAATGCAAAGCGAAATAATCAACTTGTGGTCAGAATTTTGGACATCATTAACTTATAGATATTTATTCTTCAAAGATTGCTCCTAGTAAACGAAAGAAAGAAAAAGAAAGACTGACGAATTTAATGGAGAAGCTCAGAACAGAAGAAAAGAAGCAAAAAGAGCACACCGAACGTGTAAAAGTGCGTCTAAGCCGTGAAAAGGATACGTGGTTTCCGTTGAGTAAGATTATATAGATATTGATTATCAATTGAATTTATTAGTTTAATTTAGAATATAGTAGCCTTTGACTGATATGCAAGTACAATTTGGAATATTTAATTAATTTTAAGGAACATCAAAGAAAGATTTGCGCGTTCTTTGCTTCCTACAAACATGCATATTCCCACGTGGATGCTTTTCTGAAGCTGATGCTGTTTATTGTGCAAAATTTATTTTTCTCGTCCACAGTCTTAAATCTCCGAATTTTTCTACGCTACTGTTATTTGATAAAGTAAGATATTGATCACTTACATGGAATGTATCGTTTACGTAAGCAACAGTGGATCACTAAACTAACAACTACTGTATATCCGTATAGCTATTTTCAGATATCTCTTATATCGTATCATGCTTAACAGAAAATGAAGCGCATCATTATGGTATTGACGTTCCGTTAACTGATGATTTTGCTTATTTTCGTTGTGTTATATATTTATATGATATTAACAGTTTACAAATTATATTTATTTGTCTATGGCAGGCCGCTTTCTGTGTTGTATGCTAGAAACGATTGATAAATGGCATCGAAGTAAAGAAAAATATGATAAGGTATGTACAAAGCGGTTTAATTTGGACTAAGGATTCTTTACCCTAAAATCCCTGTTATCCATTTTTTTTTATGTGATGTTAGGAATGCAGTAATTACCCTGGATTTGCTACAATTATTCGTAAAAATGAAACTAGTCAATCGGATACAAATAAATCGAATCAGCTAGAATTCGAAGACTATCGACGTGTCTGTCGCAAATGGCATTACAAACTCACTCGGGTATGTCTATTTAAACTTCAGCTATATACTGTAGCGAGTGCAATAGTTATTCAGACTTTGTTATGAGCTTTATATTGACATGACTTTATTCTACGACATTTTCTTATAGGCATTTGCGTCATGTTTAGTTTCGGAAGAGTATATTCAAATAAGAAATGCTCTAATAATTATGACAAAGGTATTATCTTGGTTAATAGTGTAGCTATCAACCGATATAGTGAACTAATTTAAACAAATATTGAAATTTCATAGATTGTGCAGTACTTTCCTGTTATCGATAATCTTGGTAAAGCATTGAAAACTCGGCTAGACAAGCTTCAGAAGGATGAGAAAGATAAGAGGCCCGATCTATACGCTCTCGCTACTGGGTTAAATATGATACTTAAATTACTAATAACATAGTCATGAAGCCGATAATGTATTATTAATACGCTTACTAAAACAAAACTTACTTAATGACAGTATTTATCTGGGTATTTACTATTAGTTATGCTGGAAGATTTTTAAGTAAGGTGTCACAATTGATTCCGGAGGAAAAATTCTATGTCAAGGTTAGCTTTTATTCATATTGAAATGCCGCTTAAACTGGGTTAGACTTAATTAAATTGGGTATTATCTCGTTTGAATTTAGGAGGTGACTGTAAAGTCCCAAAGTAGTAAGTTTCATGTTTTTTTATATACGTTTAGTAAATCTACTGATTTGTCTAAACGTCATGAAATGTATGGAGAAATATTGTATATTAACCGTCACAGTGGTTGTTTTAGTGTAACGTTTATGCACTTCATTGGTATAGGTAAGTCAGCTTCATCAAGTAGCAGCAGCATTGAGATAGCGAAACCTAAGGCGTCTAATAAGCCATCGGAGCATCCTACTAGTGCGGATTCGAATGTCAATTCTACTAGCAACAACGATCAAACGTTAGTCAAAGCTGTTGCGACGGGATCTAAGAAGTTAAAGAAAGAAGCGACTAATCCCGACTTAGCAAGCAATAAGAAAGAGGCCTCTGTCTCAAAAAATTCATCAAGGTGATATGTCAAACATATTTTATTTAGATAAATAAATATTGGACTGTTGTTTCTTATATGTTAAAAATTTTAATAATAGTACATCATCGCAAGATAGCAAAAAATCAAAGGAGCATGTTAAACAATCTGATGGTCGAAAGTCTAAACAATCTTCGCCATTAACAGAAGGTGAAAGAGCAATATGTAGCATTGGACTACAAAATTTTTTATTTGAAAATAAAATCGAATATAGTGTTAATGGCGTTTATTGCTTTACAATCTATCCTATGCAGAAGTAAGTAAGAGACGTAAAGTACAAGAAGAGCCTAGTCCTGTGGAAGTTATTAAAAGAGAAAAGGTGTACTGTCGTGTGTTAAGTGCAAAATCGAAAGCGTTTAACCACTTTTCGATTGAATCGATTGGCTTAATGGTTATTGTCTTTATATAGCACGAGAAAGGAAAAGAAAAGGAAAAAGATAAGAGCAGAGTGGAAAGGAAACGGGTCTGTTTTATTTTATGCAATGCGTAGTAGCGGTGTTATATTGTTTTTATTGATGGTGCGCTGTATGACTCTGACTATACACTAAAAAACTTGGATAAAGGGTAACACGTAATCTGCATGAATTAATTTTGTAGGAACGACCACCGGATACGGAGATTGTCATTCAGAAAGAATCCAAGAGGCACCGTGATGAAGAAGCTACAGATAAAGGTGTGATACTAAAATCGATAGAATTCTCATCAAGAGCTTATTTAATACCAAATATTGTTCAGATATTTTATCAATCTACGTTTGTAATAATAGTATCTGGTACACCGAGTACGTCATCGAAAAGCCTCAGAAGTAATGTCGAAACCACAAAAGTGCACAAAGTACGCATGACTTGTACAGTAGTTATGTTTTTGCTTGCTAATTACACAAATCGTAATGTAGGGTATTTCCGTACTGATCAAGTGTCAAGTTAATACGTTATCGATTTTTTAATTTGAAGGAAAAAAGTAAAGGCGTAAAAAGTAGCCATAAAACTGATACAGCTAAAGCCAACATAAGAGGGTCACGGTCAAGCTCGCCGGCTAGTAACAGTAGCTCTAAAAGGGTAGGTTATAATTGAGATTTAAGGTATTATTACTCAAAATATGAGCTAGCCTTATGTACGCTTAATATTTCTTTACAGAAAGAAAAAGATAGCTATGAACGCGGACGATCACCTAGTCATAATGTGCGTCGAGAGCCTAGAGATGACCAAAAAAGTGGGAGAAAACAATATCTTTTTATTACGTTTGGGTTTTTAACTAACCCTTAGGATAAAATAAGTACTCGATATTATTTTTATTAGATAACAGGAAATGTCATTAACTTACTATTAACAAAAGCGGAAAAGCTGTAACGAAGTTTAATTTTTAAATTGGACAAAAATCAGCAATAATTCTTTAACAGTTTATAATCATAGTTATGCGTTTGGTAGAAAATAAGCCTGGTTCCGAACAATTAACTAATTTCAACGAGGTTGTAACTTATTAGATCATTTTTATTATAAAATCGTAACATCTTATTTAAATTTACTGCGATCTCAATTCGAACCACTTTTCGATTTTCAATGCTAGGTATTATAGTAGCAATTTTGTAAATTAAAGGAGTATAAATACTTACTGCTTGGTAGTAGTCAGAGAGTAAAGCAATTAAGTGTTGTGTTGTAGCATGAATATGCCTATTTAGTATAGCATAACTGCTTAATCAAGTTTTAGCCAAGTGATAACCCGTCAAATGATTATTTTCTATTTCAGGTTGGTCATATATGGGATCGCTGTCGGTAATGATTTATTTCTTGGTAGTTCTTATGAAGCTTTGTATCATTTGTAATTTATGATGTCATTGCCGTTGTGGATTTTAGACCTGATTAATTAACGACTATAGTTCACTACATTCATGGTGCTATAACGTCAACTGCAGTTGTTGTAATCAACAAATATTGTTCATACGTATGTTTCTATACCCTTGTCTTTACTATCACGCGTGCACGTAGATGCTTGCGTATGCGTTGGAATTATGTATTAATAGGCCTTTATCTGGTGCAGTTTGTAAAAAGTAGCTATTGCGGTTGATGATACAAGCAATAATTGCCTTTATTGAGATAGTTGGTATGCAGTCTTGCTGCCTTTGTATCTAGGAGGGCCCCCAATTTTTTTAAATAAAAAATGTGTACTTGCCTTGTAAAATTGAATAATTTGTTTAGCTATGAAACCTTAATCTGATATGATTGTAGTATTTATTATTAGATGGAGCAAATTGAAAATTGCACTGGTTTGTTCAGGAAAGTTGATTAATCATTATAATTGATTGGCGAAGTACTGTACATAGAAATGTGGTCATGGGAGTACGCGTCCAAGACGTAGGGGTGGGCCTACGTGCTAATTGTTGACTGGCTTTGCCTTAACGTTCATGTTATATAGTATTCAAGTAAACAGTAGTTAAGAGATAATAATAAGAGACTGAAGAAAAAGAGATGACCCTGTACTGTATGCATCGTCGCTATTCACTAACTAACCGTACACGTAGTAAAGGAAGACCAGGGAATAAGGTGGCCGCGGCTAAAATTCCGCATGGATATACATTACTTTGGATTCTACTGTAGTACAATATATAAGTGCACTATCTTGGGTAGATTGAAGTACTGTAAACGACTTTGTACTGACAGATTAAGCTATATTATAACGTAACGTAGACGGTATTAAAATTGCTACAGTACAGTGCCAAATTGGATTGAATTAGATTGTTAATTCTAGTTCAATATCAGACGTTATTCCTAGTAAAACGTTGGGTATATTATGTAATCTTGTATAACGATATTTGCATGGGTCACCGGAGGAAAACCTAGGTATTCTTCTACATGCTTCCGTCCAGTATTATGCGATATCGCATGATACGGAATTGGCTAAGCATGGCTTTTTTTAGCATTGTCCATTCTGGTCGGGCCTAGTGTACAAAGTTGTAGTCAGTCTTAAGCAAGGAATGTCCATGGGAATCTCTCAAACTCTCAAGATTTGCCCTGACGGCAACTTTCACCATGCTTAATTAATTAATAATAATATATATAATTTATTTAATATACAGGTATTCTGTTTTCTCGCTGCCGACTCGATAACTGGATATTATGAGATTTTCCGATTTCGACAGATAGACAGACAGATGTCATCGATCGCGGGCAGTACACTTAATCCACTAATCCAGTACAAAAGCAAATACAGTACAGTACAGTACGTACAGTGAGCTTTGCACGGTGAGCGTTGGTACTGTACTGTAGCGTATTCGTCGTGACTCAGCTGAATACAGTACAGTACAAGTACTGCTAGACTACAGTACAGTACTGTACTGTAGAGACCGTTAGGGTCTCCAGGCTACAGTCTATCTGTACAGTACTGTACTGTAACTGTACTGTACTGTCAACGCATTCATCAAGCTGAGTTTGAATTTTAGGCAGAAACAAGAGGAGAAGCCAAGGCAATTTGTTTGGGATTAAATTGATTAAATCGGAGCGGTACAACTTCATTTTGAGCGGATAGATCGTTTTAGGTTATCCTACCATGACCTATTTCAATTTTAGTTACGTTGAACGTATTGCTCTAGATTGATAGCTTAATGATGAAGTAGATGCAATCTATTTTGATATTTTGGACCAATCGACAGCCAACAAGAAATGGACGAATCGGAAAGGCAACGAGATATTTGTAATTCTTATATGTCGACGTTAACTGAGTTAACGAATAATTCCAAACCCGTGATTAATGTGTTAACGATCTTGGCGGATGAAAATAAGGAATTTGCTACTCATATTGTACGAATTTTGGAAGGAAGATTGCGAGAAGTAAGTTGTAGGATTGTATAGACGCTAGTTGCTCTTCCTTGATATGCTAGAGGATACTGCAGTTAAGCGAAAATACTGTACTCATCTCTATTGTATAGGTTACTGTATTAGTATTATGCGTACGTTGAGTTTGAAAGTAACGTCGGCTTCTTGTTGAAATTTTCAATGAAATGGATAGTATGCATGCAAGAATGGTTGATTGATATTACTACATATAGAAGGCCTAAGGTCATCTATCCAAGCTTTTCTTACGATACATAGAGAGACTACCTACTCAATATATGTATCTTGGATTACATTAGCCTTGTTCACTAGACTCAAGTTACATTTTGACCCAGATGACGATGGCCTACATGGAACTAAAACGACGTCCATCGGCTTTCCTTGCAATAGGAGTCTTTTGAGCTATTTGGGACTACGTGCGCTTACAACAGTAGCATTTTTCTTTACACAAACCAACCCATCGCTTAATTATACCTCCATATTATCTGAATGGATTGTTCTTTTATCCATTTTTAATATCCTAGTAGTCATATACATTTTTGAATTCATTTCCGAAATGTCTATCGACGCGTTATTGCCATTTGTCTATGAGAAAAAATGGCAACGAATTCATGATACAAATGCTTCATACAATATTGTACTGTAGAAAATGATATTTTACTGTTGTACCAAGCTGTGCCGTAAACTCTAGTCTAACTGTTGATACTGCAGCCAAAGACGCTTTATGCTGTCACTGTAGGGCTAACACCATCATTTTTGTCACCTGCTCAACACTACTTCAATGTGATTTTAATTAATTCAATTCATATAATTACTTAGCCCTTGTTCTCATTGGAGAAGTCCTTGTTGATATTCCCCATCTCTTACCCAATGGTACTATCAAGGAATACACACGCACAAGTTGGCAGAATAGTAGCTCTTGCCACTGTCCACCATGACCTAGGCAGTGTTAATTTTGATGAATATTCAATTCTTCCTTACAGTTATTGAACAGCAATGATTCACTGCTATCAAGACGCTTAAACAAGGCTTCACTTTTTACCCGCCATTTTAAACCTATCCCTACAAGTTGGATTGCGGCCAGTGTGCAGTGTGCGTTCAAACGCATACTGTACTGTATAGTACTGTACACTGACTACAGTACTAAACCTGTAGTGTATAGTAAACTACTTGAATACACATGTTATTATGCGAAAGGCGAAGTTGCGCCATTAGTAGAAATAGAAGGCAAAATTCCAATCGACTGCTCTACCAGTCTTATTAAAATGAAGACAGTAATATAATAATAATATGCACTACGATGGTACTTTTAAATCTCACAATTGGAGGATCAAAAGTGAAATGAAATGGGCATGATCCGCTTATTTTCTGATAGTCCATAACGAGGCAGATCTTCCTAGATTATAAAGTCTTGGTTGTTCCATGACATATGTATGCACTCTATGCCATGTTAATCGGAAAAAGTGACATGATCGTAGCATACGGTTATGCGTATATTCATAGCTGCCACTCGTATACTATTGTTAGTCATGGCGTCCATTTTTACTTCAGAGTCAAATTAAGGCCACACTCTTCCATAAGTCGGAAACCATTCTCTACTGCCACAAGGGCTATTGTGACCATACAAGTAAACAATACTGTACAGGAATAGGATTGAATAGCGCGTTGGTCTAAGGGCATTAGGGTTGGCCAATTTCAGGTTTTGACCGTATAACTTACACAAAATACAAGATAGGCTAGGATATCACAGCGGCTAACGATACCTAAGTCATACTCTGATGCACAAGTTTCTTTTTACAATGATCGGCAATATTGTTTATAGTAGTCAATGCTGTATTGACAAGTCGAAATGTAGTAGTAAAGTTTTGATCAAGTAGCGTTGGAGAATGTGAATCTAGTTTAAAAATGGAATAGGTACAGCATTTTGCTACCATAAAATGACTCATCTCTTCCAATTGGTAAACTAATCTATTTGCAATAACTTAAACATCATCTTTGGTTTATAACCGCTTTTTAGGTCAACATCGAGATGAAACTTCCTGTACTTTATTTGATCGATTCTATTGTAAAAAATATTGGTGGACAGTATCGCGAACTTTTCACTCAAAATTTAGTATCCAATTTTTTCCATGTCTTCAACCAGGTACTATGGTGATAATCATTGATTTAATTTCATTTTAGTCAATGAGTACTTCATTGTCGAGGATTCTATAACAGAAACTTTCAGTAACACCTAATCATTGCATTTTATTACATATGTGTATAGGCTAATGATAAAGTTAAGCATAGCTTATGCAAATTAAGAAATACTTGGGAAGGCGTATTCCCACCTAAGAAATTAAAAGCTTTAGACAATAAAATGCGTGAACCTGATCGCAAATCGCCTTCTCCACCTAAAAATATTCACGTTAATCCGCGATTTATAGAGGTAATTAGCGTTTGCTTTACCTTCAATCTATTTCCCTATACGTTTATTACTGTTACTACTTGTTTATTGCATGTATTTGACACTTGAAATTTTATATGGTTATTATTACATATATAGTTATATATCTTGTACCTCCCGTTACAGTACTTAGCTGATTTTTTTATACATGGTGTTAAAAAGATTGTATATCAGATTAGAAAAAAATTTTGGATAATATTTTAAGGGTATTCAACTCAGAATGTAATTCAATAGAACTATTATTTTCTTTGTAGCAAATGCTAACTCGCTATGTATTATGCAGATAAGAGTAATAGTGTATGAGAGTAGGAGTCATTTGTATATCCTATTATCGATATTACTCCTATAGTAGCTTATACTTTGTAATTCCTGTAGTTTCTGTAGTTCTTAAAGTAAAACCTGAACTTGGAGTTACTTAAAATCTTAAAAATAGTACGTTGCGTATACAATATATATATAATCCATAAATAGCTTTATTATTTATACTCTACCAGTCGGTGTTAGTTTAGTTTAATGTTGTTTAACTTAGATCCTCTTTCGGAGTATTAATTCTAATCTTAGATGAGAATATACAGTACAATGCATTGTTGTATTTTCCTACATGGATCAGAATAAGTAATCGTGACAATCTCAAGGTGCAATTCTTTCTCCAATGTCACCTTTAGAGAGAGTATATCTTTTCGGTATATATTTTTTCTCGCACTGAATGAGTTAATTAAAAATAAAGCGCTTTAGAACTACTGAATTTTGAGAAGAGATGGTTACTAGCCTTATTGAACCCTTATATAACTATTTAAATCTAGTACCGCCATCCTGCTCCTCGGTCGGAATTTAGACCTAGACCTTACAATGATTTTCGAATGGATCGTCCCATGTATGATGCGGAAGATGGGCATAGACACCCTCGAGATGTCTACGGACCTCCTCACGAATTTATGGGACGGCCACGAGGATTGATTGATGATTGGAGACCACCGGGTCCTCAACATCCTGAGATATTTCGTCCACCCCGTCCAGTTATGGACTGGCCTGAGCAAAGACCTCGCTTTAACTCTGGTCCTCCACGCCCCTACAAGGCTCCTCGTAAACGTAAAGAGGAAGACCCTAGGATTGATCCTCACAGTAGAGAAAAACGTGGCAGGCATCGTGCTACAGGTAGTTTTAAGATGAAACTGATAGTTAAAACTGTAATTAACATCCTGTACTTCACTATTTGCAAATTAGTATCAACGGAAATACCCAAGGTTGTAAAGCCAACCGAATCCCTAAAGCGCAATAAAAATCAACAAAAGAAATTAGCTCATAATACATCAACTCAACAATCGAAAGTAGGAACTATCAATAAAGGTATTATTTTCTTTCTTGAAAGATAATAGTATAATTGATTATACATTTATTATAGGACTTGGCGTGTTATTGATTTTAGTGTGGCTAGATGTATCAATAGTAGAATACGATAAATATAATACGAAAGCTGTTTTTACGTCAAATCTACCAAAATATTTTCATCGATATAGACAAGGATGAAGCCCAAGATATCCAGAGCCTTCTGCAAAATTTAATAAAAAATGGAATATTACCAAGTGGCGAAAGTCCAAGCCCTATATCTAACGTTATTCCTCAGTTATCTTTAAAGGAAGAAGATTTAAAAAAGTGATGAGTATTAACAGTTGTGATATTGGTTTAAGTTAATTATTTCTTTTATATCTTAAATGTTCCTTTTTTGTTTAATTAGAAATTACGTAGGCGTAATAGAAAAATTATATAAGAAAAAGCAGTGTTCTATGTGTGGAGATAGATTTAGTAGCGATGGTGCTAGGAGTGATTATAGCAATCATTTAGATTGGCACTTTCGATATAATAGTCGAAGGAATGATTCTAAAAGAAATCGATCAAGACCATGGTATTTCTTACTAGAAGTGAGTCGTTGAGAATTTTGCATAATCTAATTTGTTTATTGAATGTAATAACGCTGTAAAATTACTCACAGGATTGGACTACATGTGAGGATTTAGACGATCCTGATAAGGGAGGTATGATGATGAAATTTCATATTTTAACTGATATTTCTTAAAATTGGTATTTATTACTAAGAATCTGCCGCTTTGCGCAATCGAAATTGGATTTTTAACGTAGCATTTAGTAAACTTTTTGAAGATGCAAAAATGAATGAATCAAGCGATGAAAAGATTTTAGAATCACTTCAGTGTAATTTAATACCGAACAGTGAGGATCAGGTTTGTATGTAGATCAGTGTTAGATGTGATAGTATTCGATATAGTAAAACGAAGGTAATATCGCTTCATTTTTTACTGACTGTATTTTACGATAGGTTTGTGCTCTTTGTCACGAAGCATTTACTGACAAATTCTGGGAAGAGAACGACGAGGAGTGGCATTTTAGAAATGCGAAACTGGTTGATGGAAAGGTATGATTAAGTAGTGGATCTATTTAGTCCTTCGTAATATACATGACCAACTATAATATAATGCTATATATATATATTTTTACTTAGGCTTATCATGCATCTTGTTACGATGACGCAATCGGAGTAAGTCGAGTAATTAATTTTGGATATACCTTATGGTCTAACTTAAGTGAGATTTTTCGACTTCAAACTCTCTAATAAATGCTTTAAAAATTTTTCTATAGAATCCCTTGCTTGATGTTGATAGTAATAGTATTACAAAGAAGTTAAATGAAGATACTAATGCGGATGATATTTATGATGACAAAACACAATGTAAAGAAGGAAATAAAACGGGTTCTTTAGAACAAACTGAGCAAACCTGATATCACCGATTGTACCGAAAAGCGTGATAGTAAGACTAGAAATTTTTAAATTATATATGCTGTGGTGCGGTCGTAATCTAATGAGCTTGTGCGAAGAGGTAGTTATAAACTGAGAATTGAATGCCAAATTTATCCCGTTTGGACGTGTTTGCCTAGTTGACACCATCAGCAACTGATATATTAGAAATATAAGGCAACATAATCCTATTACAGTATGAAAAAAGGATTTAAAGTATTATTTCTATTTTTCTATCGTGACTGTTAGTCACTAGTGCAATTCATCAGTTGCTTATATGTAAATGTGGTAAGATATTTCAATTTCTAGTTCCATCATATCAAAGATAATAATACAGTGATAATGTATATGAAAGTGAATGATAACGTTATTCCTGTGCAAAAATCCCTTAAACTTCGTGCAGATCGTTTGAGATTATGTGTCTTACTCGTACTGTAAAAACTGCAAAAGGTCGTCTTCTTAAATAAAAGCAAGCAACAGATGAACTTAGGTTCAATTAATTATTTTAATATTCTTATGTTGTGATCCTTATGGTCTTTGTGTTCTCCTAATTATATTGATCATTTATTAGTTACGAAGCACAGTACATGCATAATGAGGTATGCAACGCATGGTTTTTCGTAACAACAATTATAATACGATTTCCAGATATACATCTTGATTTGTTATTTTGTAGGCATTTGTTATTTAATTTGTGATAGCTTAAAGGGAATAGAGAAGATAAAATTATATGATTATTTTAATTACTACCAATAGCAACGATATTATTACTGATAGCGCGATTATAATACACCTACGATTAGTTTAGGTATGAATTGTATTGGCAATGTAACTCAATTAACAGTAAAAAATAAAATCGAAATATCTCATATCATCGGGTGTTATCTGTTATTGATTTTTGACATCAAATTCTTGATTTATACAACATGCTTTTTTGTAAAACCTCTATAGCAATTTTCTTTGGAGTACTGCTGAGTAGAAACTGAAACTGTTTCAATTCGATTTATTTGTGCCATACTATGTATGTAAATCGTAAACCATGGTAACACTAAGCGTAAATAAGTTTAGGGATAATAAAAACAGTAATGCGCATAAAGCAAAAGTTGTATACTTACTACAAAAGACAAAGTTTTACCGATTGCAACGCGTTAACATATACGTTATATCACAGTAAACGACTGAACCATAAAGACTTGATCAAATAAAATAGTAATAAATGCAATCAGTAGTTTACAACTACAGTAGTACAGTATCTTACAGATTTAAGGTATGCGAATATCTTGGGTGAATTAAATTTCCAACTCTGTGTACCATGATCGATGTAATGCATGCCATATGTATATAGCAATAATAATGTATAATTTCGTAATCACTTTCATTAATGCAAAAGTATCGTATTTAACCAGTTAGCCTTATCAGGTTGCTGCTATAATTTAAAGTTGTGAAATGATTTCAGTTTACAATTTGAGTACTTTGGTTGAAATGATTTCAGTTTACGATTTGAGTACTTTGGTAGTACTGCCCAATGTACTACACTATCTGTCTATAATATGACACAAGTACATAATACCTGTAACAATATAATACAGGTGATACTAATTTAATTAATTAGAGCACGATAAGTACTGTAAACCGCATAAGCACAAGATCTTGCTCAGGTTGAGGCTTAATTCAATCACAATACTGAAGAATAGTACATGTAGATTATTCCTTGTGATAGATAAGGTGTATAGTAGATGGAATTTGTTGATATACGCCATATACGTCCGTATGTATGCAATAGGTTTATTAGTTGATCTTATCCAGTTTACTTCACTCACTTTATACACATATTAGTACGGCATGGCTTCTATTTATTAGGAAGACATACTAGTAGATGTACAATGCCTTTAAGGGCATATTCTGTAATATTCTGTTACGTTAGTAAATTTGAAATCAAAAACTAGGATTAATCCTTTTTTTAGATATTATTGCTCGAAAAATCAACCGCTAACATCAAAAACTAAATCATCTTCAACAACTTGAAAGGTAATTTTATGTTTAATTTGCATGATAATAGTTAATTAGCTGTAATATCTCAGTGACGAGTAGAGATATGATATACTGCACAATCTAACGGTATGATTCTATATGAATTATAATTATTAATTATCAAATAAGCTTTGCAGTTGCTATCACGTTCAATTTAGCTATATCTGATAAAGAAGAAAATTAATCTATAGTCACATAGAGTACTTATTTGATATAAATGACAGAGAAAACACGAGTAACTGGTTAGTTAACACATACGAAACCATGATATCGCACACACTATCTACAAAATAACTTGCTAATCATCGGTAATATTATTTAATTTTCGTGTGAAGCTTGGTTGTAAGTGTGGGATGCTGGACAGCACGTATTTGCTGGGATAAAGTGATCAGATATAGAGATGATTACACAGTCATCAGTTAAATACACTTTCTTTAGCATTGGATAATACACTAAATTATCGTTATTACCTGAGTTGTATTTTAATTACAGTAAAAGCATTATTCTAGTTGATGATCGGCTATAGATGAGGTAAATTAATCGAACAAATGCCTTTACGATGAGGAGGGTGTAATCTGCGAATTTTGGGATGCTTTGATGAAATAAAGCAACCCGATGATGCAGTAATCCAGCGGGCACATTCCACTTTTAATTTAACTTTCAAGGTATCATTATTATTCATTAACAACACCACGTGGAAAGAATTGCTTCAGTAAAGACCCTGCTGGCCATGTGGTCATCCATTCATCGTAAAAACTATAACTATGGCTCATATCGTTGGTTGCTGTTGTTGGATTGGCCGTATCTACAAATGATAACGATACAATTGAAGAGTTTTGATATACGGTATCCATGGTTATTCAGGCTCATCGATCATCAGGTTAAAAAATAAAAATGTTTAGGTGTTGGATAATGTGCTACCACATTGTTAGGATCAAGTAAATCTGCATTCTTACCCTGTTGTTGTTGAGGTGATGGCGGCTGTTGTTGTTGCTCTTGTTCTTGTTGTTGCTGCTGTAATTGCTCTTGCAATTGCAGTTGTAATTGTTGCTGTTGTAATTGCTGTTGTAACTGTTGCTGTTGTAGTCGTAATTGTTCCTCAACTGATTGCTCGATTTGCTGTTCTGGTGTTAACGGTTCAAGTTGTGAAGTTTCTGATGATAATTGCCTTGCTAGCAGTTGTGGCGAAAGATCACCACCAAAGTCGGAATGAGAATGAAAGACACCATCCGCAATGGTACGGTGGCCCAATTCTTTAATATGATAATGTTGATCAATTAATCCCAAACTTGGCATGGTCGATGTACTATTGGTAACGCTAGTACCAGTATAAAATTGTTGAGCAGATCCGTGAAGGTGATGATGATGATGATGATGATGATATTGCTGTTGCTGTTGGAAAAGATTTAATAGATGATGTCGTCGCTGTTCTGGTTGGTTTGTATCATCAGTTGCAATGGTAATTGTAGACGGAGCTATACTTGAATCTTCCATTCTATCATTAGGTGGCAAACTTTCACTCATATTAATGGTAGTATCGTTGTGATTTTCAGTAATAATTTCTGGATTTTGACGTAATGTTTTATTCAAGATTTCTTTCTCTAGTTCATCGACCAATCGCTGATGTTCACTATCTGGCGTTGTTGGGAATAATAAACTATCGTTAGCTTCATAAGAAGTTAGTCGTGCCGGGAAATTATTCTTCATAAAGGTGGCCATTGAAGCTGCTTCCTCTCGTGTTACCTCTATGTGAAGTAATTGGTCGACTTTTTTGGATAGTAAGCTCATTTGTTGCTGGACTTCGCTATCGTTACTACTGTCCGACACAGTTAACGTTTTAGCTTTTTTCTTGGCTTTATTAGCATAATAGCGATCATAAATATTTTCAACTTCTTGTCCACGCAGGATTGACTTTTTATAATAGGCCATAGCAGTCTGTAAACTAGCACCAACACCATAGCCATAATGGTACATAACGCCAACATGATAGAAATGGCGTGCACGTACCCCTTGATAGTGTTTTTCAATGTTAGCTAAATATGATTGGTAGGCTAATTTAAAATACCGATCAGCTTTATCTTCATCATGTAGATGTCGATATTGACAATTGCGATAAATTTTCCCTAGGCGAAATTGTGCATGAGCGATAGTGGCCGCACTTACATCTTGCCCACGAAGGACACGTTGATAAAAATCAACTGCAATATCGATATTACTGGTTGGTAGAGCATTTTTTTCAATTAATTTAGCTAAATCAATGTAGGATGGATAATCTTGTAATTTAGCAGCAGTTGTAAAATAATGGCCAGCAACGTGGAGATTAGCAGGTAAACCAATACCATGCTTAATTAAAAACCCCAAAACTTGAAATGCTAAACTATTACCATTACTATAGCCGACAAAATCTGTTGCAACCGTAGCTAACTGGAAGCATTCCACTGCTTTATCGACACTTTTTTCAACACCTCCTTTACCGTTTAAATAATACCAACCTAGCCAGAAAAGCGTTGTAGCATAGGCATAAGTTTGGCATGATTCAAAGTAATAATCATAACCTGTTCGCGTCATATTATTACGAACAGGTTGATGCTCATTAAGGTAATTATCGTAGCGTGAAGCAATTAATAATTGCGCTCGTGGATGGCCGCCTTCAGCCGATTTTCGGATAAGGTAATTTTTAATTTTTTGACTTTTGCGTACACCTAAACCGTTTTGATACATACGGCATGCTATATTATAGTAGCCAGCAGGATTGCCTAAATCGCCAGCAATTTTAAAATATTTGATTGCTCTACGATAGTCTCGATCGTCCTTAGACCAGTTCATTTTAACCAGGAGATAACCTAATTCGTTGTAAATTTGGCTCATTTCTTCATTTTTTTCATTTTGCTTAGGTTCTTGACTGCCATTACCGCTATCATTGGTATTATTATTATTGTTGGCAGTTGTTGCAGAGTTACCATTGCTACTATTATCGTTGTGATCACTAGAATTACTGTTCTGCTGATTTGGAGGATTGGTAATTGTCGAGGAAGTTACGCGTGTAACTGTTGTAGATAGACTTTTGGCATATTCCTCGATAAGTGATTCATGATGACGTTTTAAATTATCAACAGCTTCTCGCCAAATTCGTGATCGTTTAAAATTATACCATAATTCTTGATGACCTTGTGCATAATATTGATCTTGGGCTGCCGACTTTACATAATTTTCAACTTTGATTTTTATTAATTCTTCTTCTGGCATCAATTTAACATAACTACAAGTTGGGAGCGGTGTTGATGGAATAGAAGCCATCGTTGGAGATGGCGTTAGAGGCATTGAAAATGATGCTGTCGGTGATACTGGTGATGTTGGTGATGTTAACTCAAATGGTGTTGATGGATTATTAGTATTGCTATTAGTTGTCCCATAGAGTTGGCATAGCATATATAAAGCACCTGGATGATTATTATCGACAGCAATTTTATAATGATAGAATGCTTCTAAGCAGTCTTCATTTGTTGTTCCGAGACCCAAATGATAAATTCTTCCTAACTCGTAATGAGCATGAGGATCATGTAGATTTTTACATTTTTCCATATAAATCATTTTGGCTCTATCGAATAACTCATTTGTATAATTTTCATGTAGGAATAGGTCTAAAACATCATCATCAGTAGGCGCTGCATCCGATGTTTGCGACTGGTCAGCCATCGATCGGGCAAAAGGAAAGGCTACAATGCTCGAACTTTTCTTTGCTTTTGGAACTTTGTTGCCCATGTTTCTTGTAATGATTATAATTATCCAACAACAACTTACTAAAATTTGAAAAAGAAGGAAGAAAAAGCGAAAAATTATAATTGAAATACTTCAAAGAGAAGTTTTATCAAGAAAAGCAAGCTAATTTCTCTCTAGATATATTTTGTAGTATACTATAGTTGCGAACAGTTATTTCAATCATTACCGATTAAGAGGTAGAAATTCAAGTTTCGGTATGCATAAACAAGATTTTAATAAAAATTTTTGTATAGACATTAATCATTTCGACCATTAGCAAGCAAACAAAGTTTGTAGTCTTAGTTTCTATAAATATTATTACTAACATTAAAGTAGAAACAGTGTCTAGAAATCATGCCTACCTCACCTATTTAATAGGAAAGGTTTCTATGATATTGTCATTAATGTGCTAACGATAGATAGAAAATTCAACTATGGTAATCGTTGTGTAATTTTATCTCCCTATTTCCCGATCACTCACTTCTATAAAGCTCTTGACTTAAATAGGAACGATTTTTCGTGTTAACTGCATCCTATTTTCCATATATCGCTACTATCGTCATTTATTGTCTGTATATGGTGATCACTTAATAGAATGATACTGTAGAAGTTACTTTTGTCAGCAAGGCAAATTTACATTTTTTTCTAAAGCATCTTCTTCCCGTCTAGGTTTGCGTTGATTTATTTTAGGACTTTGCTCTGACTATAAATATTGGCATGAAAAGTTAAGCGAATAAGGAAAGCTCGAATCGATATCGTAAGTAAGAATGATCAAAATCATATCAGCAATCTCTTGAAATTTACAAAATTGTTCTTTCAAAAGGCCAATACAATCATTGCACAGTATGCTAAATATACTCATATAACATTTCACGATCTTAATATCTTGCCGTAACTCATTACTGTATTAGATTACAGTAATGGAATAAAATATTATTGTTAGACTAGCTTCTTTGAGATTAAACAAACTTTTTAGTTGGCATTGACGTTTTACTGGCATGCGTAATGGCGCAAAATGAATCGTTGACTGTTTCAATATGGATTGAAAAGTTAAGCGAATAAAGAAAACTCGAATAGATACCAAATAAGTAAGAGTAATTAGAATCATATCAGGAAACTCTTAAAATTTAGAGAATTATTCCTTCAAAAGGCTAATGTAATCATTGTGCAGTATGCTGAAACGTACTTGTATGATATTTCGCGATATTAACATCTTGCCGTAACTCGTTGCTGTATTAGATTACAGTAATGGAAAATATTATTCTTGAAGTAGTTTTTTTTGATATCGAACAAGCATTTTAGTTGGCACTGATGTTTTACTGGTACGCCTATGGACACAATATGAGTCATACACTGTTTGATTATAAGCGATAAATTACGCTCACATAGTCAAGTCATACTTGTAAATAAATCTTTTTGAGTATGTAAATGTAGAAATCGAATGTTGGTAATTATGCACGGATATTTTACCATGTAAAGCAGAGTAATCATTTAAGAGTTGATTAACATTTCTTGAATAAAGCTTTAGGTCTTAGGAATAATATCTGGTTTATATTAGTTTTGGTAAGTCTGTTTCATAGCTGTTTTTTTTCCTCTTACTCGTACCAGGTACGTATTTACGTATGCAATTTATCCAATAAGGTAAAGGATATAATAATTTGCCGACTACCGCATACTGTACCTCTATTAAAAGTGGCTTCTATAGAAAATATTAATAACGTGATTAACCAACCTACTGAAGATCCTGCTAATCGATTTAAGGATGCTATACTTAGATCTCTATAAAAACTTGCAGGTAAATTATATTGGGTAAAGATATCGTACGGTATAGATTGCTCCATATAAATAATGGATACAAGATCTAGATGCTCATATGTTGTATTGGCGGGACTAATTTACTTTTTAGCTAAGGAAAGAACACATGTTATTACTTTAGGGCTAGAACATGACAGAACATCTCTAGAGTGCTTAAGGGGTATGAATTGGATACTAATCTTACATTAAATGTTGGTCTTTTCTTATATACGGGTAGTAGCAAGAAAGCTTCCAGGGAGTGTTTTGCCATAGGGTACGGTATCGCAACAAAGAAAAATAGATGTTTTTATCGCGACTTACAAATTTATTACTGGAAAGATCGTTTATAACAGCGAAGGATTATTAGATAAGCATTAAGCTGATTTATTGTTGTCTACTTGTGGTTATAATGAATAAATTATTCAATTAATTAAATTAGCCATCTACTCCTATTCGTGAGCGGACTTCAAAAAATGAGCTGTCATCGAGCACCAGTAATCTTTAAAAGGAGTTATTATTTTTTATTTTTGACAGTAAATTAATTGGTAACTAATAGATTCATAGTTATTACTGTACCTACGAATGACGATTATTTAATTATAGAAATTGAAATCGATATTTCTTAAATGTTTATATTTATTAGCATAGCTGCGGTTTTTATAGGAATAATATCTACTGCTAAAACAAAAACGATGAATTTGTCATGAAATTAGAAGTTAAAGTTCAAGAGGTAAATGTAATTATCAATTTCGTATTTTGAATATTTAAATGAAATCAGTGCCGGTGCGTAATTGAATATTTGCAGGCAATTAGCAGCGGTAATAGCAACATTAAAAATGGTAGAGTTAGATATCTTACGTTTATCTTTAGCTTACGTGGTTAAACGTTAGTGTTGGTATGGATCACTAGCATAACCAATAAGGTTCGATAACAAATTAAGTGATGTATGTCTAAAAAATAAAATTAAAAAAAAATTAGGTCAATAATTATAATTGATAATTGTTTATATCCAATGTTTTTCTAATATCTGTAAGGCATATGAAGTGGAAGAAGCTTTTAGGTTGGATCAAAAATGTTGTATTACAATAAGTAAATTACCGTGCTGAAGTTATGATATACTTTTCTTGCTCAGTGTCGTTGATAGCATGATTTTAGTTGCCAGTATTTCGTAACTATATGTATCCACCTTTAACTTTTATGAAGAAATTTGCTTGCAATGGATTCCAAAAATAAATTTTGAATATTTGAATGATAACTTTCTTTACGTATTGCAATGCTTGAACGGATCAGTAATACGTCTGTTATATCGATTTAAATAGGAATATAACGCGAAAGATGACAAGAGCTATAAGCGAATAGATCCGTATTTTATTATCGGATAACACGCGTCAATTTCCGGTAATGGTTACAAGAATAAAATAGATATGACTAGTAAATGTACAGTTCCAAACCTGGTTAGCTTAGAGAATAGATTTCTATTAACAGCTATTGTCATTAATGTTATAGAATGTACATTGATCATATCTTGTATCAAAGTATTAATTGTAAAGATTGTACATGAGGTCGCTGTAAAGTCCACAATCTAACAGTGTCAGACAGAGGCATATGGGTAAGCCATATGGCCTAGTTGACAATATCCTTAATCATAATGTAAGAAATGAAGATAGTAACAATTGCAATTTGATTAGATCACTTAAAATATGCATTGACTGTATTTAATTAGACAGTATAAAACCGGACCATGATATAATTTTAAAGGTGAATATTTCAACTTTTCAAAATTTAAATGCATGCTCTGCAATTTAATATCTCAAATCAGGTATAGCATAAGAAATAAAAGTTGTTAGAGCAACGTTAATTTACGTAATTTTTTCGTTAACCCTTGCAATAGTAGCTTGTGACTGCTTGCTTAGGTAATTTTATTACATTAGTGAATGATATGCTAGAATCAATATTATAGACGAGATGCAGGAATAGAAAAAGCTGTAACTTTATAAACATATATCATTTTATTTATTTATTCGTAGTGATTGTTCATCTAAGATATTGATTTAATTTAATCCCATGATTGTATGTAAAATACGTTGTTTGCTTCAACATGATGAAAGTCTATTAATAAAGCAAATAAATGGCTACTGCTATGTTTTACATAACTAATATCAGTATTATACAATATAATGTTTATAAGCTATGTACAGCTTGATGTTTACTAGTTGATGTCGCCATTTGTTGAAATTCAGTGTTATTTTATCCCCGCATAATTAATGACTCTGATCTAGGAATTTAGTTTCATATGCACGAGCCATAATCATTACTTCCTCCCGCGCCTACTGAAATTTTGATATATAGGTAGCTTTTCGACATTTTCTCTTCTTTTTATGTAGAACTTTAGATTAACATTTCTCCGATATACTTTGCGTATAAGATTACAAGGTGGACTGTTTGTAGAATTATAGATTTTATGATGTATGCAACGGAACTGTTTTAAATTCTAGTTGAAGTTATCTGTCGTTACATTGCCATCATCTTATCAGTTTTTTGTTATTAAATTTAGTATGATGCACTCGTCATCATAAACGTGTGTAATTATAAGTAAATGTATACAATTTGCACAAAAATTAATAGAATACAGGAAAATCATAGTTATTATTATTGATATATGAAAGATACTATTAAGGTAGTTGTTTTATAATTTAAATTTTATTATGTACCGTGCAGTACTGACATACCATAACTACTCGTATATTATCACGGTATTTTCGAAGATAAGCTGTAGATGATTTAAAGAATGCTGTATTAGTGTTAAAAATGAATTCATAGAAGTCTAATACCACCGAATTTACTGAATGCTGCAAGAATGAAAATAGATATGATGATATTACTACTACAGTGCTATAGGGTTTGGCTCAGGTATGCCGTTTTCAATTTACTTTCTATAGGCTAATTTTAATATCAATTGCTAACCAGCCGCACCTTTAGTCCTATACGTCTAGATAATCTTCGTGGTTTCTATAGAATGTACTTAATATACACCGATTTTCTATTTATAAAAGCAAACATCTTTCAGATGATGAATAGATAGGGCTTGATTGATCTATTGTACAGTATATAAAATATTTAAGCCGCTAACGCTTACAAAATTCGTTGCGAATATAAGAATAAGGGATAAACTTACTGGATGTATCAGAATTGATAAAGTTTTGCTGAAAAAGAGAATATAATTGCAGATACAGCATTTGATAGAAAACTATTAAGGCTAAATTTACAAGAATTTATAGATATGCACTTATGCTATTTCCATTAATCCATCTTTTCCTTTCGCATTGTCTTATAGACAAAGAAATTATATCGCATACAATTTGAGAGTTTGCGAGCTCAATCAGTTTGAGTATATAATATCTTTGGCAATGTTAGTACTAGCCTATAGATAGAATTATATTATAGACGAACGCTTAATTGTAACTCTGGTCTTGATAAAAGGAGAATATATCGTATGCTAGTAATAAATCGATAATCCATACCATGTAGTGTAAGGTATCATTCTCACTAATTATCACCAAGTTCATCTGATTTGAAATGCTCAATACTTTGTTTTGTGTAGAATTTATCTTCAAAGTCGTTCCAAATGAGTTTCCGGCTAGTGAAAGGATTAATTAAGATTTTAATGACATTTTTGGCCTAGCTAAGTATATTGAAAGATGAGATAAGTATACTTAGAATCTATTTCCTTCACACTTCGATATCACATAGCATGCAGATATGCAGCTTCATCTTTCGCGTATTTTACTTTTCGTTTAGAATGCGGAACATCATTAATATACTTTAAGGGCTTTAATATCTCGTAAACAAGAAAAATTATACCGCTGTTATCTTTGTTATGTTTAACAGATATTTCAGGGGCTAATTCTAAATAGTTTTTTCAAGATTGTGATTGAATTTAGAATTATACACTATGCTGGTGTGCTATTTGAGCAATAATGATAGCACTTTAATTAGCGCTTTAACGCAATTGGAGGATTTTTTCTTAAAGATAAGTTATTATAAAATTATGTATGTATTGTTTGTGTAGGTCCAGCTGTTACACTTATGACTATTAACAATTGTCCTTAAGTATATATACTTGGTGGATCACTTTGATTTGACTATCCTGTCCCTAAATTTACGATCTTTTTTATCTAGTAAATGAAATATTACCTGGTACCAGCCTGTACTATAAATAGTTCTACAGGTAGGCAATCTTAATCGCAGGTATATTTATATTTCATACATACTGTGTTGTTCTTCATGTTTATCTCTCTATCTTGTATATATTTTATCTAATGGGGAGACCGTTAATGATTAAGAATACCGCCATAAGCAAGAACGTAAATAGGCTTCTTACGACACTGGTTCCGGTATGTTAATGGCAGTCGATTTTTGCTGGATAGTTGCCATCTTGAGCTATTAGATATTAAGTTATATTTAAATAATATAGAATTAGTAAACGCTATAAGTTATAATGTTTAGCTTGTTAACATAACCTATCGGATTTCCTCTTTTGAATTAGAATTTAAGATATTTAAATTATAGGATTAATAAGATTATAAGTCATGTTGTATAGCTTGCTAACGTAAACTGTCGATTTGCTTATTTCAGATTACAATTAAGAAAAAGGCCCATTTAATTTAATTCTATTGATGTTGCATGATATTAAGGCCAATAAAGTTCAATTTTTTTGCAATACATTGTTCGAGTTAATATTGATTTGTTATAATTACAGTAAAATTGAACAGAAGCTGCTCATATAATAATTAATGGACACCTGGAAAATGTTCTTCCTATCGCAATGATAATTGACTCACTACTATTTTCAGTTACAATATTCTTTTTGAAAGTGTTTAAAGCGATTTCTAGCTGGAAATAAATACATACTCATGGCTTTTATTCTAATTTTTAATTTTTATATTCGTACACCGATTATAAATACTACACTATGTAGGATGTTAGTACAGATTGTAATAGAACTTATTGGTGATAGGACTAGCCAGTAAAACATTTTTCTTTTTCAGTGGCAATGGCATTATAAATTAATGAGCAATCCCTGCTATTGAGAGATTGCATGTTCAGCATCTTAATAAAGCTGGGCGATGACGTGAAAATTTAAGTGGGCATTCTGCATGTGCAGCGTGCAGCTTAATCATGCACATCAACTAATAAAATGCAAGCATTAACAACGATGTTAACTATACACTGGGTAGCAATCTTGAGTATTATACTTTACTAACATATGGATAGCAAACATAAAACGTTACTGTATAGTAATCAGTTGATATTAGATTATAATATTAGAACAAAAGCGACTTATGGGATCATCATATTATAGGTTTGTAATACTTGGAAATATTGAACATTTACTAAGCACAAATAAATATAAAAATCCTTGCGCTGTATCTAATTATATACTAGGGCACTAAATTTACACTAAAAGCAAATATTACAAGCTTTGCTGTAAATTTTCTACCATAATTCTATTAAAACGCAGTCAAATATTTTGCGAAAAATTTGTACTAAAGTGGTAATAGAGTAAAATTTTTGGTTGTATCAAGTTTTGTTATCTTCATCGTAGTAGACGTCAGGTTCATTAACCGATAGAGAGAGATAAATTGAATATGAGGCATCCGAAGAAGAGACAATAATCAGGTTTTGACAGACAAACCCTAATGTTACAAATTTAAGGTGAAATTTTGGATCATATGTTATGATTACGCGAATACTCACTCCATTTTATATCTTTGCAATTTAATATTAGAGTCTTTGTTAATTCAAGGTGTAATTTTCTTTCATATATGTGTTGTGATTATCCTACAGTATCTGATATTGTTATAGCTCAATATTACAGTCTTTGATAATTTGATTCCGAATTTGGATTTTTCCAACGATACTTATAGCAGTAATATGAAATATGAAAGGATCTATACTTGGAATACAAGAACGTCTTGTGTATCTAGTAGGCTTTTGCTATACCAATTCATACTAAACCGGAAATTTTGAGGGCAACAATTATTAAAATTCGCTCGATTTTATTGTTCTATTAAAATGTGATATCTTAACGCCTAAATAAGAGCTCGTTTCTTTGAAATTAGTTACTGTATAAATCATCTATTATCCAGCTACTAACATAGCTACGTCTTTTATTTTGTAACTACGCCCGTGCATCCAATGTATACCCTAACCCAAACATATACATATATTGCAAGAGAGTCCTACGAGAGGGGAAGGGAGGGAATTGCGGCTATGTATGAGCTGTAAACTATCACCAATTTATAATTCTGAAAAAGCTTGTTTAATTCTGTTATTTTTATTCTGACTTACTGTAAATATCGTAACAAAAACCCGTTAGACAATCTGGGGGAGGAGGGCTAAAGTGTCGATTTTAATAGCTGTAATGCAGATCTTGCTTATGATAGTCATATCATTGGAAGTAGCATTTTCTTTACAAGTTCCCAATCGGATGATATACAGTAAGCCTATAGATAGCAATTTAATTTAAATTGGTTTTAGTATGCTTTGACAGGGCATAAAGGCGCATTACCGACTTGTTGTAAGTCTGTCAGTATCGTCACATACTGTGGCTCGTTAGACAATCTGGGGGGGGGGGAGCAAAGTGTCGAATTTAATAACTGTAATGTAGATCTTGCTGATGAAAGTCATATATCATTCGAAGCAGCATTTTCCTTACAAGTTCTTGATCAAATGATGTATAGTCAATAATAAGGATAATCATAATTTCGTAAGATTTGAATATGATTTCGGACGTTTATTAAATACTAATTGAACTATTTACTGTGGTTAATATTGAACCACATAACATTTTACAAGGCTTAGTATAGAATTTCATATTAATCATTATAACATATTATACTGTAATCCAATGGCTTAATTAGCTAATAGTCTAATTTCAGGATTTATCCGTAGCTTTGTACCCGTTTGAGTACGAAGTTCAGTGTATTTACGAAATGCCTAGTCAGTTCGTAAAATGCAAAAATATCAAAATATGTCAATCAGTGAAATCGTCTTTCTATATAAATTAGAGAAACTATCTTTATTCATGGAGTAATATTGCTAAAAAAAAGCAGCGAATTTACATTTCTTTGATGATTATAATAATAATAATAATAATAGACTAATTGAAATATTCAATACATATGTAACTTGCAATTACTTCCGTAATTGCCAATCATTGAGATATACTGTTATCAATGAAGTCGTTATCATTGAATTGATAATGTTCTGATTCTGAAAATTATTCTTTATTTTTACACGTTGTATGAAATTTACTGTTACACTTAATATTAGCCTTCAAGCATTTGCATCGGTTGATAATGAATACAGCATGTATGGCATTTTGCAAATTGACTAGGCATTTGGCGAATGGACTGGATTTTGCACTTGGACGGTAACAGCTGTAGCTGCATACAGTAGAAAGCGTGTCATTCATCCTTCCCGATGATTGAAATGATATGAAATTATAATTTTAAAATTTCGTAATCAAAAATGGAGAAAAATCAATTTCTGCTGCATATTCAAACTCTACTTGTACGTACAGTACGTATAGAGTGTAGAGTGTAGAGTGTAGAGTGTACAGTACTGTACACTCTCTCAGTGCACAGTGTACAGTGTACAGTACTGCAGTAGGACTGTACTCTACCGTACTGTATGACTGCAAGTCGCAGAGAACTGTGCCATGTCGCATTCATAGCCACATTACAAGTCGTATTGTATGTAGATTGGGAAAAATGATTTTCTTACATTCTTACGCTAAACCTGACTTCTAATTATAATTATTAATTAATTTATGAATTAATTGATGAAGTAATTACGATGTATATGGCTGATGGACTGGATAGTAATGCTTTTAATAAACAACAAATAATCTAACCTTGAATTAGAATATATGAATATTAAATTGGACGTGGACATGGAATGATAAATACAGTATTCTTCCCAATCTGTGTAGTCTTACGTAACATTGGAAAAATTGAAGGGGTTATCGAAACGTACTGTAGAAACCGCGACTGGCAATGATCCTTATTTTCATAACTGGATCACTTGTCATCGATTAATAAATAGGAGAGCGGACATAGTGACTGTATTTGGTCAAGACAAGACTTACTTCTGCCATAAACTTGCTAATGGCCGAGCAAGATATTCACTTGATTGTTTGCGTTTTATCTGTCGGCCAGCAGTTATATTATCCAGCTTGTCAACACTGCTTCGTAAGATTAAGAACTCAAAATAACAGGTGATAAAATTTAAAATTCACGTTGCTTTACAGAATTCATACTACAACTAATTCATGATAGTGATTGATGCTTACGAAGCTCTATCAGTGACGATAAACGCGTATACAGTAGTCTACTGTACAATTTACTAATAGAAACGATCTCGAATAGATGATATCATGACATTTTTTGCTTGATGAAATGCACTATTCTGTACAAGTACAACACAGTAAATGCGTAGTAGTACGATCGATCAATGCTGTACTTATTAATGAATGTGTAATTTGATGGAGGTGAATCAGTTAAAGTTCGATCGATTCGATGATGGACTATCAAAAGTAGCATTTGATATCGAAAGAATGTACACGATAGGAACAAACTTATTGCTATAGATGTCGACTACAGCAATTGACATTTTCCTATGATGGTAATGCCGATAGTATGCATGGAAAGCAATTCAATAAGCAAGAATTTGACGGAGATTGGAGTTATACAGTTACTGTCGGCTTAGTACTTACCTAAGTATTAGTAACCAAGGTGATTTTAATATCTCCTTAGGCTAATATGCCCTCGATGCAAGCAAGTCTACTGTGATCAGCAAATTTGTTATCGCTATAGGCTCAAGCTAAACGTAACTGACCAAGATTCTATTGCTGATGTTACTTTATTTGGTAAGTGTGTGGAGAATGTTATTGGTAGAACAGCGACAGAACTACATAGGTGAGAAGATAAAGTAAAATTGCCATATAAAATTTGATTCAAAATTCATTCTTGTATTTCTGTTATTGATCGGGTCTTACTATCTCGTACTGTAGGATGCTATCCACTCGACAATCTCGATATGACAAGAGCCTTGCTAATATCTTGCAATATATCATTAATTATTATTTTATTGGTTCAATGATCGAGCTGTCGTTTTCATCCCATCGCTACAATGGCAAAGTAAAATGCCAGCATTTGTCGGACATTAAAGTAAAGCAAACACGTGTCTCCAATTTTTATACGGGTGAGCAGAAACTTCAAATCAATACTGTACAATGAATTGTTGTAATATGCATAACATTTTGATATATAATCAGTTTAGCATGCTATAAAAACGATTTAACATGTGTTCATGATAAGACGTCGTCATGAATTAATTTCGATGCTGTCATAATTCACATAATAGGTTGTTATCCATCTTTTATTGCTACAAAAATTGAACCTGTCAGCACTAGAAAATGCACAGTGATTGAAGAATTCGAAAATGCACTTTCGCAAATGCAATGTGCTTGTTCAAAGACTAGTACTGACATCGACCACGTAGAAGGTGGTAACTTTGACGGCCCAAGTGGTGAAACTTTCAACAATAGTGATTGGCAAGTTTTATTATGGGATAGTGAAGAATGGAAATTGGATGAGATCGAAACAAATGACATACCTTCAGAAGGATTGTCAGAAGCTAAGGAATTGTTAAATACTAATTTTAGTACAACTGCTAAGGAATCAGATACTTTTAAACTGAATAATCATCAGTGGAATACAAGCAACACTGCAGAATATAGCTATAATAAAACTTGGGTTTCAGCCTCTCCTCCTTCTTTAAACCTAACTTGCTGTAGCTGCGGTCATGATGTTACGGTGGTATCTAATTTAGAACGTAGTTGGCTACAAAACAATGTATCAATATCCCCCGGCATGGATAATCAATCAATGAGTTGGTTTAGTGATTATGGCTTTAATCATAAAGATTGTAATATTAGTGTACGAGTGAAAGATAAGAACGATAAAGAAGAGGTAATACCGGGTGTTAATTTATCTAATCATAATGGTGAAACTCAAACTAATTTTGTCGAACAAAACGTAACATTTAGTAGCAGTAATGATTCTATCAGGCCGGTAAGCCATCCGGTTACATGTTCATCGCCAAGGCAGACAAATGATGAATCTTTGCCTTCGGAGACTTTACTACTGTACTCACGTTGCAATTCCAGCGATAGTATCAAAGATGATCATACAGGTTCCAGCGATTCCGGTTGTAATCAGAATTATATTTTCTGCCGATCGGATACGAGAGACACACTATTGCTATTTTCACCGATTAATACAGCCGAAATTGTAAACGATTCGAATCAGCAAACAGGCCGCAAGCGGCGAAGAACGTCTCATGTCAATCTTTCTCGCAGGAAAGAATTGTATAAGGAAAATGTTGTTGCAAAATCTAGCGCTTGGGATTCTAATATTAATGTCGACCAAAAGAAATTGTCGTTAGTGTTTACTCCTAGTGAAAAATTAGATGCAAATGATTATGATAGCGAAACGTTATTTTTATTTTCTCAGAATAATACCAGTGCAAGTTCGCAACATTTCCAAGATATTACGACCACAGCTAATCAGGATCAAGGTCCAGTATCCCGTACGAATAAGCGCTACAGTTGTAATGACCAAAATGCAGGTTACGTTGGTATAACTCCAAGTAGCACCCTGAAGCGAAAGCTATTCAAGGCAGAGAATGCATAAAGATACTATAGTTACTATTTGGAGTTGAAAATAATTTCATATGAATTACCGTAAATATTTTTATAAGATCCATAGCTCGTTTCTTAAGCGTTGAAGTAATTCGATGTCATTAATGCAATTTCGATTTATTTAATTTATAAACGCCTGTATACACTACAGATTATGACTACTTTGAAGGTAATAATTTATTATATAGTAATTATATATAATTATTTATTGAGCATGTATTGTTATATACTATACTGTAATTTTGCACCTTTTACAATACTAATATCCCTTATTGACAGTAACTATAGTAATTTTTCGGTTATTTTGGGTAGACAAAGTCAAGAGATAGTTTTAAATATACGTATACAGTGTAGTGAGATGGCCAAGATTGCGCCATTACTATTACTTATTTTTGGTATGTACATTTATGCCCACAATAAAAGTTCGGCGTATAACATACATGCATTTTACTGGTCGCTACTGATGTATTAATCGTTTTGGGATCTGCTAAAAGTCCACTATGCTATATTGAAAGACCTTTATTCGCAGCAGTGAGCACTTATTGAGTAAGTGCTGGGGCGTGTAGTTGTGATTGAAGTACAATTAAAATGTAATCTACTGTAATGTGAGACATGTTAAACTCGAAAGAAAGTGGTAGTTCTAGCTTATTTTAAACAGTTCTAGTTTACACAATCCTGAGTGCTACAAGTATTACTCTATCAACAAAAATTGGTATGTAAGTATAATGGGATAGAGGTTCATCAAAGAGAAATCATTTTTCTCTTGATGTTACTTTATCAGAAGTGGTAGTTCTAGCCTATTTTAAGCAGTTGTAGCGTAGTCATACTTCAATAAACAATCCTGATTGCTATAGGTATTACTTCGTCTACAAAAATTGATATGCAAGTATGATAGGATAGAGGTTCATTGAAGGAAAGTATTTCTCTTATCGTTACTTGATCAGAAGTGGTAGTTCTGGCCTCTATTAAGCACTTCTACTTTAGATCACAGTTCGTTAAACAATCCTGATTGCCACAGGTACTGCTCCATCAACAAAATTGGTATGTAAGTATAATAGGATAGAAGCTCATCGAAGTGATAGCGTTTCTCTTGTTGTTACTTCTTTACGATAAAATGAAAATGATTTTAAATATAAGGAATACAATATTACTATCGTTAGCAGTACTTTATAGTACGACTTATAATGCGCAAGTTAGCCTTAATATGCAGGATGGCTTCTAGTGCTTCAGTTGCTTCATTTCTTCTCATACTCACTTTTACCCATGTCAAAAGTAAAGTACATGTACTGATGTGCATGAGTTGTTATTGATTGATAGACTTTAGATCGTGGATCTATTATTACTAATAGAGCCAGTTAGCAGCAATGTAGTCCATGGCTATAGTTACCATCGTTAGCATACGTATTTTGGACAAAAGAGAAAATGATCATTAACTATTAGCATTCTTGAGATATACGCTACTGTGTAATTTTGACTAGTGCAATCTCAAGCTAAGATAATAATGAATATATGAAAGTCTAAATTCTTTTAGATTGGTACATTATGGTAAGATTTAAAGACATCTATTGATTAATCTCAAGGATGCTGTATACGGATGGATGATTGGTTACTTAATATTTTAAGATCGCGACTTGCCGCTAGAGTTAGGGTAAATCTTTATTTTAAATTACAATTTTATAAATAACTATGAAACACGACTAATTTCTAATCAGCTGATTTGACAAAATTTTCCTTTCGTCTTCAGCATTACGCTGTAATTTTTTAGGGTATACAGAATAAAATTAGAAGTTACAAACATTAGTCTCCTTCACAATATGAAATTACTTTAATTACAAATTTATGCGAGGTGTAATCGTGCTATTTCTGAATTATTACTTGTTTTTGTACATCAGTAAGATCTTAATAAGTGTTGAAATCCTTGCATTCGAGATATAATATACAACATAAGTAAATTTGTTGACACCTATACAGTATTGGTACGAATAAATAAATACTTCAAAATAATCGATCGCTTTTAATGAATGGCTACTAAAATTCAGTTTTCCTTCCATGTGAGTAGTAGTTCTTTTCCAAGTTCGTTTACGAAAAGTGATTCCATGGACCTCAGTAAAGGATAGAATGCATTACAGAGTTTTATAAGACAGCTTAAGATTGTTTATTTCCTCCTCCCGTGCAAGACGAACATCGATGTTTTTTGCCATTTTCAGATTCTTCTAGTTGTACACTAATAGTATCAAGGCCGGATTTGGAATTACCATACCGATCTTTTTTGGCTGGCATTAAGGGTCGTTGATATTTCAATTTATGGGCCAATGTAAGGAAAATGGCGCGAATGGTGTCTTGTTCTTTATCATCTTTAGCTGAAGTTTCCCATAATGGCATATTATGAGCGTCGGCAAATTTTCTGGCCATATTAGAACTTACTACCTTTTTACTTTTACAATCACATTTATTGCCAACTAATATACGTGGTATATTGTTAGTAGTGCTGTAGCGATCGAATTCTTCTAACCATATTGCTAGAGCATCAAAGGAGGCTAATTTGGTTACATCGTAGCAAAATATTACGGCTTGAACGTTACGATAATAGTGTTGGACCATACTCTTTCGAAATCGTTCTTGCCCTGCAGTATCCCATACTTGCAACTAATAAGAAGGAAAATGATAACAGTTAAGAACTACAAGTGGTTGTTCTCAATAATAAGCTAGCTATCTAACAATAACAAAGGTTAATTATTTTGCTATAAAGAAGAGATATGAAACGAAATCAGTGAATCTTTACGTTAAAAGGAAAACGTAAACATTCTAAGTATATTTAAATTAGCAGAGCATTATAGCTTATCGATTGCTATAACTGAAATTTCCATCTTTTAATTATTCTGATCTTAATGAAGCGGAACATTATGATCTGGCTTGAGGTAAAAAATATTGGCGTTTTTAATTACTGAAGGCATGATTTATATTTGTAGCTCAGTAAATACAGGAGTATTGATATGACTATATACGATATCCTAAGTATGGACTTGGAGTGATCAATTAGCTGAGTCAAATTATCCATATTATGGTATTATAAAGATTCAATTTTTTCTGTTTTTTTTCCATTGCTGTATTTGATGTACACTACTTACTTAGTGTTACAAAATCCTCAGTGATCGACAGATATTTTAAAAAGCAATATTTTGGATAAAGGCAATTATAATGGAAGGGCAATAATTCCTTCAAATCCATGTAGAAATAATCATGATTAATGTCTTATTAAAAATGATGGCGATGATTAGCTCAATAATGACAATCGTTGCTGTATTTGAACGACAGCAAAAGCCATTCTATGTTGTATTTGTTAGTTCAGATATTCTAGCCTATTCTTTAATTAGATACTATATCTTAATGTGGACATTGGGTTACAATAAAACAATATTAGATTATTTTATTTACTTAGGTCGAAAGGTTCAAGAAAAATAGAGAATCTGCCATATGGTCAGTTTAGAGTTCAGGTTATAGATCATTTTACTTTGCTTACTTTTGGCTTATACAACGTTGGTATTAGAATAAAGCGAATAAAATAGAATTAAAAATGAATAATACCGCTTATGCTTTGAAAAGAAAAAAAATTATTCATTTGATCGTATTATTTCTTTTGACGGACAGCGGCTGATTATTTACTTTGGTGCTATTTGGATCCTCTTTAGCGTAGATGAAAAGCTACCATATAAAATTTGAATAGTCTTCGTTTATAATTTAATATATTATTAGAGTATCAAGATGAATCAATATATAATCACGGTGATTAAAAATTTGTTGAAATATTTGAAATTAAATACTAATCTTCTTTGGCTAGGGCTATTTAGAAACTACTGCAAAAGATATCATGACGTATATTATTATTAAGCCGGTATCGATTTAATCAGTAATGATATCCACATAATTCTATCGCATCGCTGTATACGTAGTGGATATAACTACAAAGTAATGATACTCTACCGCAATACTATGCAGTAACATTAAATTATAGTATTAACTCTAGTAAGATACGTTTTGGGATTTTTCGACAAATAAGTAATACCATAGTGTAGTGCCAATTGGTTGACAGGGTAAAAGTGTAACGAATTCGATATTTCATCTCGATGCGACGTGCTTGTAAACGATTCTACTAGCCGTAAGAATTCAATTATTGTATAAGTAATATTCAGATTAGGAACTCTCTAAGATTGAGGTTAGAACAATTTTGAATTTTTTTCTAGATAGCCACTCATTTACCATTGAATTGGATATCATTTAGAAGCAGTATGATAATTATCACATTGCTTTGAGTGGCTTTCAAATGATTAAACTATCTATTCAATCAATATACGTGTATAAGTAAGATCCAGATTGAGAACTATCGAAAGCTGAGATTGATACAATTCTGGATATATATTTTATGAAGTCAATGAATAAGTATTAACCAGCACATTGACTACCGTATTGCCTTGAACAAGTAAGGTAACAACATGAAATAGCCAAAGAGTGTGTGTCAGACTAATATCATAAAAAATAGAAATAAAAATATTTTAGAATTTTTGCTATAATTAGCTACGAAAGACGGATTCAGAATAGTGATAAATTGATGGCATTGAAGGCTAAATATTTAAAAGTCAATCCGTAAACATTGATCCGCAGAAAAGATTACTTAAAATAGGAAAATCAATGCTTGCAAATATCGTCGCGTGATATTTTTTTTGTTTAGGATAAGCTGGAAATATTACAATTGATATCTATGAGAAATTTTCTAATTTAAGACTATTGTTACTGTATAGGACGGATAGCTGAGGGTTAGTAATTTTCTTTTAATCAGTAGACGTTTTAGGACTGAATGTGTATATGATTGATTATTAATCAGTGACTGTGAGTTACAATGGTAGAATCTGTTATGGGCATTACTTAGAGATTAATAAATTTAATGATCTAGTAAAAAGCATTTAAAAAATATGAGCAATTCTAGTTCTCAGCTTAATCGTAGATAGGGTTACAGCCTTGGTAAATAAAATTGAATATATGATCTCATGCGTGAAGAAGTAAGAGATTTAGCTTAGCTCAATTCACGAGCAAAATATGAGTTATAATCATGGATACAGAATAAATAAAATTTCAAAATTGCTGTATTTCTAATACTAGGAATAAATAAAGCAGTATAGTACGTTGAATTTTCAAATTTATCAATTGCTAACATAAAGCCGAACTGAAAAGAAATGATGAATTTGTTATTTATGATAGATTATTGCTAATGTGATTGCAATAGAATGGGTCTACTGTATATTTACCGTCTATAATAATGAATTTTCAAATTAATGGTGTAACTCTGAAAGCAAATTGAATTTAAAGCAAAACTAATCGTGATAGATATAAGATAAGCTCATACTTGTTAGAAAATTAGAAGTATTGGGTAAGGACTGGAAGCAAGCATAGAGCTAGAGTCCGAAGTTTTTACTCCTAAATACTTTTAAGTCCGGTGAAATAAAAAAATTGAAAGATAAAAGTATAAAAAAATGACTCTATCAAATAGTATTTAAATCTCATAACGGCTTCAATTATGTGTAGTTTAGTCTTTTAATGTAACTTAGTAGGAATGCTACCATATTAGTATCAAAGTTATTTAGTTTTTCAATGTATTCATTTTAAGGTTAAGTTGAGCAGTTGATTTATCGATAATAGCCGCTCTTATATCGCTTGATAAAATTGAACGATAATTGATCCATGGCGTAATTGAAGCATAGGTGCTTTTTAAATCGAAATCTGTAGATCTTGGAAAAGGACTTATATATTACTTTGCTAAATGAGAAGTTAGGCTGATAAGAATCATTCAACACTAGGTAGATTTCTTGAATGCGAGTTAATCTCAATCAAGAATAATATGAGTTTTAGTTAACGCAACCAAAGAAATTGATACATGACCAGATTTTTAATTGTGATAAGAAATGATAGCGTAAATATATAATCATATTATTATGTCTGAAATATGTTACAGTTACTATACAAATGAAAGATGCAATCATGCCATTATTGAAGATCGAATGTTGCTGTTTCTGACAGCTTTAGCGTGAAAAAAAATTAAACGCCTTTACCTTGATTATTTCACCTTCTAACTCCATCGATTTTTCTTGAAAATCGACACCAATTGTTGCTGCAGTTTTATGCAGAAATTGTCCGCTACAAAATCGCCATGCTAAACAGGTTTTGCCAACATTTGAATCTCCAACTATTATAATTTTATAGGTACATGCTGTATGAAGAGGTGGTACAGTGTCTTGTTGGTCATTATCGCTACCGTCCCAATCCTCTACTTTATCTTCTTCCTCCATATGGGTTACTTTAAATTACTATGAAAGACCTTCTCTATTCTACAAACTTTTAATTTTTTTGTGTGTAGTCCTAGTTAAAATAGATGAAATAAGAAAGTTATAAACATTGCTATTTTAGACTGTTTCTTTTCAATCTTTCTCTTCTGCTTTTATCGTAGCCGTAAATTAAAACAGAACAATAATAAAATACTATTTAACTCTCAACATCGTGCTATAACAATAGTAATCATTAGAGGCCATTGAATCAACGATTCCTATGCATATTAATACTTGGATCTACTTTTAGCAAGTGTTGAAAGAAAGATTACATAATTATTAATAATACACAAAGATTAAATTATAATTTTAGATCATTCACATAGAGGAATAATTGAAATCTACTTAGAGCCTATTGAATTTTTTTCTTGTTTAGCCATCAATAGAATAGCCTACAAATACTTGTACACAGTCATTTAGATTAAAGTCGCGTTGACTACTTTAAATATTATATAATTACGGGCAACTAAGTAATAACATTTTGCGTTCAAGAGAAATCTAAATCGATAGTATGTTGGTCATGGAGATGGTAGCTTATGATTGATAACGGTTACCTATTCTGTTGTCCTACATCGATACAAATACCAGGTGGAATACTGTACGCTATTGTCAAAATTTGCAATAAGCATTGGGATATTTGAGTAATTTTATAGAACTAATACTGCCGTTAAAAATGGAAAAGAATTCCAAAGGTGTAATATTCTATTTAGTAGATAGTTGATCTTTTCATGTTCTCATGTCCTGAAATCAGTTTACATAAAGCACAAGAAAAAAAATATTACCGATTTTAAGGGACGCCAAGATCGCTTGGCTTGTTAATGCAATGGATACAAAATGGATCAATAAAAATGGAAGGATAGATGGACTGCTTTGTCTGTATTTATAACATGGCTTAAAATAGAAATGGATTCATAAGAGTATTGGAGTCAGCGCGGATTGGTGTCCATTCAAGGTGGTGTTGATGTAGATGAATACATGAATTAATTACAACTAATTAGTTAATACCAATCGATTGATTGATTATATCATTACTAACGGTATACAGCATCGGCTGCATGGCGACGGAGTGGCTGCTATTCTGTAGCCTACTTCTACTATTTAAACACATCTTGAACGACAATATTGACATCGGTAGTCAATAACTTGCACCACTATTGTAATGTTGTATGGCCAAATGGATATAAAATTGAATCGTGTGTTTAGGATATAGCTGTACATGCTTATTTTTGAATCAGAATGGAGTCTTGCTACACGTGTTTTGTTGGGATTTGTCTAGCCAAAATAGGGAAAATTTTTCTTCTCATTTCACTAGTTGAACTTGTTGGTTGCTTTATCAATCATTCATCATGGCGTATCTGCTTCTACTGTACTGTATAGTGTCTTGAGTGTACAATTTGTCTATCGAATTGCGATACTGTATCTAATTGATGCTGTTGTCTTTGTGATCTATCGGTTGATCTATCATTAGGAATGATTTTCAACAATATTATAACGTTTACTATGTTATTGTATGAACAAAGGATACAGAGTTACGAAATAATGTGAATAAAAACAGGAGCATGGATTACTCCATTCTGCTCCAGTCATGACTGGACTACGCGGATATTTTTTTTAAAACACTAAAAAATTGAGATAGTTTTCAATAATATTATAACGTGGACTATGATATTGTATGGATAAAGGATACACAGTTGGCAAACAATATGAATAAACCACTGGAGCATACATTACTCCATTTTGCAGAAGTCATCATGACTATGCGGATATTTTTTATACACTCAAAAGTTGAACTTTAGTTCCTTCTACTTGTGTACATGTCATGTCATGTCCTGTTGAAGAATATGAAAATTGATATTATCCTTTGATTAACTTAATTAAAGTCATCCATTGATCATTAGGTATTGACTAGATTCATACTGTACTGTACTTTACTGTCTGCAATTGGGATAGCTACTGCCTAGTCGGATTGTTTTATACGGACGTTGTACTTTCTACAACAGGAATGAAATTGGTAGGGAATAATCCCTACAACCGATGATAGCACTTTCAAGGGTACAGTATATCGAGTTGCAATACGGTTTACATTTGGCATGGCCGTTAAAGGAAATTCATCCATAAAACTATAATTTAATTCCCTCTATACATACGCGTACAGTATATTGGCTCTATAACATGTTTACTAAAAAAATTGACGTTTCTGTTTCATTCTCTTTTCCAGTAATTTTTTGTTGCTAAAAACCGTAGGTGCTTAAACGTTCGTTGATGATATTGCATCATGATGGAATGGGAATAAGAATACTGCAAAAATTCATAGTTTTACTAACGGAGAATTTTTGTTTCTTTTATTTAGAAAGACAGTATCAAACTATAGTATATGGCTGCATTTCATTGCGTATTCAATTGGATCAGAGATGTTAGCATAACTTGACGCCATTACTACCCATGATTACGTCATTTGCACAATGACGTAGTAGTGGCAGGAAAGGGCGGAGAGGAATGGTTGTGTAATAACTCTGCATAAGAAATATTTCTAGCCTAATAGAGCGTCAATATTTTGCGATTTCATTTCTGTATTTGTTTATGCATTCCTTTTTATATTATAAATGGCTTTCAGCAGTAGATATTTCGTTCCCTGTATCTGTATGCGTTACGATGAGTTCTAGCCCAGTGCAATATATATTAGTGTCCCAACGTGAACAGGTATTGCCACTTTATCTTCTTGTTTGTTGCTAACAGAAGAAGAGCGAAAGGGTCATAGCTTTAGCAAGCTAATAGTAACAGCTGTATTGAAGACTCGGAGCAATTTGGTAAAACGCTTGACTAGCATAAGAGACAGGGACACTTGGGATCAACGAATAACAGTAGAACAGCGTACAGTATGTCTACGCATAGACGCTGGCTCCTTCTACTCCTACTCACATTACTAATTGCAAAGGACGTCATTTAACGACAGCTTTTAAGACATGTGTCCTCTCTAATGATAACGCAACATACTGTACACATATTGATTCGTTTTGAGCAAATTAATAAGCGTTGTAGTATCCACAACGATCATGTAGAATTAGAAATGCAATTATACATGAACGCGTGCAGTTATCATAGTCTTATACGTGTCCAACAATCGTAGTAATTGATGAATATCAACAAGCTTATACTCATTATAATGATTATAATTAATAAGACATTGACAACTATGTAAATTCCTCTCTTACAATCACGTCCATAGCATGACAGACGGTAATCAACTATATGCTACAATACCACCATAACCAAGCAAGAAATAAAGCAAAGAAGGCTTGATTAGACGAGTAAAGCAAGAATGGCTGAAAGCGTAATAACATAGCTAGCAAGAAGAAGCAAACTTAAGCGTCCTAGCTGCCATCTACGGCAATCGCCGCCATTGATATAGGCTTTCGTTTTGTGCAGGTTGAGACCAAAGCTTGGATGCATTTTGGTCGTACTGTAGACTGCTGATACTTGTACAGTTGTTCTACAGTACAGTACAGTACTGTACAGTACAGTATAATCGGTTCTACTGTACACTGTACTGTACTGAACAGATTACAGTATAAGGTAGAGTCTGTCCGTCTATCCCAACCAACAGCCCAACACGATACGATAGGGTATCGGCTACAGCTCAGAAAAACTCTGCAATTCTGATATTCAGCCTTTGCCTGCATTAAGGATAGGATTATTACTGTGACAAATACAACGATATATCCAACGATATCGACGATCACTATAATGTGCAATTCCTTTTCGATGTTGATGATGGCTATCGTAGAATACCGTTGTTAGGGTATCGTAGGGTAGTAGTGTCATTGGGGGCTATCGCAACAGCAATTCTACAGCATGGATATCCATCATGATGAGCTCAATCAATCCAGCCAATGGCCAGACTTTGATTTCCCATTCCAACCCTATGATATACAAGTGCAATTTATGAGAACTTTATACACTGTATTGCAAGATAGAAAGATTGGCATTTTTGAAAGTCCAACTGGAACTGTAAGTTTTGCTTGATTTACAGGTCGAAATGGGCTATAAATGATATAGTCCATCAGTACAAAGTTTGAATAGTTTGCTTTATGCCGGCTTGTAAACTAACGATGCATAGTCTGTTGTTAAGTTTCTTGATTTGGAATACAGTTTTATACTAGAACCTGTACTAACTCTGATGCATGGGTGCTATTAGGATAAAATACTTTACAAAGTATGCTAATACGTAGCTGAAAAATACTGTAGATCAATTTTAACAACCATTTCTTTTATAAATATACGTTTTACCTACATTGTACGTGTAATAGATAGTAGTATGCTTATCGTAATAATGGTGTTGTTGATGCTGCATTTCATAAAAGGGGAAATCATTGAGTTTAATCTGTGGCGCTATAACTTGGTTAAATGATTTTAATCGAAACATCGAAGGCAGGATTGAATCAAGGTACTGTAGTAGGATAAAGCAATTGTAAACATGTTTTCTTGCTATTGATAATGTCCCTTTTACATGTGTTATGCTCTATAAACTGCAGCAATGATGCCATTGAGTGTAATCGCTATGGTCATTTATTGCAGTTATTGCTTACAATCAACACTCGTACATACATCACTATAATGATTACGTGACGAGCACTTGTTCGCATTATTATAACTATCATGTGAGCTTATAAGTTGGCATTGATAACAGTGCTTGAGTTATTGTAATGATTAAACTCACAGAGGAAACAAGTGCAAGAGTTCGAATGCGATGTAAATGTGACCACTACCTCAGATTAATTACAATTCTTTGTCGATCACTTCATATATTTTCACTTATTGTACCCTTATAGGCTAGAAAAGCAACAGGTTACAGCGATATCACAGGACAAGGATGGTAAGGCGCTACACCTACAAGTATATAATGTGCTGGAACTTTTCAAGTTGTTTGATAAGAAGATTACATGAATAAGGTGTTATTCAATAGGGCGCTGATTCAATAGTAAAACTCGATATACAATTGTCTGTAATTTTAGAGCTCAGTTGGATAACGGAATATGATCAACAGAAAGCTGATAGGGAACGATTGCAAATAGTTCAGGTAATAGCACCTCTTAATAAATTAGTACTCGGTCTATGACTATGCAATTGCCAAAATGGTCCTTAGTATAAACTTTCTATTAAGTAAGCGATCTTGAATATAGAGTTTGACTCGTAAGCCATAATGAAATATTGTTATTGTTTCGCTTTTGTAAATGTATTAATTACTGATGCATGTATGTTAAATTGATATACTAGAGTATGAAACAAAAATTATTAGATAGACAATCTCGTTTGAAGAATATTAAGAAAAATTTTTCAACAGTTAAAACGAAGGTATGGAACGATGTCATTGTGATGCAGTTTATACACTAAAGATTGTGACTAAATGAATTACTATAAAACATTTAAGAATCTTAAATCTTAGTTTATGTACACATATGCGTATTACAGGCTGACCAACGAAGTACGATTGAATATGAAGATAAATCTAATAGTGGCTCTACAGAAGACTTGGACGACGAAGATTTATTAATTTATGATTACCATACTGATGAGGAGGAAGAAACAAAACTAGATAATGGGTAAAAATCATTAACTATAACTTTGGATGATGCAGTGATAATTGTAATTTATTAAAAGCGTATATAAATAAATAAATTTTTTTTACGGACGTGCATTGTTGCATACCACAAATCATACACGGTAGCGCTTCTGAGGAAGAAGAAGATGGAAAGATTGCCGATGACGATCCTGAAATTACAAAAATTTACTACTGCAGTCGTACTCATTCACAGCTAGCTCAATTTATTGGTGAAGTAAAAAAATGCAATTTTGCAGATAGTATTCGCCTTGTTGTTCTTGGATCTCGACAAAATTTGTGTATTAATCCTTCAGTTGTTAAGCTAAAATCTGTGAATAAAATTAATGATAAATGCCTTGAAATGCAAAAACGAAAGAAGGAAGAAAAAGGTTAGTATTTTCGTATCTTGCTCTAATATTTTAGCATATATAAATTTCAAGTAATAGATGCTGATTTCAAATTAATTACAATAGTAACTGTGGCTCATAAAGATAGCAATAAAAAAAGAAAAATTTCAAAATTATCTGGATGTCCTTACTTAAATATAGCCAGTCGGAACGATCTGCGCGATTATATTTTGGTTTGTAAAATAAATAGATTTCGGTACTTTTAATTTCAAGATATTCATGAACTTAGCGTTCATAGTTTAAATAAAATTTACGATTCTTTCAAGGCTGATATTCACGATATTGAAGAGGTGGTTCATTTTGGTACATCTTTAAAAGCATGCCCTTATTACGGAGCAAGAGCAGCATTATCGCAAGCTGATATTGTTGTAACGCCATACAACACATTACTTAGTAAATCGACTCGTGATGCTTGCGGCATTAAGCTAGCCGGTAATGTTGTGATCGTTGACGAAGCGCACAATCTATTAGAGACCATTGGCAACATAAACAGCGTTGAGTTATCTCATCGGCAGGTGATTTATTGCCATACAACCTATTGAATCAATGATTCTGTTTATCTTGCATACGTTGCTGAAACAGCCTTCACATTGCAATCATGTAATCTGTTCATATTTGTAAATATAATATTTTATATCTTTGATACAGTTAACAGAAGCTATGCACCTGCTACAATGTTATCAAGATCGCTATAAGAAAAGACTAAGTGCAAGAAATTTGGTATTTATTAAGCAGCTGATATACCTATTGAAATGTATCGTTGGTATATTTACTAATACGAATAATAAAACTTCACCCGAGAAAGGTATTTTTAACCTAGCTATCGGTCTTCTACTTATATACTAATCATATTAACAAATATATACTTTACGTTATGTTCTGTTCTAGAGACGAGTGTCTACCGAAGCAATGACTTCTTACTCTCACTTAACGTTGATAATTTGAACTTATTTAAGGTTAGGTTGAATAACTGTCTTACCGTTTAGCATATGTTAAATATTGACATAACCGCGATACTTTCATTACATTTTAATTAGATTTTAAGATACTGCAAGCGCACTTCAATTTCCAAAAAGGTTTATTCTGGATATTTATTATTATATGCTTGGAATGATCTTCAAATTTTAATAGTAACAAAAATTTTTAGCTTAATGGATTTATGGAGAGATACAAATCAACAGTACAAGTATCGACTAGGTCGGAAAGTACAGAGCATGGCGAAAATGATAGCATCTATGATAGTTATATGGCTGCATTTCAAAACATAGAAAATTTCTTAGAGCTCTTGACAAATCCTAATCAAGATGGCAGAGTTGTAGTCAATCATCAAGGTAAGAATTAGTGATTAATAATGGTTGCGTATGCAGTTCTAACGTAAGTGAGCCTACTTATATTTGTTCATTTGCTGCAGCAATGCAAAGTCAGTCGACTGTGAAATACCTGCTTTTAAATCCAGCAAGTTACTTTGCTGAGATAATTAATGACTGTAGGGCAGTCATTATCGCTGGTGGTACTATGCAACCGGTACGTGGCGGTCAGCAAAGATTATTCAGCATTTGTTAAAAAAATTATCATTACCAGATAAAGTTCTTTGTATCTGTTAAATATCAATGAATATTTGACCTAGAACGTGGTTAGATATCCACTCTTATACAGGATTAAATTTAATATTGAATAATGTTATTATTCCTGTGGTTAGGTAAATGATTTAAGACATCGATTGTTCTTTGCTTGTGGGGTTGAGTCTAGCAGAATAACCGAATTTACATGCGGTGAGTATTAATTGAGTTTGTAAAATAAGAGAATAATTTTATGCGAATATGCATATGACTATTTTAATAGGGCATGTTATTGCACCGGACCGAATATTACCTTTCTCGTTGTCTAAAGGGCCTTCAGGCTTAGAGTTGGATTTCTCATTTCAGTCAAGAGAGCTTAACACAATGGTAATACTAGTAGGCACTTTTATAACTGAATTGTGTATGATAATAAACTGAAATATATTTAACGATTCGATTTTTAGATTGACGAATTTGGAAGAATTTTACTTAATTTTGTGAATGTTATACCTGGCGGTATGGTATGTTTCTTTGCCTCTTATGATTACGAAACGATTGTTTATACCCGATTAGAGAAAACTGGAATACTAGAAAAAATTGGGAGAAAGAAAAAAGTTTATAGAGAGCCTCGAAAATCAGCTAAAGTCGAACAAGTATTATCTGATTATGCTCGATGCATTCAGGTTAGATATTGAATTCTATTGTTGTTTGTTATCCTTGCGAGCAGTTATTGGATTAACCTATTTACTGCCTGTAGTTAAGCGACAAAAAATTGGGAAGTACTAGCTTGAATGGAGCCGTACTATTTAGTGTTGTTGGAGGCAAAATGAGCGAGGGAATAAATTTTTCCGATGGTTTAGGAAGGCTAGTTAAGCTGATGAAGCGCAGTTCTTGCCTGATAACTATAGATTAGAAATGTTATTAAATAGTGTATATTAATTATTATTATTAATACGACACAACTCTTTCTTAGGTGCGTTATCATGGTTGGCTTGCCATATCCCAATAGCAAGTCTCCAGAACTGATTGAAAAAATGGAGTATTTAGATTCTTTATCGAGTGTATGTTGCCTATAGTAAAGCAATATATGAAATCAAACCGTTAAAATTCCACTGTATGATTTTCATTTAACTCGTAGGTCTCTTCACCCGATTCATCGAAGACCCTTGGGCAGATGTATTACGAAAATATCTGTTTAAAAGCGGTGAACCAATCTATTGGTAACTTAACTATTGTTATCATTTTTCCTGCTTTTCTGGTATTTAGTATAAGATATTGCTGTATGCTGTAATTATAGAAGATGTTATTATTATATTATATCCTAAATGTTGAGGGCGTGCAATTCGACACATCAATGATTATGCAGCTATCGTTCTGCTCGATTATCGTTATAAACGATCGAGTATCCGGTCTGGACTAGCATCATGGATAAATGAGCGTTTGATTGAATACGACCGTTTCGGTGCAGCTTTCGCGTCTACTCGTAAGGTATTATTCTCTTTAGTAAATTGTATTCCTCCTGCTGTGCACTTCTGCAGGGTAAACGTAGTTATAGCTCTAGTTGAATAAGCTAACTGTAAAATTCTGAACATGAGATTCGATTAGTTTTTTGCAGATAGACAATCAAGTTCTTGAATTTGCTGCGGATTAATCATCTTTGGTCCATTCTCTGTGATTAAGTTTTTTTACAGTGGTTTAAAATTATGCTTATTTAAGTCAATTCTAAGTTTAATATCTAATTGCGATATTTGATTTGGAAAGAACGCTTGTTTCGCTTTTGCTATTTCAGGATGTTTAATATATTGTTTCGATTAGTGTCTTTAATGAATTTAATTCAATGACACGTAACGATAGTTACGTAAAGTAGTTCATTTAGGGAACAATTTCTGTTTAATTAAGAATTTGAAATGGTTTTTTTCTTCTGAATAAAATATTTTGTCCTTGTGACAAACTTTTATAACTGGTAAGTGATACAAAATCTAATTTTTAAGATGACACTATCACTTCAAAGCCGAGATACGAATATTATGAGTAGGAGGAAATAATGTCCACTAGTCATCATAACTATAAGTTGATTCTTATGTTATATAAGGCTTACGAATGCGTGTTTGTTGTTCTAGTTGGTGTTTTTTTTTAAGGTAGTTTATAGGTAATTACAGTGACTGAATTTCTTGCCAGCTATTCCTAGTCAGTATTCCGTTACTGCGTAATATGACAGTTGTATCTACAGAACAACTTAGAAATTCGGGCATTATGCAAATCCTTACAAAAGTATGCCTGTTGTGCTAGCTAGTGTTTTTTCAAGGTAGATTGTAGGTAATTACAGTCACTGAATTTCTTGCTAGCTATTCCTAGTTAGCATTCCGTTGCCATGTAATGTGATCGTTCTACTACAAAATAGCATATAAATTTAGGTATTAAAAAAGTCTTTATAAATGGGTATACATATTGTACTAGCTAGTGTTTTTCAGATAGATTGTAGGTAGTTACAATCACCTAATTTCTTGCCAGCTATCCCTAGTATGATAGTTATTTCTACAATACAGCAACTGAATTTGGGCATTCTTGAACGTTTGTAAAGTTACTTGCTATTGGAAAATCGGCTTTTCAACAATCCTTCAAGGTGGAGAATCAATATAGCTTGATACTAAGTTTGCCTATTCGAATTTTATCTATTTATTACATAATTAAATTTATGAAGTTGGAAATGCAAAATGGATGATCAACTGTGAGATCATTAGGCAATTTTGACTGTAAATCAAGTCAGGTATCACTACACCAATTGTACACTACAATTTGAATAAATAAAACAGAATTGACATTTGTGTTTATGCTGATAATTGTAAACGATTGTGATAAAGCTATGCTTAAAACTTTGACATGAAAAAGTTCAAGGTGCAGATAAGAAAGGAGACGCTGTATTTGACAATGAGTTGTAGGTATATTACTGTACAATGTTGGCAATCAAGGCCGCAGCCTATTGCGAGTTGATGGTGAAATTGATAGACATACTGTACTGTATGTATTTTAACATTGACAATCACTATAATCGTTAGTACATATACAACAGCTGGATATGGTGGTATAGGGCATATTCATTTGACAAAAAGTTCAATCATTAAGTGATCCATTCATTGTCCATCGGTTGAGTAGGAGTAGCGGTGGATCAGGGTAACATTATCGCCTCTTGCTGATTGCTTTTTTAGTGATTTTGCCTTTTTTCCCTTCGGGAAACATCCATTGAAAAAATGTGGACATCTCTGGTAGGTCTTTCGATTGTTGTAAGACATTCATGTTTTGAAGTTCTTTCTGTACTTCTGGATCATTGGTTGATAGTAATTTGGGTAAGACAACAACAAGTAATAAAGGCAAGACCATCATAATGACCATAGGATTATATAATATATCGGCCATTTTCCATGATTGGCGTTGCTCGAAGAATTGCATCGGCTCTTTAGCACGTAATTTTAGAGGATAAGGAAGGATTGATACTTGCGATGGTTGTAAATAGTTGACTTTTCGAGCTCTAATTTTGCCTTTACTACGACTAATATCAACTCTTACTGGCTCGAAATAGTAATTGGGTGATGCCACATGAACAATATGTGAACCAGCAGGAACATTATGAACGGTGAAAGAGCCATCGTATTGCAGGAAGCCGATCAATTTGGTTCCATCAACTAATATTTTTGTACGCGTTGTCCATTCTAGTTGGCGTTCATTAGGTAGAGAAACTTTCCCTTCAATTTTATAAAGCTCTTCAGCGATGACGAAAGAGTTCAATATTACATAAAAGATGCCAATGGATATCCAACGAATTGCCGTCGCCATGATTTCTGTCTTGGCCAACTACACAAGTATTGACTACAGAAAAGGGAAGCTACAGACAGACAGCAAAGGACGGATGAACATTGCGTACTTTTGCGTACGTTTACTGTACACAGTGTACAGTACAGTGCTGTACTGTACAGTCTGTACTCAGTGTACTGTACTGTAGTCCACAAGCATGTCCCGTACCAATGCAGTATACTTGCATGGAGAAATTTTCCCTTCAATTTTATAAAGCTCTTCAGCGATGACGAAAGAGTTCAATGTTGCATAAAAGATGCCAATGGATATCCAACGAATTGCCGTCGCCATGATTTCTGTCTTGGCCAATTACACTCATGTGTCGGTGCTTTGCGTCAAGTATTGACTACAGAAAAGGGCAGCTACAGACAGATAACAGTGGACGGACGAATATTGCGTACTTTTGCGTACGTTTACTGTACAGTACACAGTGTACAGTGTACAGTGTACAGTACAGTGCTGAACTGTACAGTATTGTACTCATTGTACTGTAGTCCTGAAGCATGTCCCATACCAATGCAGTACACTTGCACGGAGAAACTTTCCCTTCAATTTTATAAAGCTCTTCAGCGATGACGAAAGAGTTCAATGTTGCATAAAAGATGCCAATGGATATCCAATGAATTGCCGAGGCCATGATTTCTGTCTTGGCGAACTACACTCATGTGTGTCAGTGCTTTGCGTCAAGCATTGACTACAGAAAAGGACAGCTACAGACAGACAGCCGTAGAGGGGAATGCGTACGGTAGACGTAGAAGAGGGAGACCCCTCGTGCGCTGCGAATAAAGCAGACTACAGTATGACGTACACCACAACAGAAGTGCACAGTAAAGTGGTCTACAGCACTTTACACTGTAGATCACAATACTTTACACTGTGTCTAACAGTACTTTTCACCGTAGAAGAAGTACTGTACACTGTATTTTACAGTACTTTCCATTGTAATCTAAGGACTAAACACTGTACTGTACCGTACTCAGCAAACTGTAGTCCAGAAGCTGTAAGTACAGTACACTGTCACATACTGTAGGAGAGACTACCTACGGGACGACTTGTTCAATAACGTAGTCAAATAGTTGGCCTAAAGACAGTCCTGGACTACTGGAAAGAAGGAAGAGGGAGAGCGACTGACTTGACTAGACTAGCGAGCGATGTGTAGGCCGACTGTTTTGACGGGTCAACTGTACTACTGACCAGTGTACAGTACGCCGTTGCGGCTAGGTTGGTTTTGCACAGTAGAGTGTACAATGGCAGTCGTAGCGTCTAGTAAAATGACCTGCCAAAATGTTGGGATAGGCATTTGCAGCAGGTTCCCCATGTGTCCTATCAGTATGACGCGTCATTTGCCAAGGTCGTGGTACAGTGTACAAAGACGAGCGCTATACTGTACCGTATCGGACCGGACCGATCTGTTCCGTTCCGTACTGTCTGTGCCAAGCGTGTCTTCCTCTGTCTTAGCGTCCCATCAACTGTTCCAACATGGCAGGCGCAAAATTTACTTACGATGAAAGTGGCAATACGTTCTATTACTTTGCAACTTCCTTCTATTTAATGATATTAATCCCCTTGACATATTATTACCGCCCTAAGAAGGAAAAGAAAGGTAAGATTGCATTTCATAATGACTCCCCTTGCCATACTACCATCATTCTTGCATGGTATCATTACACATGCTTGGATGGATGCTATGCTAACTACTCACAGGTGGAAAATGATATTCAATCAATCAATCAATCAGTTCAAATACTGAGTAATAGGAATCAATAGTAGTATTTCTCATTTCAATTTGGCATCAACTTGCCATCGAGGATACAGTTGGACATGGGTACACAGTATGTTTTATGTCCGATGTACTTGTAAGTAGACTACATGCCGTCAACAAAGTACAGTACCCGTTATTCATGAATTCTCATCATAATGGACGACTGCATTTCTCATTGGATTACGATTGAATATGGTCAACAAATATTTTACTTTCAGTTTTACTGGCTAACATAGCCATTTCTTGTACTAAAGGATAGTCATTTTATGAGTTATAAGTCCATTGCCATACACATGGATTGTATTACTAAGTTGACATATTCAATCCATACAGTTACAAGAATGAAACCCAACTGTAGTAATTCATTCAATGATATAATTATACTTTCTTCTTAAAATCCAATGGAAGAAGATCGTGTATACTAGAACAGATCGACATTCAATTCCTTTAGTAGTCACCATAATATCATTCTTTGCATGGACACTTGAAATAAATGTCTTACATAAAAATTTCTACTGGTTGATTTCAATTTGACAATACTGTAGTGGATGCTACTGTAGTAATCAAACGATAAATTGCATTTACTCAACGAGTAGAATGAATACTTGCTATAGTAGCCATGATCATTGGAGTATATCGACTTAAGCTGTATAGTAGCTCTTTCTATTGATAAAGCTATACTTTGTTGAAGATTTAAAACTTACATTGTACAGTATTACAGTCCGCTATCAAAAAAATAATTCAAATCCTGTCAAACTTGAAATTATAAAGAAACACTACGCTACATTCATATTCTGAATGACATGGATTGACTACTCTGATATACGGTATATTCTACAGGAGATCAATCATGCTGATAGACTATATGTTTCTATGCTTGGATTGTATTAATACAGTATATAATATGTTCATGACCAAGGTATTGGATCATTCCCAGGAAATAACCGATTCCCGGAATTGATCGTAACATATATACTGTTATTACACAAGATGTACAACGTTCTTGGATCTTTCGTACGCTATCATGACCATCATGGCTTAGAAAGTGCTCACTGTAGCGTACATCTGACAGTATTCTGATATCGACAAATAATTTTATCTTCAATAACTAGGTGTATCGTTCCTGACATCATCATAATCCATGCATTAGTACGATTGTAGATACAACGAATCATGAATTCGTAGGTTTACTAATATTATAAGGGTTGATCGATACGTACATTTCACATGATATTCACTTTCATTTTATCGCCAAACCTACTTTAACGACCCATAGTATACTAACCATTAACAACCACACTTCCAATCGACCTTATACGAGTAGAATATTATACGCGTGTATCGACTGCAGTATTCCGCTATTCAATGGATCAGCATGATATACTATAGTAATTTAGTAATCCATGGATATACCAATATGTGTTATTTCGGACAAATCTAGGGCTAGTTTTTTTTGAATTCATCGTTTCTACATATAGCCTTTGCTGACCGCATGTATCTACTTTCATCGTAGACTCTCTTTCATTTGTACTACAGTGTTACTAGATAATGCTTTCCCGTTACTAATTGATCTTCTCAATTGAATAAGATTAATACGTCCCTGGATTGAAAACACCTTCATGATTCTTCACTTCTAGATGTAGTAGTATCTATCTTGCATCTTCTATGATAAACCACTCTTAGGTTACCTAACCCCAACCCTTACCGACTTACGGCTTTCTTTACTAATATAATTAGTCAAACCTTATTAATATGATAATACTATACGCGTTTTATTAAATTAGTAGCTCGAAAGCATGTTTTATGTACATCTTTCACGATATAACGTTTATATCTGTAAATGTTAATAAATACTAATCATGGATTCATTGACTACGATAGATAGTACACAAGACGACAGCAATGATTGTCAATGTCATGGATGTATTGATAAACGTGCGTTTTTGAAGAAAACATCTCATAAAAAATCCAATCGTAAAATGTAAGTCTAATCTATACAAAGTTGAAAACTATTGCAATTGAATTCCCTGCTATTGAAATAGACGCAATGTATATTCCCTACGAAATATTCTAATGAAGACCTTCATTTCATTAGATATATAATACTAGTTATTGCCTGGATTATAGCTGCTATCATCGTTTATAAAGTGTCGTCAATGAAAAATGAGGCAGTGGCATTCGATCCATATGAAATACTAAAAATTAGTGAAGTAAGATCCACTGTATCGACATTGGGTTAACATATTACATGGTCGATCTTAGTAGCATTAGATTGATATAAGAGACTTCTAAAAGTCAATTTTTAAAAACTTATTGAGTGTGATAAAATTTCTTGTTATACGTAGACGTTATATCAATTTAGTAACTATATTTTGATATTTATTCTTTGAATCTCATGCGTCGGTTAAACAATCTTTATGCAATGTAAAACAATTTCTACGGCAGTATTATTAGCTTTTTGTCCTTACCTGATATCAATGTACTTGATTGTGTTTAACGATTGATATCAAATATTAAAGTTTCGGCTTATCATACTCGTATAATTGCAATATCATCACTACGAACTTATGTAAGCCCTCTTGCTTTTTCTTTACAAACCTAGGGTGCAATGCAAGCTCAAATTCGAGCAGCTTATCGTACACTTAGTAAAATTCACCATCCTGACAGAGGTGGAGATCCAAAAAAATTTATTATGATTTCTCGTGCGTACAAAGCGTAAGTTTATGCAGATATTATCGCTTGCATAATACTGATATTTTAACTAGACTAATTCTAACTTTCAATATTTCGTCAATGTTATCATGACTCCTTTAGACTAGCTAACGAAGAATCTCGTAAAATGTGGGAAGAATTCGGTGATCCCGATGGCCCTCGCGGTAATTTAACAATTTGATGACGCTGATAGAAAATATTGTACGAAATTTTATGTGTGATCAAACTTTTCGATGATGAGTATTCTCAATGACCCTTTTATTCAATCGTATATGTAATCAGAGATCAAGTTTGGTATCGCGTTGCCATCTTGGATTGTAGAAAAGAACAATTCATGGATGGTAAATACTTCATTAAATTTCTCTACACCACATAAACTATGATAAATTAAAAACTTATTGGTTCCTGTAGTAATTTTTCATCTCTTTATTTGTAGGTAGTACCTTTTAACTTGCTAGTGATAAATCTAACTATTAATCATAAAAATGATTGAGTGTTCCCTAAATTTTTTACAGATTGTTGCTTTCTATTTTATCGTATTCCTTGGTCTCCCTCCAGTTGGTTTGGTACGTAAACAGTTGTAATAGTTAGCTCCTCAAAGTTTTTTCTTTCGTTTAAATTGAATACAACCAATACAACTATTGTTATCTATTTTCGGCAATTGTAAATATTAAACTCTAATAATATATGGCTTAAACATTTAATAGTATTTTTGGTGGAGGCGTGCAGTTAAATATGGAGGCGATAAGGTTTATAGTGACACAGTAAAGCTTTTTACGTATCAAGTTCACAAAACTCATACCTTAGCAACGAGTCGTAAGTCAATTAATATCTTGTTTGTGATCGCAAATATAATAACTATCTAGATTACTTTTAAAAATTATGGCTACTTCGTACTTCTTAGGTGCATTAATGGTTTTGAGTGCAGCTTTTGAATTCTGTGGAAAAATGAATCCGGATATTAAAGAGAGAGAATCAGATAATGAAGATTTATCTAAGGTTAGTTTAAAAACTATTTCGTGCGTATTCTTCTCAGATTTACTTTAAATTTAAACGAGGGAACTCTATCCTTTATAGCTTGTCAGTAAACTTGGTTCTGAAGTAAAGATCGGGTGTAAAGAACAGCTATTGGGAGCACCATATTCTGTAAAAACCCGTGCATTATTACTCGCACATATGCAAAAAATGGAACTTCCGAGCAAAAATTTAAAAAATGGTATTCGTCTCACCTTCAACTTTATTCATATAATTAGGTAGTTAATCTGTTTTATCGTTAAATGCAATATGATATTTGTCTCTAAGATTTAGAATATGTTCTTAAGAAGTGCCCTCTTCTCATTCGTGAATTGATCAAATCGTGCTGCTTTATTCACTTAGTACTATTGTATCAGCGTAAGTTAAAATTTATCATATTTTATCTAATTAGTATTATCAAATACCAATTAATTTTTTAATATATTTCTAGAAGGACAAGTTCGAAATGTCTTTTCGTCCATTGAAAATATCCTTAAATTAAGTCAATGCCTTATTCAATGTACATGGGGAGATTTACATCCCATGTTACAGATACCTCACTTGAAACGTGAGATGCTGAGGCATTTTCAAACCAAGAAGGTGTTATAATTACAAAATGTTACAATATACTTGTATATACTCGTAGTTATGTAATATTAGGGCGAAAAACTAACGGGTGATACTCTATAAAATAGAGAAGTATAAGAACTATTACCGATCTGGTTGCATTACCTGCTGAAGATCGAAGGTATTTATTCAAACACCTTTTATTATTCTTACTGAATGTAATATTAAATTTCTACATTAATTTTTTGCTTTTCAGATCTTTATTGAGAACTCTGACTGACCAAGATTACAACGACGCAATGAAATTTTGTGCCAATTTACCATACTTGAGTATAACTGTCGATACGAAAGGTTCACCAAATTTTTAAGTTGTCCTAATTCATTCATGAAAGCTTCTTATTGATAACTGAAGTATAATACAGTTTTAGGAGAAAACATCGACTCTACTGTCATCACTACTAACTCAGTAATTACCTGTCAAGTATCGATTACTCGAAGCTCTTACGAGAAGGTAGCTGATAATTACAAAATACGGTAGATGACGTACTTAATTGTAAACTGCTGTAGTAGTTACACGATATCAAACAATTGTTTTACAGGAGTTATTTCATGAAGCAAATAAGGAAAAGAGTCTATCAGAAGAAATTGAAAATATTGGTCCAGATGATGAAGTACGATTTCACGCTAACTTTTTACCCCAAAATTTGTGAATTTTAGTAATAACGTGACAATGCACTTCTGTTACATTTTTTTTTATACCTTTCAACAAAATAGAATGAAAAGAAGGACCGTAATGCTCCTATGCAAAATCATAATTCTCGAAAAAAGCAAGGCAAAAATAAGAAATCTCAGAAATTTCAGAAAGGGAAGAAACCGGCTCAAAAGAAAATTACGAAAAAAGTCGAAGAAATTTCTACAGTACAGGATGAAGAGAGTGAAAATGATAATGCTGATGATGAAGAAGAGAATAAAAGTGATGCTGAATATAATTCTGATGATGACGATGTTGTAGCTAATGGTAAGGATGAGTGGGAAGTAAAAATGGAGAAGCGACACAAAGAATATTTATATGGCGATACGGTCCCTACTAGTCCGTTAGTTCATTGTCCATATTTTCCTGAGGTATTTATATCAATTATAAAGCTTTAGCGATATCTTATAGCTGATCGAAAGTGATCATTTTTAAATGACAGTATAAAATGCCACTTGCAGGAAAGACGAGAATCATGGTTTGTCTATCTCGCGGACAAAAAACATAGCCAGTTTTTAACAGAAAGGACCTTTTCATTTGTTGACGATCTCGTCGATACCAAGGAGGTTAGACATAAATTTTGTTTAATTCAACAGGTGGTATTGTATTTGATTCTTCTAGCGCTATTTAACTAGATTATTTTTCGGTAATCAATTATTCTCCATTTCCTATCTCTTTGTAAAATTCTAATGCCTTCTTTCTCACATAATTAGCTTACATTTCAATTTCCAGCACCGCCAAATATTGGTTCTTATGGATTTTGCGTTGTTGTTCGATCCGATTGTTACTTAGATGTCGATAAACGTGTTTATCATACGGTTTGTTAAATAAATTATTAACTGCAGCATAAAGTAGACAAATGTTACTCAAAGAAAATTTAGGTAAAATTGGCTGCTTTTCGCTATCATAATACGTAGATTAATGTTGAAGCACCAAAAGAATCTCACATAGCTGAAGTGAGTGATTTGGAATCGGAAACAGAAAGCGAAAGCGAAGACAATGGAGAAGATGTCACAGATTCGGGATCTGATGATTGGGACAATGAAGCTGAAGAGTAGAATAATATTGCTATTATGGATTTGAAGTACATTTTCAAGAATTGGTTTCATATATTGAACTCATATAGAAGCAGGCTTACCCTTTCATCAGATACTTTTATTTACATTTAATCGATTATAACGCACACATTTGATATATTATTAATTTTTGCGTGTGCATATATTATGATGTGTTGTAAGTCCGCTTATTTCTTCTACAACATGTATTACGACTGGTGTAAAACTTGTGTATTCATTACTGTAAACGATAAAAGTATTACACCATTAAACAGCAGCTCAGGCGAATTTATGGAAAGATCGTGGTTTAAATATTACTAGATCATGTTATAACTTTTTAGGTCATTGCTAATTAATTTACATTGGCCATTTCGCGTATTTAGTACAATATGAACTTGCAGATTTAAGTAGTGAACTTTTGACCACTAGTGTGATTGCTACAACTTCTATGGACCATTGGAAAGAGACCTGCTTTCTAGTAGTCTATGTGATTTTTAATCAACTCTTCTAACAAATTGAAAAATAAGTTGCCTTTATTGATGAATAATTCATGAATTGAAATTAGCCAAAAAGGTTGATAGGTGAACGCTAAACTGTTGAAGCCAAATTTCTTGCTGTAAAGGTGTAGTAAAATTAGTACGCATTTCGCTGGCTAACATATTTGGTTAATTTAAATAGAAAACTAACTTAATCAATATATCACAGCTGATGAAACCTACCGTATCGACTATCGTATTAGTTGTAGTATAACAGTTGCTAGATAACATCAAATCTGATTGTCCTAAATAATATGCGTTATGCAGGTTATGAGAATCCTAACAAGTCGCACGTTGCTTGTGATTACGGTACACAAAGTTCATGTTTGTATTGATTGTATTATTATAGTTGCTTTCTGATATAGGGCAAGAAGCAGAATAATAATAACTTAAATGCTTACCATACATCGATAAGATGGTCTCTTCATTTAGCCATATGGCTAATATAACGTCCTCTTTGCAAACCTTACCGTCATCAATTACAGTATAATTGATGAATTTAATAAGATCTCTCAAGAATATGACCATTAGAACAAACTAACTGTAAAATCCCAAAACTAAGTATTCATATACAGATTACATACTATTTTTCTGAGACACAGCTTTGCGTGAGCGACAGCCAAATTGCATCTGAAAATTTAAAAATATCTTATTTAAAGTATATTAAGTTATCATAACACGACAAAACGTAATCTAGGAATTAAATAAAATATTTTATCAAAACTAAATCTGGTGATATATAGTAAGAGATATTATATCAAACTTTACAATATACTGTAATCAACATAGTACCCACACGGTGTTAATTGCATTTAACGGGAACGTTAAGTTTAATTGGCAATCAAACAGAGATTGACGTCTTGCGAGGATATACTGCTCAACCAACGCTCTTGCATCATTAGGGAATTGAACTTCAAATTCTGATGCTAAATTAATAAGCTATTACAAAATGTATTACGAATCGATCAGGAAAAGTCTTAATTCGTAAATATTGTGATAGAAATAGTCCGCCTTTTATTTGCACTACGGTGAATGTAATTTACTTTATTATTTTTTTTATGTAACACTAACAATCAGGTTCGCAAAACATAGACATAATCCACTTTTACGAAATATTAACATAACTATGATATAGAAGCTGTAATATGCGTCATCATTCCATATTCAATACGCTATACTTTAGCTAAGGCTATTATATTAGCATCCACAACTTTACCGTCGTATGCATTACCGTATTGTAATCGATCGACTTAAGTCTGAATTGCTCACAGGAGTTGTTTGAAGTAACGACATTATTTGCTAGATCAATTCTTACACTTTTTGACCCCTCACATATAGAATCGTTGACCGGAATTACAAGATTAAATTGCCTAAAAGTGAAGTAAATCTGAGTAAGTAGACGTGATCTTCATCGCTGGAACTTGCAGTGCCATCGTGATTGCGGTATATATAGTCAGCGGTGTTGAAAGTATACGAAACAAAACAGTGTTAGGCTACAAATTCCTAACTGGTTATGAGAATAAAGATTGACCTACCTGACTAAGGATTCTGATATTCCAATTAATCTCTACGGAAATTATAGTACAGAACATCATAAAAATATCGAAACTTGCATACGCATTTAATGCGGTATACGTATTTGAATACCGTTTAGATAGTTTATTGATTAGTCAAAGTTTCTAAAATTTTGCTTCTTACATTTGCTGAACTAGACCAAACTGTGCAAGCTAAAGGGTAAAGAATGTGTGTTTGCTTATCAGTAAGACATTCTCCTTTATACTTTCGTGGAATCTCGACAGCGATTGATGAATCTTCCATCACTAAATAATATAAATTTCTGAAAATTGTGCAGATAACAAGCTCGATTCGAAATACTATGTAGTTTTAAAATTGCTAAACCTCAGTATTACTTTTTGGACACTTAAATTACACAGCCAAAGTTTGAAGAAAGAATTTTATATGTATGATACGCTCTAGAACTTATTTAGCTGCTTGATATGATTTACCTTTCCATAAGGCTTCTTTGTCTTCCTTTCTTTGAAAGTTTAAGTCATATATCAAGCAAATACCTGAATCTGCTAATGCAAGTGCGCCAGCCCCTAAGAATGACATAAAACTTACAATATTTAGTAATTTTATAAGATACGCATAGTCTGCTAATAAAATTTCGAGTATGGCAATAAAATTATAGTACCGGGACATGCGTTATGCGTATTTACCGTAGACCCAGTGATTATGATGATTATGCCAGGTGGTGGAAAAATCTGCAATTAGCTCTGTATTGGTTGTCTTATAAACTGCTCTAATAGGGAAGGTTTTGTTACATTAGCCATTTATTTTCATTTTATATAAGGATAATGTGTGTTATCTAACAATTACTGTGGTCAAAATGAAGTACACTGCAGTTTTTTAACTTTACTGTGTAAGATATCTAGGCAGGTGTTACCGTAAATACTTTCCATTCAACTAAATTTGGTTTCAGCTATATAAAGATGTTACAAAGTATGCTTGGTACAACATGTCTTTTATTTTATTTTATATTCCTGAACGTTAGTATTTAGACCAGACAATTCTATTATAAAATGATGTAATTATTCGTATACGTAATTATCAATAATATCGACTATTGATCTTTATTTACACCATTTTCTATACTAAAAAATAAAATTTGCTTATACAGTTTTTTTAAGGGATCTTTGTTGCATACAATCTATTAGCTAGATACAAAGATCAGGGCTTGCAGCGAATCTAGCCCCTCAATTCAACTGTCTACAGGTGTATATATATCATGACTACTCATATATGATATGGCCACAATGTATGAAAGCTATAGAAAATTGCGGCACTCACCTCTCACCAAGTAGACTCCCAAGTTTAAAAAGTCTCTCAATGGCCAAAGAATTTTCACTGACAGTTAAAATGTGTAATTTTGTTTTACTGTAAGAAATATTTTTAGACCAGCGGTGATCACTTCTGCTTGCAACTATACTGAGCAATATTCCGAGCTTTAACAAGAAGTAACTTCCACTTGGCGCGACATCGACTTTGGAGTAATTGACAATGCAGGTTTCGTTATACGCCGTAATCATCCGTACGCATATAGCTCAGTTAGTATGTTTAATTAACCTCCTACCTCCAAAGTCCAAGGACAGTTTAGCAGATAACCTCCATGGTGAATTGTTATATTCTAAAATGTATAGCGATTTACAAACAGTTTAGGTTCAGTCAACCGGCAAATAAATTAAATATTAATATTTGCCCCTTTAATGTAAAATACGTAAAATAATACTGGAGGAAAAACACAAATTGTTGAAATCTGATTTCTGAACGGCATACAGCATAACAATCCTCATTACCTTTTTGAAGTTTCCAGATATTTGAATAAGGGTCACACAAAGTACGCGGAGGTACTGATACAGTTTTGTTACAAACCTAACAAAGCAAATATCTAATTGTTATACTAAGTTTTAAAAATACCATACTGAGACAGTTTACATGAAAGAAGTGACTCAAATTGGTAAATTTTCGTATCTTTGAACACTTCTAACCTGTACAGCCTGTAAATTTAAGGAAATAAAACATTTCAGAATCTATATGAGTTACTTTGATGTTCTTCTATTTTCCTTAATGTTGTATAATGTTTGAAATCTAAAATATCCTGAGACTGGTTATGCTATCTATCATGTTATAATTAGCATTGTTACCTCAAACATCGGTTCTAACAATAACTTCTTATTAAAAGTAGAGATTGCATTTACGATTATGCCCGTAAACCTGTAACTACTACCTATCGTGATTTTCTTTATTAGATCATCTAAAAAGTAAATGCATAATGTAAAGCGAAACGTACGTACAAGAAGATTACGAGTGATCTATTAATTGAGTAAGTTATCATCAAAAGCTAGTAGAAACAGTGCCATAAATTGATTTTACATGAATGCCTAGGTTAAGTTGCATTACCTTTCAAGCAGATTTTCATAGCAGCTGAATAAGAAAAATCTTCTTTAATCCCATTTAAATCCATGGATGTGGTAACAAATATTTTTAGTTCGTCTTCATTCATAAATAATAGCATTACTTTCTTGGTTTCACATGAACATACTTTATATTTCAAGAAAAATTTGTTGATTGTACCAGCACCAACTTACAATTTATGTCATAAGTTAAGTTTAAAAGCTATATTGCAGTATCAATACTTATACTGCATAAGACATAATCGTAATGCAGTCAAACCACAAGATGATGCTTCGAAACACTGTTCATACCTGATAGAATACGACTACTAATATCTTCTACTAATGAGCTGCCGCAAAATTTACATTTAAAATTGTTTCTGGAATAACGTGTTAATAGGAAATAACGTTAAGATGCAAATTACTGAGCAATTAAGCTGCGCATTGCTAAGACTTTTAGCAGTAATCAAAATGAAAAAAGATTAGCACAAAATGTATATCATAAGAAGAAGGTTACGCTACTTGATGATATCGCTATCTGTTACACCAATAGCATAGAAGACGATATAGGAATGACAGCTCCATCCGGTGCATTGATTGTGGCTACATCTATATTTGGTACTATGACTGAAATAGGTAATGAAACTTTATAAAGGTTGATTCCGTATTATTGCACGATATTACTGATTTTATAGCTTATATATGAAATCGTATTCTAAGAAATGCCTAGTTATAAATATGGCAGATTTTTAGTTATAAAGCTGTCAATAAAGTATAATTACGACGCGCATGTTGATTATACGTATAAACTTATTCTCATTTTTCAGAAGGCTATCGAGTATTATTTAAAATTTTCGATACATACTAAATATAAAAAATTGATTTTGACTACTATATCATATAATTTGCGTGTAGCTAACTACGTACAGTACGGTATATCCTGTTTAAGAATAGCCAAATAGTACATGAAATTCACACAGTTGGACCAGCTGATGATTATGTGAATATCGGTTAATCTAAGGAATAGTGTTATGCGTTGGATACTGTACTAGCATGAAATTTCGATGACGCTATTAGGTGGTTACGCCAATTTGTAAAAGTTTGTGATAAAGTATTATAAATTGGGTATGGTTTACCTCTATAAAATGAGCTAAATTCTATCAATTAGTACAAAAAGATTATCTCTTTAATGACCGATTTTAATCAACCCGATGAAGCTTCTGGTGTTAGTATAATTCAGAGGTCGTCCTTACCCGTAATGCTTAAGTCAATGTACAATAAGTACCATTTATCAATTAAGGTCGTCAAGAAATTAACAACACTGAAATGGTTTATCTACGAAATTAAATCTAGAATTAACTGATTATAATTAATTATTAAACTATCAAGGTACGCGTATCTACACTTTTAAAACTCTAAAGAACATAATTGGCATCGTCAGGTTGTAAATTGTGTTGCTATATTACGTTTAAGTGTAATAAATATATGTATACGAATATATTGATATTGGCAAGTAATAGCACTTGTCAGATATCATTACAAATTAATTTGTAATTCATTCATGTACATTATACAGCAATATCAGTATAAAGTATAATGACGCTTGTGCCTTCATTTCTCAACATATACTATATACTGTAGACTGTAGTAAAGTAGTTTAACAATTTTAGTCTACTGTTTTATACAATATTACCATACGATCTCGCGCAAGACTGTAAGTTATGACTAATTGACTAGTATAATAATTGGTAGAATGTCTTAATCAGTTATGATTATGTTATGTTTGCATAGTATAATACAAGACCAATCTAAAATTAGAATCGATTATAACGAGATAATATGCTATTGTATGCTATTATAGGAGTTCCTGAGATTCAATTTGATGATTAATTATTACCTGTTATCTCGTAGTCGACTGGTAACGTCAAATAAAGTCACATGACAATAAATCGTATACCGTATACTGTTACATATGTACGGAACTATATGGATGCCACCGTTGTCAGGCAAAGTTTTACCGAAAATGTCCCCAAAATAATTACCGTACTTTCCTGTGTAGTTTCTAAGCCAATAACATACGATACATACTGTATCTTAAGATTTGGTTATACTGTACAGTATGTGTACATATTTACTACAGTACTATTCTTGTTAGTCTATTCAGTAGCACCAGTAGCGCAAGTGCTTACCGTTAAAACATCTTTCGTACATGTTGATGTAAAATCACTAGAATGTTATACGACCGCTAGTGAAGAGATCATCGAAAAAAGAGACAAATAATGACGATAGTAAAGAAATTCTTTATGATTTTGATGATAACGCTTAATTTGATTGGATTAGGTAAATTTTTCTTAAATGAATGATATTTTAACGGTACTAAAAGACTGTGAAAATAAAGATAATCTTGAATAACCTGTTGAATTATCTTATTGGTATAGTAATTTTTCCTTTGCGAAACTAAAAACGCAGAATTATTGACTTGTAAAACTTATTACTTTGTAATTTATCGTTCTGTTACTTTTATTCATAGTTTAATAAAGATATAGGAATATTAAATATCATTTGTAAAGCTTTTCAACGTATCAAATACTTTTATATCAGATTCACTATGATTCTTTATTATCAAAACAGATATCAAGTGATAGTTAAACAGTCAATCGTACTACACTTGTCAGTGGCCTTGCTTTTTTAATGTTTCTTTGGTTTCACGTCGTAGGATACTGCATTAGTGATGGCTCTGAATTCGCTCATTCAACAGAAGCTAAAGCTCATGAATATCCATGGCAAATTGTTTTATTAAAGAGAAACTATGCTGTTTGTAGCGGTGCACTGATAAATAAAATGTGGGCATTAACGACCGCGCACTGCATATCAAATATAGATCCATCAGTTATGACAGTAACCCTAGGAGATTACAATTTGGTCAAGTCGGAAGGGACAGAACAAACTGTTGTCCCGGATAAAGTCTATGTACATCCAAAATTCAATCACTCTACTACAGATAGTGATATAGCATTGATAAAATTTAAGGAGCCCATAACTTTTACTTTGGCAATAAAGCCGATAGCTCTACCAAGTGATGAACAGGCTCAAGTTGGAATGTACTGCATTGTTTCTGGATGGGGCAAAAGAAGCCTAGTTGCTGATGATAGACCAGACATTCTAAGGCAGGCAGTTATTCCTATAGTATCAAATAAAGAATGTAACGAGCCTATAGCATATAAAGGTGAGATAACTAAGAGGATGTTATGCGCTGGCTATAAATATGGTGGTCCGGATGCGTGCACCGGTGACAGTGGAGGGCCGCTGTCATGTTTACGCGCTTCCCGAAAAGCGAAGCAAGAGTGGTTTTTAGCAGGTTTAGTAAGTTGGGGTTCACGATGTGGTTCTCCGTTTAAGTTTGGTGTCTATACTCGTGTTAGTTGTTTTCGAGAATGGATTAAAGATACGATAGATAATTCAGCCTTAACCGACACCCCTCTGTAAAAGTGTCGAAATTTCTTAAAGTAAAATTAACTTCCAATTTCAAATCGTTTTATCGTATTCACTCAAACGCATCTACGTCAGGATTATAAAATTATCAAAACCGTTTTAAAAAAGTTGCTGAAATTACAGCTAAATGAAACGGTGCGTACATATCCAGCAATTTTAATTTTTAAGATCAAATTTCTCTATTTGAAGATAGGAATATATATTATAGAATAACTCTGAAGGCTAGTCCTAAAACCCAAATGTACCCGTAAATTACGGTATTTGAGGTTATGTTGCAATTTTCCGAAGCTGCTCACTGACAACCGAATTTCAAAGGCAGCAATAGTGAAATAATTTTTATGTTTTGCTCTGATTCTATAATATGTTTAAAACTTTTCAACAATTTGTGAAAGGAATTAAATCTATACGGGCATTCCTCCCGGCTTATAATTATTTTAAGTGAATAAGAATATATAAGATGTAAAAACTAATGTCAATCGCTATTTTTACCGCGAATTACTGTAAACACGAATATCTCTTTAAACTCTTATTCTCCGCACTACCTCATTACACGTATTGTAAGAAGTACAAATTGTATTGATCTAAGGAATATACAAAAAGCTATACCATAATGTTAATAAATCTGGATTTCGATCCATTGCTAATATCTTTTTCAAACATTGACAATTATACTGATCTTATTTAGTCTATGAGCATAATAATTAAAAAATCCTCTAAGAATGGTTCTGTTCTAATACAAAATAAATTCATTCTATGAATTTAAATATCATACAGGGTCTTGCTACAAGAATATTGTGATTTTACTATTACTTAAGAACTTACGTGTATTTAGTCATTGACATAATACCGGTAACCTGTCCAGTAACCATAACGTAATTGCCTTTATACTTTGAATTTGTGATTTCTGCTGAAGTGTTTAAGTTGTACCTACATAATATATTATTTGATCCATACAAAGAGCAGGGCAATTAATTTAAAATTTACTTCGCCACAAAGACGTATTTGTAAATCAATATTACTGTGGTAGAGCGGGTAAGCAAAGCGGTCTTAATATAATGTAAACTTGATCCTCAATTTGAAGATTAGGTAGCCAGCCAAGAGCATTGAATAACGTGAAAAAAACCTAAGAATGCCAGAGGTAGTAATTTGACTTGAGCCTTAGTAGTGACATTTACCGTACTGCTGTTAAGGTAATTTCATTTCAGAAAGAAATTTAATTATAAATGTTTCTAGGTATTCTATTAAACATTACTTGTTTGAATACTTTAGTGACAACTGTTGGGTGATTGTTAAGGATAAAGTTGCCAAGTATTGCTGTAATACGATTACATATCACGAATGGTTAGCGTTAATTAAGTTATATACGTAATTACATCACAATTTAAATTAGAGTACTAAGTCAGCGACATAATTCAATATCCGGTATGATGAGTTTGTAAGCTGTAAGTCAGTTAGCATAGCGAGAATAATCGGAGTCTAATTTAATGAAATATTGTAATAAATTATGAGGGGCCTGCAATCGCATTATTCCTGACATTATCATAACGTCTTTGCAGGAAGATGATGCGTCTAAAAATCTTCTAAATTTACGATTACTTGTGTTACTATTGTCATTAATTCTATCATATTCTTTTGGAGAAAGAAATATTGATAGCGAGATCTATAGCAATTTTTCCGATGTAAAGGTGAATTTGCAATTACCATAACGATAAAGACGTTATAAAGTTTCTAAATTCATAAACAATAGTAGAGTATTTATCTTGCTATCTTTATAAAGGTAATAAAGTTAACCACAAAGAAATTTGCTCTGTAATAAGCGAAAGAGTTCTTTCAAACTAGCAGAGAAAATTACACTGAAGATAAGCACATTAAGGTATTATTATAAGTGACTGATATTATGAGAATTTTCCAGAGCTTGATATGACGGGATGGTAGTATCGTGCACGTAACTGATTAATTAAGGTCCAATGTCTTAGCTTATATATAAACCGAAATGGAGAGCAAATGATACAGTACAATGTGGTAAAAGGTGAAATTACGTTCCCTACTTTAGTAGTTCATATATGCCGTTAAGAACAAGTAGAAACTACGGCACTGCGTTTAGGTATATGCAGTTATGAGGTGCTAGTTATAATAAAAAGTTTGAATGCCTAGATCATAGTTATCGCTCATAGTGTACCATTGAAGTCTACGACTTCCATTGGATCGAATTCTATAACAAAACGGAATAAGCCATTTTCCTACCAGATGAGAAAACATCATTATACATACAGAATCATCGAAAAGAATAATATACGTATAAAAGTATTTATGAGTTCTGCATTAGTGTGTATTTTATCTTTACTACCACAGCATTAGAGAAGGTATAATGCTGACATTGGCATTTAATTTCTGACAGCAAGTTTTTATCTTCAGCTATCCAAAGAAATAGCCACTGATGAAGTGTCAGGTTGGTTGATGAATCCATTCCACTTTTTTAAATGTAGCAATGACCTTATAAATGGAGTAAATCAAAGCCCAGAAATCTTGCGTTATAATTTTCTTTTATGTACTTTAAGTAAGAGTAATTCTAATTGTTAATTCTATACCGGAAAAATATAACTTGACAGAATGATTTTTCAACTTTGAATTATAAAATCTGGCAATACCTTTCAAAGAATGCAAAGATGCTGCTATTCAAGAAAGTTTTACTTTCTGAAAGGAAAATACCCAATAATGGTTTTCAATGTTAGGACTATAAATGTACCAATACTTGCAAAGAATGCAAAGATTACTATTCGAGTGTATCTTCCTTTCTAAAAGGAAAAAAGTCTAATATCATCTTTCAATTTTGGACTCTAAATCTGGCAATACCTTTCAAAGAATGCAAAGATTACTATTCGAGTGTATCTTCCTTTCTAAAAGGAAAAAAGTCTAATATCATCTTTCAATTTTGGACTCTAAATCTGGCAATACCTTTCAAAGAATGCAAAGATTACTATTCGAGTGTATCTTCCTTTCTAAAAGGAAAAAAGTCTAATATCATCTTTCAATTTTGGACTCTAAATCTAGCAATACCTTTCAAAGAATGTGAAGATTACTATTCGAGTGTATCTTTCTTTCTAAAAGGAAAAAAGTCTAATATCATCTTTCAATTTTGGATTCTAAATCTGGCAATACCTTTCAAAGAATGCAAAGATTACTATTCGAGTGTATCTTTCTTTCTAAAAGGAAAAAAGTCTAATATCATCTTTCAATTTTGGACTCTAAATCTAGCAATACCTTTCAAAGAATGTGAAGATTACTATTCGAGTTTATATCTTCCTTTCTAAAAGGAAAAAAGTCTAATATCATCTTTCAATTTTGGTTTCTAAATCTGGCAATACCTTTCAAAGAATGCAAAGATTGTTAATGGAGCGGGCGCCACTTTCTAAAAGTAATAAGTGGAATAATGGTTTTCATTCACTACGAAGTCAACTACAAGCTTCATTTACCTCGGTAAGATGACGCTCGAGAGATAACATCGTGTGACATCGTGTTCCTACGATTAGTGCGATACGATCAGCCAATAGTATCACACTACTTGTGATGAATATCAACTGCGAATTAGTGAAGTGCCTGATTGAAGTCTGTGCACTTTACACTCTATTTCTGACTATCTCATACGAAAAGAACCGATCCATCGTGGGATATAGCAATATTACTGAAATGTTGAGTGGTTCATTAGTAGTGTCGATTTTAAATTAATTCCTGACAAATCATTTTAGACTTGAGAAATTTGTAAAACTTTCCATTCCCAAGGCATGACAGTTTCGTGGTAATGAATAAGGAAACATGCTTGTTTCAGGAAAGGTTGATGCTGGATAGGGTGACTTGTGGTAAATGATATGACGAGACCACAAACTATTGGCTATCATGTACGCATCACGTATGTATGACGAAATCGACGCATTCACACTTTAAATGAAATATTAATTATTATTAATATCAAGAATAATATTTTTATTTTAATAGAGGCATTGCGTATAAAATAACGTGATAGGACTTCCAAATCTGATGCAATTTCACTTTGATTGATGGAATAGCGTTACCATATTCAAAATTCAATATTATGAATTCCATGTACCAACGGAACAAATGCTTCCTATACTTGATCAGCTATCTTATACAAATTTGCATACAATTCGCTCAGCAAATAGTGGAAATTGCTCACTTTAGCCTCGTACTATATAGCTATAATACATACCCATACGTTAACGTATATATGTTACGGTCGAGGTCTGGGACGAAGGCATCGTATACGCTGACTATGATGACAACGACGATCTATACGATGACCAAACTTAATTTCACTTTGATTGATGGAATAGCGTGACCATATTCAAAATTCAATATTATGAATTCCATGTACCAACGGAACAAATGCTTCCTATACTTGATCAGCTATCTTATACAAATTTGCATACAATTCGCTCAGCAAATAGTGGAAATTGCTCACTTTAGCCTTGTACTATACAATTGCAGAAAAAAAATTTCCAGTATAAATATTCAAATTGACTAATGACTGTCGGATTTAGGTTCGTAAAGAGCTAAGCTACACTATTTGACAAATTTAGACAGTTTGCAGTTTGACTTTCAAAGTTTCTGCTACTTTATAGATTAAGCTGGGTCCCCGGGATCCATTTATATTGAACAGAAACATGATTAAAGTTTTTGTTCTTAATGTTCTTAAGTAGCCAGAAATTGGCGGTGTAGATCTTGTAGAACAGCTTCAGAAAGTGATTTATTCAAATTTTCGATAGCTATTCTAATTACTCGACATACTGTAGAAAAGGAGCTGTGAAAGCCAATGTCAAGAGAAAGTTACTAATTCATATTTTATTACGATACACTAAAAGAAGAATTGAATGAATAATAAAATGAATGAACAATTATATAAAATTTTTTAATATGTTGCACCGTTGTCGAATTGAAATATAAATACGGCCCGACTATTTACAAAAATGGATTGATAATATTTTAAAAATTCTCCATAAGCTGAAAAGAATATATAGTGCATAAAAGAGTTAATAATCTTCATGATCAATGTCTCCAGTGTACTCGCAAATATCATCGTAATCGAATTCTGCAGCTTTCTGATTTGATAGTAAATATGCAACAGCTTTGTAATTGGACTTATCCCGGCTAACAATTTTTCCAACCTATTGTAAATAATTTAGTGACTGAGTAGGAAAATTAAGGCCATCTAATTTTTCAAGTAATTATGTACCGTGTGTTACATACAAGAACATGAGTGATATTTAGTGGTGCAGAGTGTTGTAAATGTTAAAAATACTCAGGACTAGGCGATAAAATGCTTATAACACTTACCATGCCGGCATGTTTCCCTTTCACAACGATGACATAGGCAGGATTACCTTTCGGAACAATAGTTTCTAGCATGTCTTCGGTAATATCTTACAAAAGTACAAAATAAAAGTTTAGAAATCATTTAACTCAAAAACTATTTCGTAGGCAGCTTACTTTCTAATAAACGGCCATCATCAGTTTCGCAAATACATGTACCAGCACGGATGACATCGATAATTTTAACCTATTCAGATAGAAAACTTTTAATTAAAAATAACACTGAGATCCGTGAAAACTTAGTAGTGCTAAAATAATACTTAAAATTTACCTTATGGTTATAATATCGACCATGTTTGTACGACTTGCTAATGAGTCGTACGCGAGTTTTAGGTCTTACCCATACATTACTGCCAGTTTCGTCATGCTTATTCGAATGATAGTGGTCTTTGCTTCCGGTGTAATTATTGCCGTGATGGGATCGATTCTTATCTTCACCTAACGTTGATTGTGGAGGATACTTGTTATTAATAGCAAATTCAGTCCGCAAATCAAGCGCAAAAGATAAGTGTACTCACTGGGATAGCGTTCTTCATCTCCCCGCTTTCTTTTAGAACTTTTTAAACTATCAGTACTGTTACTTTTTCAAAATGAAGAGGCTTAATTATATGGAATAAGTTGTAGGCTAATTAAGGCAAGTATATATTTCATACACTTACAGCGTCTCTTCACGTCCACTGCGAGAATTGATAAACGATTGCACTTTATCAACTTTATTTAACCTCATACAATTCTTCGTGTATTCTTTTTCGCTAACAATTTTCAAACAATTTTGACTAATAGTTGTTTTCTGCGGATGAAATAAATTATCCCCCGAGATTAAGGTTAGTGGCGTCTTATACTGTTTCAATCCTGCGAATATTAATTACCTAACCTCTTTATTAATTGCGAGCGCAACAAAAATGCGGCCATTATCGCCATCGATACCCTCTACCTTACCATAAAGGTCCGCATGTGGTCCAGCTACAACCATTACGTGAACTCCACGAGCAAAACCTAACGAAATTGTTGTTACCATTTTTGCTGCAAAACATACTGGAATAATATAAAGAACGAATTATTCTATCATATACTTTTATTTACCGTCTGACGTTCTTTCAGGCTCTTCATATTTTTCACCAGGTTTCCTGATCTTATCAGGCTTATTCTTATTTTTGTCATCCGATTCAACAAGACGTTCAGCTCCTAAACCCAGGCCTTTATAGCGAGGGGTGAATTCTATGGGTTTGATAACTCTGCATGCAGTAAGGGATTAGTTAAAATAATACCGTATGCCATAACAATCAAGTAATTAAATTGTGAGGCCTTGATAAAAATGAAGTATCAGTCTTTCGCAATGAACTTACTGCTTATTAGTCTTGCCAATTCCTTGACCTACTGACCAGCCCATTCCACGCAACATGGCTTGGCCAAAGTTGGATATCGGCATGTTCTCATAGTCTTCCAGTGAACTCTACAAATCATTGTAGGAAGAGTAAATAGTTTTACTGACGTTTAGTGGTATCGTCGTTGTTATTAACAAGTAATTCCATAAATAGTTGAATAACAAGCGATGTATCAATTAATGTTGGATAAATTTATATGCTACTTACTGTTTCTGGCCTCATCGCAATATCTAGTTTTTCGGAGCTTTCTATACCTTTAACCCGTGGTGCACAGTTTTGCATTAATAGGGGGACAATATGCTCCTCTTCTGCATCATTAACCTCTACTTGACTATTTATTTCTGTAGATAAAGAGAAGATGCACATGTATATCATTTGAAGGCAGTGTTAATTAAAACCTTTGATGTAGTGAAGTCTACAACGACATCGAAATAATAGATTAAATTAAAAATTGAATTTAGTCTTGACCATGGCATCTTTACATGTACTGCACTGTATATTGCATTAAGATTATTGGCTATTAAGAAATGAGAGTATAAACTTTTATAATCCCTGTCGATCGCGATCCTCGCCGTTCTGCTATTGCGTATATGGTAATATCGTCTACTATTATTCCAAAAAGGGTTGTAACTGGCAATCGCTGTAGTATAATTTAACACAAGCTTTCCTTCTAATTTATTGCTTTATCTCTATTATTTAGTCTGCAGAAAGTGTACAGAACGGATAGTAATTGCTACAGCTAGAATTATTGCAGCCAGGAAAATAACGAAATCATTCAGATAACAACGGAAGACATAAAATGAAGAGATGCTTATAACATTTACACTGATAATAGCAACATTACCTTGAAGAATTTCTTGGGCTGCTTCAGCATCTAGGTTAGATTTATCTTGATTAATTAGATTAGCTATGACCTTTTCATTTGGTATTACCCAGCGATTCCTTTTGACCATGGGAATCACGGCTGGACCTTTATTTCTGTCGCTGCTTTTACTCCTAAGATACATGAAATTTAGTATTGATCTGGAATAAAATGGCGTCCCGAAAAATTGCAATCAAGGCCTAGTCTATGCAGTTGTATAATTAATTGTAACAATTTTGACAACTGAGCAAGTCTTAGTTATACGAAAATTAAAAATTATAACTAAGCAACGGCATACGTATGCGTCCTACAGTATAATTTATTTATTTAATTTCCAGTTAATGGCTTCATGGATTGCAGTCATATATTTCTTCCCATACGAGTAAGTAAGTCTTGAATTATATCTTACAGACAGTCCTGTAATACCTTATTTATCATTGCCCAATCTAGAGTGGGTATTTGATATCTAGCTATGATTAACAGCATATCCGTACAGTATACCCCAATCACGTAGACTAAGGTGAAATCTTTCAAGATGAAGAATGACAAATAAGCAATAATAGTGATTCTGAATTGTTACGTTTACATTATTTCTCTCCATGGCCTAACGTACGAGTTTAGCAGATAAAGCTTTATAAATATATGTCAAAAAAACATAGGAATTAATAAATAAATCAGCTTATTAGACATATAGCTATATAGGTGAGATTGAGCTGGACTGTTCAACTTCACTAGTAGAAAGCATATTACTTCCAGTTGTGGTTGCAATTTAAGGAAACTTCTACGTTCATTTCACGTTCATTGAAAGTGAAGAGTGCTGTAAATGAATTTACCCTTCAATAACGTTTCCTTCTAAACCAGTAATAATTTCTTTATCATCCTCTATTTTCTCTTCTTCGTTATATTTCGATGTGTTGAGCTTTTTAGGAGCAAAATTTTTATTAAGTGTGAAAGATATCGTGGAAGTCTTCTTGTCATCCATTTTCCTAGCAAAGCAGCTCGTTATTGCGATCACCGACCGACAGACCAGAGGACTTTAAATTTAATTTAAATTTGTTTAGCGCTGCTGTACAGTGTACAGTACTTCAGCACTCTGCTAGGGGTACCAATTACTATAGATTTTACAGTACAGTATACTGTACAGTACTGTACAAAGTGTCTAATAAGGGGCTTACTGTACTGTATTCCCGAAGTTTTAGATGATCAAAAATAAATAAAATATTTTGCAATTTTAATTCATTTTATATCAATTGAAAGAAAAAGAGTGGAAATACAAGAGTCTGTCGATAGAATTTTCGTACGGTATCTAATTTTTTCATAAATTACGTTTAATGAGAAACAGTTATTTCTAGTACAGTAGAAGTCCCTGACTGTACATTCTACAATACAGTAGGCACAGTAGTAGTTGGAGTTAAACAGAACTGCATCCAAACACCTACTGACAACATCTCATTAAAACGAAGACTGCTGTAGACCATGGATACTGGACAGGGGCTATTAAAAAGAAGACAGAATTTAGTAGTCTCTGGGTATACGCTTTTATTGGTACCATATAGTAGAATGACCGAAAAAATGATATAAGCCTTGGCATTATTTTGCACCGACGGTCGTTGGCAGTCCCGTTTCTGTCTTATTTAGTAGTCCAAGACTAGACAAACTTACAGCATCATTAGCATGGTGCAAGTAGACTACGTCAGGGTGCAAATGAATGCTATAAAACGCAATAATATGCTGTTAAAGTATGATCTACCAATAAATTTATGCTCAAGCCTAATGGTCTTGCTTAGTCTTGTTTAGTCTTGCTCTTGCTATTTTGTTGACATTTTTACAACTGACTCAGTACAGCAGGTTGTTCCACTCGTGATATTCTCTTGCTATAAGTTTACTGAATTTTCCAGCATTCTCATATCGGTACTAAGGGAGATGCGGGTTGTGTTTGCCCCCTTATAATATATTTATATATATATGTCACAACCCTCACTTGTGGCAAAGGAAAGTAAAGAACTCTAGTGTAGTTACTTAAAACTTGGGCTATTTCTCCCAGTACTTTCAGTTTTTATGAGAGAAGTATTTGAGAACTCGATTTCTCGGCTGATCTCCACTGACAACTGACTAATTATTACACTATTCTTCACGATATGAGTCTTGCCGTTTCTTGAGCAATTACTAACTTTATTCTACAAACACACGCGCTTAAATATGTTTCTACAGTGGATTCCAACATTAACGAGTGAGAATTCATGCTTTACAAGTTACATTAATTAGTATATTACCATTACTAAATATACATGTCGATATTCTCAGACTTAGATAGCTACAAGCTATCAGGTGTTAAGACGCTTAACCTTCGTCCATATACAGCTCAATTTTTAGAGATTAACACACCTTATAAACCTACAGTAAATTAACTGCTAACAACTTCTATTTTTATCTCATTTCTACCATCCTATTATCAGCTACAAGCGCATTAAAACATAGCACATAACCTTGTCTTATCTATTCATAAGCATTCATTAATTTACAGTTACTTAATTAGTAACGGCGTACCGTGACAATATACTGTACAAAGCTATTACGCTAAATTATAGTTATTTATACCTATACATAAATATAATAGGTATTGCCTATACTGTATGATATCCATTAATTATACTGTACTAGTATATCAGTTTAGTTTGATCCGGTTGCGATTCCTTTCATCAGACTTAATAGAAAGTATTTACGCGGGCATTCTATAGATACTTGTTACTTGTTATCATAGCAATCGAATAGACTTGTTGCGAATTAGGTACTAATCTTGATAGGACAGGCAAAGTGGAAATGGTATATCTGCACAGTACTGTGATCATCAAACATCTATGAACATTTTACCGATTGTAGTTCCTCGTGAAGCAGACGAGTTCAGTCAATTCTCGATATTCCACTCTTTATCTGGTCTATTATGTGTATACCAGTGATACTTTTGATGACAGTCTATATTATAAAGTAGAGAAGAATTTGTAAGGTATCAGTTTCCTATTTTGCTGTGCGCATATTTCTAATTGATCTGTCTAATTTAATGCGGGCTGTACATGCAATATAGATAATTTTGATAGCCTACTTCATAATATAGGGTAGCAACTCCAAAAGTATTCATTGCATCGTACCAATATCATTTTTCTTAAACAAATTTTAATTTCTATACTTTAGACAATTGAACTTAATTTTGTTTACTTACGATAAATAATATCTCTTGGAGCGGAGAGGGATCTGTATCTCATGGAGATTTTTTGTTTGAATTAAAGGCAATATCCGGTTATGATTATTCTTTATCTTGATCAAGCTTAGTGTTATGAACTTCCAATGTTTACGTTAATTGATACTGTCAAACTAATTTCAATTAGTTGCCATGGTACTTTTAAAGCATAAGCAAATTGGTCATTATAACATGTAGTAATTTTTCAAATAAGCTATGATTGTCAATAATAATGAATAATCAAGCACATCTGTTAGTTAATTAATGTCAACAACGTCCCTAAGCCTTTAACGAGGTCGATAACATTTTAACATGATCTATCGATGCTCATGAATACAGACATGAAGAGTACAAGAGTACAATCCAGTTAAGAGTTACGTATTAATTATCTACGATAGACGATAATTGTCCGTATAAATGGTGCCGGTATTAGCTTTCTAGAATAATTAATAACGTAATCTGTAATCCGTTTTAGGTCTAATTATACCAGTTGAAGATACTACTATAGTGCCAATTTTATAAATACTGTATCACCCAGTAAAGAATTGAACCTTTTTAATATAGGACAAACTTTAGGTATACTGACTATTGAAACTATTAATATTTTAAATCACAGCAGCTTGTTTATTTATCTAACGATTTCATTCTTCCTTTCTGACGTTAAATAATAATTCGGTTGTTATCGGCCGTACAATCTTCAATATCTTCGTAGATGAGGTAAACTTACAACTTGAAACAATTTATTAATTAAACGGTTAATAATCTTCAATTTCTGCGTGCTAGACATACTAACAACAAATCCTATCAATAAATTAATTTTATAGTTTTAAACTCTAGCATTCTCAATTGACGAAGAGGTATACTATGAATTCAATCACTTTGTATTTATCCGTTTACTTTTCGGTAAGTAGTCTCCCAAATCATAGAATTTCTTATTGAATAATATCTTTTTTGTATCATTTCATTCGATTTCCAGTGGTAATGATGTATGACACACAGTAGAAAATTTTGAATAAACTGTCGTTTCTGGCTTACAAGACGCAAAGTCTAACTAAATAATTTTATTTTTTTAATTATAGATCATTCTCTTGCTGTCAGGTAAAATTTTGTTCACACCATAGAATATTTGTTAAAAGTTGTTTAATGTATCATCCTTAGGTGAACTATTTTTCAATATTTATTGAATCATTGAATTTTGATTAACTTTAAATTTCTGACCTTTTTTGAAAGTTTGATAATTCGATAGTTTGATTCGATCGTACCGTAGGCCCACTACTGGGATTATGTTCGTGTCCAGATAATACTTGGATTCAACATGATGGGAGTTGCTATAAATCTTTTGCTGAACCGAAAACTTTCGAAAGTTCTCAACAACAGTGTCAAAGCAATAATAGTGAATTAGTTACCATTGACACTAGAGAGGAAAATATTTTTCTTGCATCGAATGTTCTTGGAAATCAAAATTTAAAATTTTGGATTGGATTACAAGATAAAACAGGAGATAAGAATTTTACAAGCTATCAATGGATGTCTAACCTAGAATATTTAGATTCAGCACTTTATCAGAATTGGCAGTATGATAATCCAGTTGAGGCAGAATATCGCTGTGTCTATTTTACTACACTAGGATGGTATAACTATCCATGTTCAAGTAAACTGCCGTTTATATGCGAACCAGGTCAGAATATTAGTTTTAATGGAGTTCTATCAAATTAAAAAAAAGTGATTAGCGATGATAGATCCATCTGCGAATTTGTTTAATACGAATGTTCTGACCCGTAAGAATACCTTAAGAGTTTTTTTGCTACGTAGTCAATAGATTTGCTGTCACTGCGATTAATTAGGTTTTTGTAATAAAGTGATATTCAAAGTTTATCAACTTAATCTTCTAATGATTGATATATCATGTGCATATTTAAGATTACTTCTAACTCAGGGTAAGACAAATTCTAGCACTACAGCCTTTCATTCTTTTACTCAATTTTCTTTTAATATCGGATGTATTTCCTTTATAGATAACTCTAGTTGTGATCATCATTGGGAGAATATTAGTAACGTTTGCTTTATTGTGGTAAATCAATCACTAACGTTTGAAGATGCAAATATATATTGCTCTAACTATCATAATGGGCGGCTGATGGCCGTAGACAGTTATGCTAAACAGACGGTGATACAATCTCATATCCAGCCTTTATCGCAAGATCGATACTGGATAGGCATTCAACAGCTATACTATCAATCCAATGACTTTAACTACTATTGGCTATTCTCACAAAAATCAACAAAAGATAGTGGTTATACCTTTTGGTCATCTTCATCGCCGTATGATTATAAGCTACGATGTGTTAGAGTGCTCTCTTCCTCGTATAGTAACACTTGGGCAAACTATCCATGCAGTTACACCTATCAATCCGTATGTGAGATGCATATAGGTAAAGTTCAGAAAATTGTGAATTAAAAATAAAGGTTTCTCTACGTTCAGGACTATTTAATAAAAATTCTGTGATTCAAAGTAACGTAACGACGGAAATTTTAAACTAGTATATGAATATTTGTGTCCGTACAATTGTACAGACTGAACTGGACATTATATGAAAAGAATAATTGCATTGCTGTTTATCAATTCCGCTCTGGAAATATGTTATTATTAATTTACTTAATGTTGCACAATATTTTGAGTTAATAAGATATGGCCTTTCTGTTACGCTACTATGGATACAAAATCGTATTAATGTGTTACAGTTACTGTGATAACTGATCTTGCCTGTTTCATTTCTTAATGAATGAAACAGAAATAGACCGCAAGTGTTTCATAGAATAATTAATTAAAATGAATTTAGAAAAAATTCAGAAACAAATAACGATTTTTTTACGCCGCACTACAATCATTATACGACAGGGTTTAAATTTCGTAAATATTGCATTCAGTTTTAGATAGATAATCTATGTACGTATTAGAGACGATCTTGAGACTCGAGGGCGATAATTAGATGTATAAGCAATATTAATGTATTATAGGGTTTAAACAGTATTAACAAGCTGTTATGGATAACTATTCATAATGAGCCACTATTGAGTAAAATTTAGACTTTTGCCATTTTAGATATTTTTTACTGTAATTTTATAATGCACCCGTATATGCGTTTCAGTGCACTCGATCTTATTCAGGAGACATTATGGTTGCTATAATTACACTCATACTAGTATGATAATTGATTTAAGTTGCCTAGTTTACGCTATTGGTCGTATTCCCTGCTAGTAAACGTCGTAGAGTATCTTTACGCTTTTAGATTAAGAATAATAATTCTATATACTTTACGTCGAATTCTAATTATTAATTAGTTTTGTTATATTCTTATGTTTGTATTGGCTTGATGTGTTACTACAAATAAGCTTCCGTGACAGGTTACTATTGCTAAAGTGTACACAATCTGGCTGTAATATAAAATTTACTTATTGACTTAATCTAAAAGCGAAATTCTGAATACAGTTATGGATTAGTAAGAGACGTTTTTCTTCCATGTTTAACTTAGTTTAAAAACGGACTATGCTAGAAATTACGTGAAAATGCAAATTAAATCTTATTTTATTTTGGGATTATTACAGGAGCCGGTTCGAGCTGTCCAACATACTGGAAAGCATTTAATTCCAGCATTTGTCTTCAGTATATCCTCGATTATTTGAAATTCGGCGAAGCTAGAAGCTATTGTAATTCGTTAAATGCTAGTTTAGTAGTTATTGACAGTCAAGATAAACAAGACTTCGTAGGAAATTTAATTGGCGGTCCTTCTGTTAGGACGTATTGGATAGGATTAGTAGATATTAGAGGAGACAATTCGGTTACAAGTTTTCAGTGGTACTCCACTGACAAAACATTAGCTGAAACTGGTTATTCGAATTGGGAAGATAATTATCCAACTAGTTACAAAGAGCAGTGCGTTTATCTATTAGCCGGAAAATGGAATAATGTAGTTTGTGGGATACCTCTATCATTCGTTTGCGAACTAAGTATGTATCTTATTTTCTGTAAAATTTCGTTATATCGTTTCCATGAAGTGTTCGGCAGACGACTGATATTGAGAATACAAAGTCGATTAAAAGCTAAAGTTTACCTTAGTTACTCTTTATAGCTATATTTATCAGGTCTGTTAATGCAATGTGATTATGGATTAGATTATGTTATTAATTATTGAATAAATAGCCCGACAACTACTATNTTAGCCTTAATACAAAGCATTATCATAAAGTTTCTAGATATGATAATAGTATACAATGACATATCGAAATCGTTTTAAATATTAGACGCTTTGACTTTTACAGATCAAAGTTCGCCTCAAGATTCCTATGATACTGCTACATCAGTATTTACTTCGGTTATTATCCTTGAAAATATCGGTAATAAAGTACTTATGCTTTGTAGTTTATTTCTAATTATTAAAGTAAAAATGACCAAAATAACGAACTTGAAAATAAGATTTTCATTATTCATTAACTGAAGTCATTAACTATTAGCATATTGGAAAGTTATCTACAATAAGATATGGTATGAATTATAATTTCAACAACATTACTTACGATTTCATTACTCGTTTATATCAAAATACGATATAATATTGCAAAAATATTGTCTGATAGTGACAAAAGGTTATAATATAGATTATTTTCTCAAATACTGTCTAATTTCTTTAATTACTCGATAGTAATTTCGCAAAGTAATTTAGTTTGCAAATGTATCAGACTCTGAAGACGAGAGTATTAGCAAGAATAGCAAATCTACTCCTTGAGAAAACTTTAAGCAAAGACATTTTAGTTATAATAACGTACTAGAATAGTTACCTATGAACACTTGAGCAGTTCTATTCCTCTATTGTATAGCTAAAAGATTATAACTATTTAAGAATGTAGAATTAAATTTAACTTTAAGCTCGCTTTTATCACGTTATGTTTTAAGAGTATAATTGTTACCTAATTGAGGGATCTATTTCAATGATTTTACGTGGTACAGATTATGAAGAGTCAGCTTCGATCAGCTTGGAAGTCCATACTGTTGTAGGTTAGAGCTATTTAAGTATGAGGTAGAAGAAATTATGATTCGTTATATAATTAAGAAAGCTATTGTATGCAAGATATCTGTTTCTAGGTAGCTGTAGTAGTATGTTACACGGATATCGATCCCTAACCCTAACTCTAACCCTAAGCTTACCGATAAACGGTACCTACATCGACGTATTGATGATAGAAATTATGATATTCTCTAGAATATTAAGTGCGTCGATAGTTTCCTTAACTAAACAAGATGTTTATAGGAGCAATTAGACGATCCAATTGTTATGGTATAACTTTGAATATGAGCACTGTTAGAAATATTCTATTGAGTTATTTTCGATTTAAATAAAAGTATTAGATTCGATCAAAGGATATTTAGCGTGATTCAACTAACTATAACTAATTCGTGTTGCAAGAAAAATCCGTTGAAATTTAAGCTTTAAGTTTCGAAACTTAGGTTATAACATTTTGTTACGAGACAAAATCGTTCTTCATTAAATCTTAAAAAGTTGTATAGAAATTAGCAAGGAAGTGAAAATTAGATTTATGAGTGTAATCTTTACATTAAGCATAGTCAATGATTCGATAAATAATATACGATTCTATAGGGATGAATTCAGTGCTAAAGTAATAGATTTCATGCGTTAAGGTCACAGCTTTTATTTTGAAATAGTAAACATGATTGATACCATATTAATTGTATCCATATACAGTATAAGGCTATCCTTGAAGAAAATCGGATATAAATTTAACAATACTAGTTATTAATAATGATTAGTGTACAGACCTATTCAGTAAGATTTTTGATTGCGTTTATTCATGTCTACTATTCTAGTTCAATCGTCACCCGTTATTACCGAACCTTCATCCTTGAGTGTAAAAGATATTATAAATGGTAATTTTTAAAATGTGATTAAGAATCAATTAATTTTGGCTATTGTTAATCTAAGGTAGCCGAAGTAATTGGCTATTAAGTTACCTTGCGTAGAAAAATTAAGAATACAAATTTTAATTTAAGCTGTATTCGTATACTAAATATGAGTAAAATTTTAGATACAGCTACGGAATATTTCCTTGAGACTTTTACTGCTTTTAAAGATTCAACTAGTAACCGTAAGTTAAAAAGATATTACCATGAAACAAGCCTTTCATCTTAAGCGGAAGATAATAATAAAGTGAGATTTTAAGCTCTACTCTATTTTTGAATATCGATAAATTTTAGTTACTTCGAAATCTCTAACTGAATATTTTGCTTTATCGGATTCAAGTACAAGCGGTAAGTTACCGCAACTTTGATGTTAGACTTGAATATTTATAATGAGCTCTAAATTTTTCTCAAAATGATTAAATCGATTTAAATAAATGAAATAATGTTTACAGTACTGATTAATAACAGCATATTAAATTGGAAAGAATCATTCTTTCTTCGTTTAAGATAATTTAAGCCAGCAGTAAACATGTTTAGCCCATAGTGACTATTTCTAGTGTTAAGTTGATTACTTCTAAAATGTATGCGTTTATGAGAAATTACACCGTACATGCTGTATTGTATATTCTCTGATACAAAAGCATGTTATGAGAGAAAGAAATAAATACTGTAAACTTGATAGCCAATAAAATTTATTATCCATATAAAGTTATTAAATTGGTAAACACTAAGATTACTCGTATTATAGCCTTTAATTTTCTAGAGTTATCTTCTTCAATCATCTCAATTGAATCTACTCCCGTAATTCAGAATATGGGTATGTATGCATGACGAATGACGACGAAAAGATTTGTGGTTTTAAAATAATCTAATTCTTGGACTTATTTCTAATTATAGGATCTTCAATACCTGTTACATATTCTTATGCTTCCCTAGGATTGAATAATGCTTTGGACTATCAAAGTTTGTTACATATCGAAATTTTTTAGTATCTTTTAATAATTTAAGTTATTGCGTAGTAATTTTTAGATAGTCGCTATCGATATTAACATTTAGCAAGCAATAGTTGGACGGATAGCACAGCATCGGGGTCTTCCAAAGTTGTAACATCAATATCCAATCAAGGTATTATACATAGAATGCCTATGATATTTTAGATAGCAGACTCAGCAGTCTTGAATCCGGTAATACTACAACATATAAATTTACTGTATATAAAGTATCTCTGTCATACGAATAAAACTCTAGAATTATTGTATAGTTAAGCTGAAGTTTATAACTTAAAGTTAAATATTATATACCAGAATAGCGGTTTAGTTATCTGCTTTTCAGATTCCTTCGAATAGGTACTGATACTTATTCATAAGGTTCGAAGTTGATTTATCATGTGAGACTAGTACACTTACTGTATAATGGAGATAATATGTCTACAAACAGAAGTACTGAAAGTGTTCAAGCTACGGATCTGCCCGAGCAAATTATACACATCTCTTGTAATGTTATTTATGTACGTACTTAAGATTAGACTTCAAAGTTTTTCTCAATAAATTGATGGACATCATAGATGCTACTTTAAAAAGCTTGCATTATGGTATTCACGTTTGGTATTTTTTTAGATGTGATTAAAATGAAGTAAACGCTCAGTCTCATATACGATTTATTATAAAATGAATACTGTTAGTAAGATACAGAAGATCAGGGACTGATATAAAAGTTAGCATTCGTGAACATCATTAATGATAAGCTTTACAGGCAATAATGTTATAGCGTAGCTAAGTATGGATAGCTCGATTAATAACACGATCAATTTGCACACAATAGTTTCACTTAATATAAAATATAGTACTACCAAGATGATGATTATTTTTAAAGAATTGAATGTTTACTTTTATCGTAACAGATTTGATGACGACCAGCTATATACCTTCGGTATCTAGCATAACTAGTGAATTAATAACCAGCCAACCTAAGACCTCTATTGTAAATTCATCTGGAATATCGTCTGCTTTGTACGATATTTGCCGTGATCCAACCTGGAATACAATATTATGTACATGCTAGCTATAGAATTCGTTTATCGTCTATAGTAATCAAAGCGTCTTTGATGTATTAAATATTGATGTTGCATGATGAAAATGCTAGCTGTTATTTTAATTTAACCTGGAAGGGTTATAGCTATTGTGAGGAATTTGTTTATGGCTTTTTTGTATTATTAACTATTAATCCTACTAGAATATCTTTAGTATATTTTAGTTGCAATTATTTAATTGCAACCAGTTTAGTATCAGTAGATTTACATGTGGAAAATTTAACTTAAATAACTTAATCTCTATTTTAATATTCTATGCCGTACATCTTGAGTTAGCCATAACCGGTTCAGATTCATCTTTGTTTGGATGGTACGGTCAAATCAGTTTCGAATTTAGTATAATTTTCGTTAGTCTGCGATCAAGATTATTTCAGATATTCGTATTTAAATTTTTACAAGTACCGTAGTAAATTAATTATGTATTTCTTCTATATATTTATCTCACGTTTATAGACTGGCATCGATATCTACGTAATATAACTTTAAATTATTTAAAACATTCTATGCTTAAATTTCACCTGGTAAATGACAGAATAATAAAACCCAGATTGTGGAAATAAGCACTCAATTCATCGTATAGTATATTACACTGTTATTTTGTTATTAATAATGAATAATGTTTCACTTTT